AACTCCGTCTTGTTCTGTGGTCGTGGCACCTCGATGATGGCCTTAATCTTAGCATCTGTGGGGTGGATGCCTGATGCATCAATTTTAAACCCCAAGAAATCCACAGTTGGCACCCCAAAACTGCATTTTTCCTTTTTCAGTTGCAACCCCACCTCCTTGAACTTGAGCAACACTGCACGAACACGCGCAACCAGTTCCTGTGGGTCTTTTCCAGCAATCAAAACGTCATCAAAAAATGGCAAGACCCCGGCAGACCTCTTAACAGGTGTTCCATGAGCCCTTGAAAAATCCCTGGGGCCACACAAACTCCAAATTGTAATCTGTTAACTCTGAACGCCCCTTTATGTGTGACAATAGTCTGTGCTTCCGCTGATTGTGGGGTTACTGGCAGCTGTTGGTAAGCTTGTGCCAGGTCAATTTTGGCGAACACCTTGCCCCCAGCCAGTTTAGCCAACAGATGTGATACGACTGGAATGGGGTATGAGTTTCCCCTGAGTGCCTTATTGATAGTACATTTGTAATCTGCACAGATCCTGACTTCCCCATTTGCTTTAAGGGCGTGACGATTGGAGTCTCCCACTTAGCAGAGTCCACGGGTGAGAGAACTCCCTGCTTGACCAATTTATCCAGCTCTGCTTCGATCTTGGGTTGCAGTGCAAATGGCACTCGCCTTGGTTTGAGTCGGATTGGGGCCACCCCAGGGTCCAACTCGAAGTCAACTGGGGGCCCTTTATAACAACCCAGTTTTCCATTAAAGAGACCAGCAAATTCTTTGCATAATGCCTCGCTCATCTCAGGGCAGGTTTGGATTGAATTAAGCCCTGATATACTCAGTCCCAGGGCGGGGAACCAGTCAGTGCCCAGGAGACTGGGGCGACTGCCCTTCGCAATCACCAGTTTGAGTACAGCCTGTTTGTCCCGGAACTGTACTCTCACGGCACACATTCCCATAACATGGATGCGGCCCGCTGAGTATGACTGCAAGGTTGCCGGGAAGGGTTCCAGAGGGGGCAACTTACCCCTGGGGAAGAATGTCCTCGCGGTCTGGTCCGACACGATAGTGAATCCAGAGTCCACCTCCATGTCGCACTGCTGACCCTCAATCTTCACCTTGACGTGTGCCTTGCCTTGTGCTGGGAACTGCACGACCCTCCCGTTGATCTCCGTAACGTAGTGGCAGTCCTTTAGAAAATGGGTTGCTGCGGGCGGTCTGCGATGCTCCGGTCTAGGTGCTCCTGTCGCTCCCAACGCCGCCGATCTACAGACTCTGGCGATGTGACCTGTCTTCCCGCACGTCCGGCACATAGCATCCCGGAAACGACAACTCTTCCGCTCATGGTTTCCGCCACAACCTGGGCACCTGCCTCGGTGATCTTTGTGCACTGTGCAGGCCTGACTCACTGACTCGACCCCACGGACTGGGCTCTGGCTCGGAGTAGCCTCTAGCTCGTCCATGGCATGCGCAACTTCTATCTGTGGCTTAGGGGCCTTGCGACTGGCATCAAGCTCCTCTCTTTCATAATTCTCCGTGGCGGTGGCCTCCTTCAAGGCTGAAGCAAGGGTAACCTCTTCTTTAGCCACGATGCGTCTTCTGGCCTTCTTGCTGCTCAGACCACCGATAAACCGATCCAGGAGAGTCTCTTCCAGATTTTGGAAGTCGCAGTGCTGAGCGAGCTTCCGCAGTTCAGCCAGAAATGCAGATACAGACTCCCCAGCATGCTGCTGCCTCTTATGAAACTCCATCCGCCGAGCCATCTTGGTCTCAGTAGGCGCCAAGTGGCTTGTTAGGCAGGCAAGAATATCTTTGAGAGATGTCTCACTTAGCTTCGCTGGAGCAAGCAATGCCTTGGCCAGCTTGAAGGTCTCAGGCCCACAGTAGCTCAGGAATGTGGCCCTTCTTTTGCTGGCATCGGTGATCCCTTGAGCCTCTGCGAAGAACTCGAAGCGTTCGACGTAGTCTTCCCACGTGTCGGGCTCTGATGGCTGGAAGGCCTCCAATACCCTTGGACTCTCCATTGTCCTGTGGCAGGGTCGTCTTCTCAGCTGGTCAGTGAGTCTTGTTCTTAGCTGCAATCCGGACTCTGAGGCAGGGCTGCGTTTAACCGCTCCTCAGCATTCCGGATCCCACCCTCGTCGCCAGTTGTTGTGACGTGGGGTTTGTGATTTCAGCTCTCCTGATATAACATGCTGGAGACAGTTCTCTAGTAACACTTCTTTATTAAAGCAACAAGACTGAAGACTGGGGAGAGGAAAGCTACATTTATAGGGACAGGGAACTAGCAAGAAAGGATACATTTTGGAGGGAACAATATCAGGCAATCACAGTCCTGCCTTTTGGAGGGAACCAATAAGACAGAGGATCCAAATACAGCAGCTTAAATGAACCAATAGTAGCTGTACCCTCTGGAACCAAAAGGCAGTTACTTTACCCTAATGCAAATACAGACAATAATAATACAGATATAAAATCCTTTGACTCAATACACAACACACACCCGAACAGATCTTGCTTCTCTATTAGTCGCAGCTTTGGATCCGGCACAGAGCAAGCTGGTTTCGGGGTTTCCCACAAGTCTCTCTGGGTCTTGCTTTCCTACCTAGCAGCCAGGTGAGATAGGAGGGGGGAGGAGAGCCCCCCCATTAGCTGCAGCTCTTGCAACCCAGCTCCTTCGTTGGGGATGCTGAGGAGGACACTCTATGGCCAGCGAAGGCCCTTGTCTTGCCAAGAAACTTGCCTGTGGGAATCGTGCATCCATAATGCTATGGAAAGGGTGAATGTCTTCTAGAATTCTCTGGTGTCACCAGAAGAGGAAGCCGTTCTTTTCAGTTAGGTCTGTTCTCAACTGCAGAGGATGAGTAGCCTTGGGAGCCTCTTGGGGAGATGGAAGTATTTAGAAAGGAGAACACTCACCTAATCAATTTTAATAATAATAATAATAATAATAATAATAATATTTATACCCCGCCCATCTGGCTGGGTTCCCCAGCCACTCTGGGCGGCTTCCAACAAAATATTAAAATACAATAGTCCATCAAATATCAAAAGCTTCCCTAAACATAAAAATAACAACAATCCATTTTCTGTCCATTGAATTAGCAATTGAGCATTTCTGGAAAGGGAAATGGCATACTTTTGTATATTAGCATAAAAAGCATGCATAAGAAAGTATTACTCATTTATGATGAGAATAGGATTTATTTATTTTGAACTTCGCTTGGTTCCTCCTTGGCAGCCAGTGCGATTGTTTCAGCAGGGCTAGAACTCAGGACCCGCTGCCTTGAGGGACATCTAAGAGCAGTTTGGCAGGGGAAAAGTCTCCCTTGGGAGGTGGTGGACTCTCCTTCCGTGGAGGTTTCTGAGCAGAGATTGGACGGCCATCTGCCATGGATGCTTTAGCTGAGATTCCTGCATTGCTGGGGGTTGGACGAGATGACCCTGGGATCCCCTCCTATCTATCCACCCCTGAATTCAAGGGGGAGCTTCCTTGCCTCCTGCAAAGCCCTGCAAGCTCTTCCTCTGGTTTCTGGCCAAGGGAGGGAGATGCTCAGAGTCCAGCCAAGAGCCTCACCCCCAAAGGATATCTGGGCATTGGCGTAGCCAGGGTGGCAGATGCCCCCCTTAATCCATAAAAAATAATAAGAATCTGAGGTTCTGCCAAGCGAGAGAGGGCTAAACTGGAGGGACTCGGCTTGGCAAGGGTTAAAGGGAAGTGAGCTGCCTTCCTAGAGAGGCCAGGAAGCAAGAGGGGGCCAGGTCCTCCAGAGCCAAGGCCCCTCCCTCCCCAGTCCTGTCCTTGCTTTGGGGTCTCTCCTGCAAGGGCTGCCTCGCTGTCCCCTCCTGGGATCTGGTGAGTCTCCTCTCTCTCCCCCCAGAGGGTGCAGTGGGGAGACGGGGGGGGGGGTCCCATGTCTGCAGCAGGGGAGGATGCCTGGGGGGCCTGATCCGGGAGGGGCCAGGTCTGCCACGCTCTCCTTCCTGGAGATCAGAGGATCCCAAACTCATTTGGCCCTCCGCCCCCCCCTTTCAGAAAAAAATCTTCCTTCTTTAAACAAAGGAGTCCCAGGGACTTTAACTCTGTGTGACATCGCTCAGCCTCATTGCACGACAGAGGAAACATGTGCAAATGGTTTTCCAAAGCTGGACGAGGAGGTGGACTAGCCGCCCCCCCCCCCAAGAACAACGGGGAGGAAGGAAGTTAAAATGGGGAAGAAAGGCCAGGAATAAAGAGAGGGATCCCAGTCCATATTCTGGCTGCTGCATTGCGGACCAGTTTCCCAGTCGTCTCCAAGGGCAGTTCCCCACGGAGGCCACTGCAGCAATCCCCTCGCGCCCAGAGCATGGCATCCCAGGACCACATCCTCTCTGTCCCAAAGGGATTGTTGCTGGCAAAGCAGCCGGAAATGGGCGCTGCTACTCACCGAGCCTCCAGGGACCTTGGCATCAATGGCTGTGTGTGTGTTAAGTTATCTAGTGAATTAATAATAATAAATTACCCGCCTAAATTTCAAGGGAGATGTCTTTGGCCCTGCCCACTTGGACCTTAGGGGATTGATCAGATACATACCTGGCCCTCAGAGCAAAGAAAAAGGGACCCCACCCCAGGAGTCTGTCTGGAGAGCGGCAGACAGTCCAAGTGCAAGAAAAGGAGACAGAAGCAGGGGAGTGGGGGTGGGGGAGGAACTCCTGAGGACCCCCGGGTGAGGACCTCACTAGACCCACAAATGACTCCCTTGTCATTCGGTTCTGATTTCATGCATTGACTGGAAGGCAGCAGAAACCAGGTTGATTAATCTCCCAGAAATCCCTTCAGTTGCCTCCACATTTTGCATTGTTAGAAGGCTAGAGACTTAGTTCTCCTCCTCTTCCTCCTCTTTCTTTTCAAAAAGATAGCTCACGGTCTGATGTGCGGTGCAGTCCAGCCCTGGTTCCCAGCAAGACTCATCCATGCTTGCTCAGGGAACTATTTCTTTTCCTATCCTACAAATTTTGTAACAGAACAATGTATTTGCTTTGTAGGATTTGCCACAGCTTCTCATTTAGAAAGGCAGAACGTGTCAGAAGACTAAAGGGTTCCTTCCGATCTCTCGAAGGCTTCCTGAGAGCACAGATGGATGAGCAAGATTCAGCTGGCCCTGAGGCAGGAAGAAGCTATGCCAGCCAAACTGGGAGCAGTGGGGGATTCTGGGAAAACCCAGTGCAGAAGATCCTGGGTGAGGAGGACACCCTCCGCTCAGAGGTGCAGAGCCAGCAGTTGAGGCAGTTCTGCTGCCAGGAGGCCAAAGGACCCCGAGAGGTTTGCAGCCGACTCCACCACCTTGACCATCAGTGGCTGAAGCCAGAAAGGCACACGAAAGCTGAGATGCTGGACCTGGTGATCTTGGAGCAGTTCCTGGCTGTCCTTCCCCCGGAGATGGAGAGCTGGGTGAGGGAATGCGGAGCGGAGAGCAGTTCCCAGGCGGTGGCCCTGGCCGAAGGTTTCCTCCTGAGTCAGGCAGAGGAGAGAAAGCAGGTGAGAGAGACTTTCGTCTGGATACGCCTTAGATACGCCCAAGGGGCTCCAAAGAGGACGGAGAACATCCCATAATGGTCTGCTAATGGCCCATCCATTTTCTGGGAAAGCATCCATGGAATGAGATCTCACAGCCTTTCTAACCATTCTCTGTTTTGAATCCTTGTTTCTTTCTCAGGGAAAGGATCTCTTTGCAGAAATGGACCTGGATTCCTGTGAGGCAGAGAGGCCTCCGTTGGACACCAGAGAGAGGCCACTGGGTAAGAAGGAAGGTGGTTTTTCTCTGTCTGGTCTCATTCTGTTGGTTTTCCAACTCATCTGGGGGTTCTTTTCATCTTGTTTTGTGGGGTCCATAGGAGGGGAGATGTATTTTTGCACCACAAACATATGAAATGGGCACAAACGTCCAAATACTCTCAGTAGGTAAGTCTTTCTCAAAGGCCCATCTGTAGTAAAAGATGCCCTGTTTCACCTGTGAGAGAAGCCGGCACTCCTGGCATCCTGATCACCTTTTTTCTCTTGCAGGTGACAGAATGATGCCGGCAAGACTTCCTGATCCGTCTTTTCATGGGGACAGAAGGGAAGCAGCGGCTGTGGAACCAGATCAGGTCAGGGGAAGCTGCCTTTTGGGGACAGAGGCCGAGGGATGGAGCAATGTCATGGACTGGTTGGGCACAGAGGAATGATGGGAGGAAGCAGCCGGGGAACCAGGAAGGGAAGATGGCTCAGAGCCCAAGGAGTGGAGGTAGAACAAGGATGGGTGGTCAGAGGAAGAAGAGGGAGAAGCCTGGGAAGAGGAGGTGTCAGAAGCTTAAGGGGTTACAGGGGTTAGTGAGCTGGGAGACACTGTGGCAGAATGCAGTGCAGAATCAGAGGCAGAAGAGGAAGGAGACGAGTGGGAGAGGAAGGTCGGGAGGCAGAGGTGAGTCAGAATAAGGAAGAGCCACAGGTGGCTCCCTCTCCTTTTGCCAGAAGCCACCCTCCCTGCTTGTCTCTCAGAGCCAGGAGACCCCATGCATTGCAGGAATCTCTGCTAGATCATCCAAGACAGATGGCCATCCAAAACAGGCTTATTTTATTTCTAGATTGATCACTGAATGCTCAGATTGGTTTCTAAGCAGTGGACAAATGAGAACAAATAGTGGCCTGGATTCACCTAACCAGCCCCATTGGCCTGCCCCCCCCATTCCTCCCCCTCTCCATGCCCCCATGAACCCCTGGAATTTGGCTCTAGGGCATAGGGAGGGAACTCCCCAGAACAGCTCAGGAGGAGAGGAGAAAGTGGACCCTTCCATCAGGCAAACTGGAATGCTTGTGTAGGCAGAATGACTTGGAAAACACAAGGTGTAGTACCACCTATATGCACAAAGACGAATACCCATAATTAAAACTTAGAATAAAATAAGCATCCAGAATTAAAATGTGCAGCAAAGTAATCCTATTGAAACAACTCCCCTGCGTGAGTGCCTGAGGGCCCTGCTCCTGCCACTCACCACCTGGCCCAGGGCGGGGCCTGACAGGCCTCATAAGGACGCTTGCTGCTGGCCAGGAGGACTCGGAGCAGCGCAATGTTCTTTTTAAAATGTTTTAAAAATTTTCTTTTTTCCCTTTTGATTACTTTTTTTGTGGGGGGTGGCATGGATGTTTGGTTGGGTTCGGGAATTAGATTTTTTTTTATAAGGGTTTTATTTTGTTCTTAAGGGGAGGGGTCAGGGCTGCCAGGTAGTGGGTCCCAGCCCACAACATAGCTGGGGCATGTTCCACGGGGCGGGGATGCACTGGGACAACCGATCTCAGTGATCACGGTTAGGAGGAGGAGGTACGCTAAGACCAGACCATGCCATTACAGAGGAGGCAGGTTTAGTCGTTTGAGGACTATCCCTGCGTCTGGGTCTGGTCCTGACTGGACGGATACTAGAATCAGCAAGGGATACCCACGTGACCTGAAGGTGCTGCTGTTCAATGCCAAGTCAATGATTCATAAAACCACTGCCATCCATGACTTGATCATGGATGGAGGACTTGACCTGGCATGTGTAACAGAGACTTGATTGGCTGAAGCAGATGGGCTCTCTTCAATTGCATGGAGCCTGGACAGCCCTGTGGTTTTCCACGGATCTGCGGGCAATAAAACAATCGCCGAGACGGCTAGAGCGCCGGTGGCGGATAACTCATTCTGAAGCTGACCGGACACGGGTTAGAGCTCAATGTCGAGCCTACCAAGTGGCGGTAGCGATGGTGAAGAAGACTTTCTTTGCCGCCTCTATTGCATCTGCAGAAAACAGCAGGAGACTTTTTCAGGTGGTTTGCAATTTAGCGGAACCACCTGCTACATCGGGGCCCAGTATGGGCCACATGATCTCCTGCAATGATTTTGCAAATTTTTTTTCAGATAAAGTTGCTCAGATTCAGGAAGAGGTAGACTCCACCATGGAGCAAGCACGGGCCGGGAGAGTGCTAGTGTCCTGTCTAGTCAAGTTGCGTGGGATCAATTCCAATCTGTTACCTCCGAGGATGTGGACAGGCTGCTTGGACGAGTGAAACCAACCACCTGTCTCCTTGATCCTTGCCCATCCTGGCTTATAAAAGCTAGCCGGGAAGGGCTGGGCGATGGGCTTTGCGAGGTCGGGAATGCTTCTCTCTGTGAGGGAGCTTTCCCAGACCCGCTGAAGGAGGCGGTTATCAAACCGCTTATTAAAAAACCATCTTTAGATGCTGCCAATATGGCTAACTATCACCCAGTCTCAAATCTTCCATTCTTGGGCAAGGTGATTGAGCGAGTGGTTGCTGAACAACCATAACATCCTTCTGGACCGTCTTGAGGGGCTGGGAGCTGGGGGCACTGTCATACAGTGGTTCCGCTCCTTCCTCCTGGGCCATGTTCAGAAAGTGGTGGTGGGGGATGAGTGTTCAGACCCCTGGGCTCTCACTTGTGGGGTGCCTCAGGGTTCTGTCCTTTCCCCCATGCTTTTCAACATCTACATGCAGCCGCTGGGAGAGATCATCAGGGGGTTTGGGCTGGGTGCTCATAAGTATGTGGATGATACCCAGCTGTACCTCTCTTTCAAACCAGTGAAGGAGGTGAAAGTCCTGTGTGAGTGTCTGGAGGCTGTTGGAGGATGGATGGCGGCTAACAGATTGAGATTGAATCCTGACAGGAACGAAGTACTGTTTCTGGGGGACAGGAGGTGGGCGGGTGTGGGGGACTCCCTGGTCCTGAATGGGGTAACTGTGCCCCTGAAGGACCAGGTGCGCAGCCTGGGAGTCATTCTGGACTTGCAGCTGTCCATGGAGGCACAAGTCAATTGTGTGTCCAGGGCAGCTGTTTATCAGCTCCATCTGTTACGCAGGCTGAGACCCTACCTGCCCGCAGACTGTCTCACCAGAGTGGTGCACGCTCTGGTTATCTCTCGCTTGGACTACTGCAATGCGCTCTATGTGGGGTTACTTTTGAAGGTGACCCGGAAACTACAACTAATACAAAATGCGGCAGCTAGACTGGTGACTGGGAGCAACCCTCGAGACCATATAAACCGGTCTTGAAAGACCTACCCTGGCTCCCAGTACGTTTCCGAGCACAATTCAAAGTGTTGGTGCTGACCTTTAAAGCCCTAAAAGGCCTCGGTCCAGTATACCTGAAGGAGCGACATTGTTCTGCCCAAACACTGAGGTCCAGCGCTGAGGGCCTTCTGGCGGTTCCCTCGCTGCAAGAAGCCAAGTTACAGGGAACCAGGCAGAGGGCCTTCTTGGTAGTGGCACCCGCCCTGTGGAACGCCCTCCCACCAGATGTCAAAGAGAAAAATAACTACCAAACTTTTAGAAGACATCTAAAGGCAGCCCTGTTTAGGGAAGCTTTTAATGTTTAATAGATTATTGTATTTTAGTGTTTTGTTGGATGCCGCCCACAAAGACAAATACCCATAATTAAAACGCAGAATAAAATAAGCACCCATAATTAAAATGTGCAGCAAAGCAATCCTATTGAAACAAAACCGCAATTAACAGGAAGGAAACAACAGAGCATTGTGTAGCAGATCATATTTCTGCTGTCTCAGAGGAGGACATTTCCCTTTTTCTTTTAGGGTCCAGTGTGCTTTGAAGATGTTGCTGTTCATTTCACGGAGGAGGAGTGGGCGTTGCTGGATCCTGACCAGAGAGCTCTGCATAAGGACGTCATGGAGGAGAATCATGGGACCGTGGCCTCTCTCGGTAAGGCTCAAAAAATACCTCAATGTGACCAACCTCATATATTTTCACAGAGCTCAACAGCACCCCCTATAACACCTGGGAACCTAACACCCCCACAATAAAGAGTAAATTACAGTTTTTTCTTTGAACAATCTTCCTCAAATTATTCCTTTTTCTACCAGTATTGGGCTGGTCTGAACTTCTGAGGCCATCTTAAATGTCAGCTTCAGAATTTTTAGGAAAGCTAAGTAGCTTCAGGTTTTTGTTTTTGCTCCTGTCAGTCTTGGGTTGAACAAAGAGACGACTGACATTGGAGATGGAGGGATGCCATGACTGGGCCAAACAAAACCCATCCCAGAGAAGAGCTAGGCTTATGGAATCTCAGGTAGTAGTAGCAGTGATGAGGATGAGGATGAGGATGATGATGATAGTAATAGTAATACAGTGGTACCTCGGTTTACAAACTTAATCTTTTCCGGAACAGGACAGTTCTTAAATCAAGGTACCACTGTAGTAGTAATAATAATAATAATAATAATTTTTATTTCTCCCTCCCATCTGGCTGGGTTGCCCCAGCCACTCTGGGCGGCTTCCAACACATATATCATCATGAAACATAAATAATAATAATCTGATTCCATATAAAAAGAACATTAATTTTAAAATGAACAACTTATATTAGTGGCCGAAATTGTGGAAACCTTTTGTGAAAAGTGTATTTCTGAGGTTTGATGGCTCCTAACACCACTTTTGTATGGAGTAATACCATAAAATTATAAAGCAATAGAAAGATAATTTAATGAAGAATGTAATGCAATGACTTTTATGAAGGAGTATTTATTAGAACAGCAGTCATAAAGAAAAAACGTGAAATCTTTGGTAACCATTGGTAACCTTTAGCTTTCATTACGGCCTTACAATGCCTTCCCATGAAGTGAACCAAGTTTTTAGTTCTGCAACTGTAAGAATGTCAAACCAAGACTGAATTATTGCCTCTGTTGATTGGGCTTTATTGCTGGGTTGCCTCTGATTAACAAGTTTCTTTCATCAGCTGCATAGATTTCTGATTGGATTAAAGTTTGGGCTATTCCCAGACCATTCCGGGAGTGGAATGGGATCATCTTGAAAGCACCGTTTGCACACAGCAGCAACAGGTCATGGAGCTGAATCCTGTTGAAATAAATAAATAAATATGCTTCAGTATCTGGGAAAAGATCACCTGCGGAACGCTTCAGTTTGGGCTCAAGCATTTCATTTATGTATTTGGGGGGCGTTTAAAGTTAAAGGGACCCCTGACTGCTAAGTCCAGTGGCGAACGACTCTTGGGTTGTGGCACTCATCTCGCTTTATTGGCCAAGGGAGCCGGCGTACAGCTTCCAGGTCATGTGGTCAGCATGACCAATCCTCTTCTGGCGAACCAGAGCAGCGCACGGAAATGCCATTTAAAACCAACCAACTTGTTAGCAATCAACCAACCAACTTGTTAGCAATCAACCAACCAACTTGTTAGCAATCACGTAACACACTGACAAAAGTCAACCTAAGCATGTTGTGCTTCCTTTTTCTGCTTATTTGGCTATAGTGTTTGATAGAATACAGATAATTGAACAAACTTTCTTGGATTGCATTCTTGATTAAATTATCTTCCCACTGATATATAACTTTATAATATTACTCCAAAAGAAGTGGGGTTATGAGCCATCAAACCTCTGAAATACACTTTTTTCCCAAAAGGCTTCCACAGTTTTGGCCACTGTTGTTGTTGTTTAATCGCTTAGTTGTGTCCGACTCTTCGTGATCCCAGCGACCAGAGCACGCCAGGCACTTCTGTCTTCCACTGTCTCCCGCAGTTTGCTCAAACTCATGCTCGTAGCTTCGAGAACACTGTCCAACCATCTCGTCCTCTGTCATCCCCTTCTCCTTGTGCCCTCCATCTTTCCCAACATCAGGGTCTTTTCCAGGGAGTCTTCTTTTCTCATGAGGTGGACAAAGTATTGGAGCCTCAGCTTCAGGGTCTGTCCTTCCAGTGAGCACTCAGGGCTGGTTTCCTTAAGATTGGATAGGTTTGATCTTCTTGCAGTCCATGGGACTCTCAAGAGTCTCCTCCAGCACCATAATTCAAAAGCATCCATTCTTCGGTGATAAGCCTCCTTTATGCTCCAGCTCTCACTTCCGTACATCACTACTGGGAAAACCAGAGCTTTAACTATATGGACCTTTGTTGGCAAGGTGATGTCTCTGCTTTTAAAGATACTATCTAAGTTGGTCATTGCTTTTCTCCCAAAAAGCAGGCATCTTTAAATTTTGTGACTGCTGTCACCATCTGCAGTGATCATGGAGCCCAAGGAAATAAAATCTCTCACTGCCTCCATTTCTTCCCCTTTTATTTGCCAGGAGGTGATGGGCCCAGTGGCCATGATCTTCCTTTTTTTGATGTTGAGCTTCAGACCATATTTTGTGCTCTCCTCTTTCACCCTCATTAAAAGGTTCTTTAATTCCTCCTCACTTTCTGCCCTCAAGGTTGTGTCATCTGCATATCTGATATTTCTTCCGGCAATCTTAATTTTGGCTTGGGATTCATCCAGCCCAGCCTTTCGCATGATGAATTCTGCATATAAGTTAAATAAGCAGGGAGACAGTATACAGCCTTGTCGTACTCCTTTCCCAATTTTGGACCAATCAGTTGTTCCATATCCAGTTCTAACTGTAGCTTCTTGTCCGACATAGAGATTTCTCAGGAGACAGATGAGGTGATCAGGCACTCCCATTTCTTTAAGAACTTGCCAGTTTGCTGTGGTCAGCACAGTCAAAGGCTTTTGCATAGTCAATGAAGCAGAAGTAGATGTCTTTCTAGAACTCTCTAGCTTTCTCTATAATCCAGCGCATGTTTGCAATTTGGTCTCTGGTTCCTCTGCTCCTTCGAAATCCAGCTTGCACTTCTGGGAGTTCTCGGTCCACATACTGCTTAAGCCTGCCTTGTAGAATTTTAAGCATAACCTTGCTAGCGTGTGAAATGAGTGCAATTGTGCGGTAGTTGGAGCATTCTTTGGCACTGCCCTTCTTTGGGATTGGGATGTAGACTGATCTTCTCCAATCCTCTGGCCACTGCTGAGTTTTCCAAACTTGCTGGCATATTGAGTGTAGCACCTTAACAAACAACACAGGTAATGAACACATACCCAATTTGACGTGCAGTGTAAATTAATAATGCTGAGTTTTTAAGTGAAAGAATAAGAGCTTTACTGAGTTAAAATAAACTTCTTCATAAAAACATGGTTCCAAACAGTTTGACTGAGATTACATACTGACTCTGCTCACAACTGAGGCGGACTGACTCCGACTGAAATCTTACAGAGAACACAGAGAGAAAATGGCTGCCAAGTCACATGTCAGAGTGACTCAACAGTTAGCAGTTAGGCCTGAATGACTTTAGTAGACCCAAATGATTGTGCAGTCCCAGCACCTCCCAGCCTGTTTCCTGCTTCTGCTCTCATGTGTCTTTGTCATATGACACAACTCCCTTCAGTTCTTCTCCATTTATTCCGGAGGCTCTAATCCCTTTTTGTCTCCATTGCAGATTCTGATGAATCGGAAATCGAGAACAAAGGTGACCACGATAAAATCCCCAGAGAGGAGAAGCCACATAAAAATTTGGAGTGTGGAGAAAGCTGCAGTGAGAGCTCCCATTCCACTTCCCATCAACAAAATCTTATTGGAAATAAACTCTATCAGTGCATGGAATGTGGAAAAAGCTTCAGTCACAGCCAGAATCTTGCTTCCCATCAAATAATTCATACAGGGGAGAAACCCTATCAGTGTGTGGAATGTGGAAAGAGCTTCACCGATAGCTCCTTTCTCACCTCCCATCAAAGAATTCATACAGGGGAGAAACTCTATCAGTGTGTGGAATGTGGAAAGAGCTTCAGTCAGAGCTCCCATCTCACTTCCCATCAAAGGATTCATACAGGGGAAAAACCCTACCAGTGTGTGGAATGTGGAAAGAGCTTCTGTCACAGCCACAGACTCACTTCCCATCAAAGAATTCATACAGGGGAGAAACCCTATCAGTGTGTGGAATGTGGAAAGAGCTTCACTGATAGCTCCTCTCTCACTTCCCATCAAATAATTCATACAGGGGCAAAACCCTATCAGTGTGTGGAATGTGGAAAGAGCTTCCGTCAGAGCTCCCATCTCACTTCCCATCAAATGATTCATACAGGGGAGAAACCTTATCAGTGCATGAAATGTGGAAAGAGCTTCACTCACAGCCACAATCTCACTTCACATCAAAGAATTCATACAGGGGAGAAACCTTATCAGTGTGTGGAATGTGGAAAGAGCTTCAGTCAGAGCTCTTCTCTCACTTCCCATAAAATAATTCATACAGGGGAGAAACCCTATCAGTGTGTGGAATGTGGAAAGAGCTTCACTGATAGCTCCTCTCTCACTTCCCATCAAAGGATTCATACAGGGGGAAACCTTATCAGTGTGTGGAATGTGGAAAGAGCTTCTGTCACAGCCACAGTCTCACTTTCCATCAAAGAATTCATACAAGGGAGAAACCTTATCAGTGTGTGGAATGTGGAAAGAGCTTCAGTCAGAGCTCCCATCTCACTTCCCATCAAAGAATTCATACAGGGAAGAAACCCTATCAGTGTGTGGAATGTGGAAAGAGCTTCACTGATAGCTCCTCTCTCACTACCCATCAAAGAATTCATACAGGGGCAAAACCCTATCAGTGTGTGGAATGTGGAAAGAGCTTCCGTCAGAGCTCCCATCTCACTTCCCATCAAAGGATTCATACAGGGGAGAAACCTTATCAGTGCATGAAATGTGGAAAGAGCTTCAATCACAGCCACAATCTCACTTCACATCAAAGAATTCATACAGGGGAGAAACCCTATCAGTGTGTGGAATGCGGAAAGAGCTTCAATCAGAGCGCCACTCTCACTTCCCATAAAAGAATTCATACAAGGATGCTGGAATGAAGTTATATGGCTTTAGCAGGAATGCTATAAAGAATTAAGTAAAAACAGATTGTTAATGGGCCAAAGTGGAAAATTTAAGGTTAGATTATGTTAAGATAAATTACAGTGGTGCCTCACAAGACAAAATTAATCCATTCCGCGAGTCTCTTCGTCTTGCGGTTTTTTTCGTCTTTCGAAGCACGGCTATTAGCGGCTTAGCGGCTATTAACAGCTTAGCGGCTTTAAGAAAAAGGAAACAAACTCGCAAGAACTCGCAAGACATTTCGTCTTGCAAAGCAAGCCCATAGGGAAATTCGTCTTGCGGAACGACTCAAAAAACGGAAAACTCTTTCGTCTTGCGCGTTTTTCGTCTTGCGAGGCATTCGTCTTGCGAGGTACCACTGTATAGAACAAAAATTGAGAAAGATGGAAAGGATTTGCTGAAATAGCTAATTGAACTAGAATACAAAAAAGGGAGGTGTCGATGAAACAAGTAAATGAAAGGTAAAGATACGGAAATATTGGATGTGTTTTTAAATGTTTTTGTTTCTTATGTTGTTTTGCTGTATTGTTTTTTGTTTTTCTTTTTTGATGTATTGTAAGGTATTGTTTTGTTCTGTTTAACTTTTTATTGCTTCTTTTTTCTTTTTTCTGTAATTATTAAACCTTTAATAAATATTATTTTTTAAAAAAGAATTCATACAGGGGAGAAACCTTATCAGTGTGTGGAATGTGGAAAGAGCTTCAGTTAGAGCTCCTCTCTCACTTCCCATCAAAGAATTCATACAGGGGAGAAACCCTATCAGTGTGTGGAATGTGGAAAAAGCTTCAGTCAGAGCTCCCATCTCACTACCCATCAAAGAATTCACACAGGGGAGAAACCTTATCAGTGTGTGGAATGTTGAAAGAGCTTCAGTAACAGCCGGAATCTTACTTCCCATCAAAGAATCCATACAAAGGTGGGAAAAACCATTATACAGCTTTAGAATCCAGGCTTTGGCTAATTGACGTGTATGAAGATCAAAGTATTATGGGCCTTAATTTATGATGAGTTAAAAAAAGTGTTTGGAATAACCTTTCTAAAAAGACCAGAGGGATTTCTGTTAAGTATTGTTGGCAGGGACATCCCGAATGCCTTTAGAGAGGTATTTTTATATGCAACGGCCACAGCTCGGACTGGCATAACAAGCTACAAGAATTTGCTGAAATGGTGCAGTTGACAAATAGCCTGAGAGGCACTTCAAAACAAAAAAATTATTTAAAAGTGGGATAGATATATGTTCAAAAATACAGTAAAGGTTCGCTATCTATGCTAGCTGTCAGTTGATGTTGGAAAGAGACTGAGTTGAGAAATAAGACCAAGGGTACATATTGATATAGGAATGTAATAGAAAAAATGTAAAGAAATATACAATAATAAGAATACATTCATTTGTGAAAAAGGAATATACAACGGGATAGACAGGAAGTCCAAAGTGTTGGTACATATATGATTTTGGAATAATTTTTTGTCCTTGTTTTTTTTCTTTTAGCATATAAACTTTGTATACATGTTGAAAATTATAGTAAAATAAGCCTTGTGATGTAACATGATCATGTTTACCGATGTAACATAAGAACATTAATAAATAATTTTTAAAAATACATCTAATGCCCTTTTAACATGTGATGTTTTGTGTTTTTATGTGGTGTTTTTATGTTGTAACCATCCTGAGACCTGTGGGTGTGGGGAATAGGCTACAACCCTTAAAGGCCTAGGGGTCTTTGACCCATCCCCCAATAAAATATTTGAGGATGCCACCCCCCAGTTTTTGGTGTGTTTTTTTTACCCAAACACAACCTTTTATCCTTCTCTTTAAAAATAAAAAAATAAACTCACAAAGGTCATGAGGAAAACAAAACACAAGAAAATACAAACGTGGACAGGTCCCATCTTTGTGGGCAAAACGCAAAAGTTACTTTAAAAGAGGCTTTCCCAAACTTGGGTCCCCAGCAGCTCCCGGACTACAGTTCCCATCATCCCTCCCTATTGGTCCTGCTAGCTAGGGATGATGGGAGCCCTAGTCCAAAACCAGCTGGAGACCCAAGTTTGATCGGCACTTCAACCTCTAGGGAGCTTCTAGGTGCTTTCTGTGCCACCTAGAGTACCCACAGAATTGTGGCGTCTATTGGCAACACACAGAGGAGAACAAATGAAAGACAAACACAATGAGCAGGCAAAAACCTGGAAAGGGCCATACCAAATGGACATCCGGTGTGAAGAGGTCCCCACTGCTGAACAATGCCACAGGTAGAGGATGTGAAATGCTAGAAGTGTCTCTGGGGCAAGGGGAGCTGCTGGGAAATTGAACTATGGGCTCAAAGTATTACTTTTTTTGAAAAAGTTGTTGCCATTATAGGCATTGCCATTCAAATGGATCATGTGATTGATTGTGCAAGGTGGGCCTTACCTGGCCCCCCATCAATATTTTATTCAAGTCGGCAGCACTGGGTCGGGTGGTTTCCAAATTAGATAAAGACATGAATCTCCTTCCTTTGCACATGTTCCAGCTCGTCAATATCCTCATTTATTCTTTTTAAAATTTATTTGCGTTCATCTGAAGATTTTACAATATAAATATACAGGATGAAAGTGCTCTGTGATATTTATATGAGGAAGCTAGTAAAATGAGGCTGAATGAGGCAACTGTTAGGTGGATTTGACTGACTGAACCCAAAGAGGACTCCTTCATGGTTCCTCCTCATCCTGGGGAAAAGTGACAAGAGGGGTACTGCAGGGTTCTGTCCTGGGCCCGTTGTTCAACGTCTTGATAATTGACATGGATGAAGGAACTGAGGGGATGCTCATCACATTTGCAGACAACACCAAACGGATCATAATGGCGTCCTCTCTCTTTTTCAGCAACAGACAGGGAGACACAGAACAGTGCAAAAGCACAGCAGAGCAGAAGAGATAAGACTGACTTCCGTTCTTACACTTTCCAAGCCTAGGAAACTAAACAGGTTCATGTTCAAAATGAACTTTCTTAAACACCCTTTTTGTTAGGTATCCCAAACCAAGCATTGCCAAAAAAAAAATGGATATTATTTATGTATGCTACAACAGCGGCCAGAATCTTGATTGCACAATATTGGAAGACAGAAGACATACCATGAAAGGAATAATGGCAAGAAAAACTGATAAACTATGCAGAGTTGGCTAAGCTAACAGATAAACTATGAGAGAAGGACAGAAAGGACTTCAAAAGAGTCTGGGAACCATTTACAGTCTATTTGCAGAAACAACAAAATGGACTGGATTCACCGGCAGGGTTTGAATAAACGTTCACAACTTTATTTCAGTAACAGATACTTTAGAGAAATGATTTGGGAAATTGCTTTTATATAAGAAAAGCAGGATACAATAAATAAAGCTAAATAACTCAGCAGAGGGAAAGTTGAGGGAAGTCCAGAGGAGGGAGGGAAAACAATGGTAAATAACATGACGATTGAGATCTGTATTTTTATTTGTTATAAAATTCAATAAATATTCATTTTATTTTAAAAAAAGAAAGTAAACAGAGACATGTGACATACTAGCCACATATCCAGCAACGGGAGGAGTGAATTGCTAACACAACACACATGATTGCAGGTGTTACAGAAAAGACATGGGGTGGCACATCTTTAAAGTCGTCACAATGTGTTCAATTCTGGGCATCACCGAAGGAGAAGGGATGTGTCTGCAAGCATTGGAAAGTGAATTTTAAGTTATGGTGGGGTGGGGTGGGGTGGGGTGATGGGCTGAAATTTAGCCAAGCTTTGCTCTTTGGTAGAAAAAGATGGAAGGATTGGTTTTCAGAGTTTGGAATAGAGTGTTAAGAAGTGGGAGGTGAAAGCGGTGATGTTTTGGAGCAGAGCTGGCGATATCAAGCATTTGAGTGATTATCTGGGGATTTTCATCACTTTGTCTGTTATTCAAATCAGACTTCAAATAGGCTAAAGTCAAGCCAAAGTTTAAAGCACATACAAATTCATAATTAGGTGGAATGTGCCTTGACCAAACTTTTATTACTGGCTTTTGGTGGGAAAGTTGAGTTGTTGGGTTGTCTGAATGTTGAAGTTCTGATCTATTTAAAGTTTCAGATCTATAAGCCTGCTTGCTAAGCAAAAAGAAACAGGAAAGCATACATATCAGAAATGTCTTAGGACATCAAACTGGGAAAGTGGATTTTAAACTAACTGAAAAGGTTTTATGCCCTTGGGAATTTGGTCTCTTAAATCTTAAATCTACCCCTTCGCCTTCCTTGAGTCCCTGGTAGGACAAGCCAATCATGGCTTTATTCAAATGGTAATTTAGTCAGGTGATGCAACACTTCAAATGGTATAATAGATTGCTGAATCATGTACCCTGTACATGTACAGTGGCTACGTTAGTTTAAAAAAAGAAGAAAGGAAAAGAAAAAGTAGGTTTAAACCAAGAGGTGACAAAGCTATGCTCTGCACATGAAACTTGATTCAAATTTCTTTTTGTAAAATTGGGAGCGATTAGGGGAACTGCAGTAAGAAGTACCCCTTTGTGTGTTTGTGTAAAATGGTTGGTTGCCCCAAATCTTTGCCCCAGGGGGTCCCAAAGGGGAAATAATGGTGAAGTACTGAACCATCAACAATGGAAGAAAGGTTGCCAAGGTCCAAATATAACATGCAAGATTCTTTCCACAGGTAAATTTCAGAGTTCTCCCACTCTGAATTGTCTCTTGAAGGGACAGGATACCCAAATCCTATCTGTGAAATCACCCCAGGCCTCAAAACTGTCCAGAATTCCTTTTGTCTTCTAAAAATCCAAAACAGCTTTTCTCTGCTCTCCTCTGCTCTATCACAAGATGCTGTGGCAAAAGGCAAAATGTTACTTTGAAAGGCTAATGAATAGACTCTGTCATTGCCAAGAATACTCAGGCCTGAGAAACGAATCTTATCTCATTCAGTTGCAACACCTTTGGACATGTTGAACCGTTCTCATTCCCCTTTCCTGGCAAGGGTGCCAAGAGTCCACAATAGTCCCAAGACAGCTTTCTGTTCATGCTCAGAGGAACCTCAACATGAGGCAGGACTCCTGAGGGAGGAGAAAGGGGGAGGGAACTAGAAAGGGGTATATATGTTTGTGCACATCACTGTGAACTCGTGCATGCTTTTTGTGACTTATCACACTTGCTCCTTCTACCAGTTCATGGATGGTAGAAATAAAAGCCTTTTCTCCGAAACTATTCCTTGAGTGTCTGTTGACTCCCACTTCCCTTTCCCAGGCGCAATATTTTCCCACCCGAGGGCAAAGCCTCATAAGGCTACACTCTGAGTAGTTGTTTTATTTAATGGATTTTTATCGATTTTATCAGGTTTTGTTTTGTTTGTATATACCTATGCATTATAGCAGGGACTGAAGGGGGACAGTTAGGGGGAACAGTTAGGTTACCCTAAAACGAGTCACAAGGAAGATGGCGAACGGCACTTAGTCAGCGTGAGTGTGAGCTCCCTGATTTATCTTTTAACATTGTTTTAATGAGTATAGAAACCTTTTAACTTTTAACTTTAGTTTTTAGTTTTTAGTCTTAGTTTTAAATTAGTAAGTAGGAGGACGCCTTTTTCTATCAGGGAGACAACCATTAACCTTGAAACTGGGGCGGTTGCATGAAGAGAGAAATGACTAAGCAAATATACAGCCCTGCTTGTGGGAGAGGAACTGGGAAACGTACCAGAGATTCTAGAGATATAGACGACACAGAGGAACGGAGATGCCTGCCTCTTGCTAAACAAACAAAAATTAGTGAATCTGAAAGTACAAAGGATATTTTTAATATCCCGGTTTCAAACTCTTTCACACTGCTAGCAGAGATGAATGACGAGGAATCCAGTGTGAAAGAACCTTTTGATAACCTGCCTACTAAACCTTCAAGCAATAATAATACTGGCATCCACTCGAATGTTTGCACTAGAGCCCGTGAAAGCTGCATTGACGAGATACTATTTGAACACTCGACTACTTTAGACCTGGTTGCTAGAACAGTGGACTATATCTTTAAATACATAAAAGACATCCGAGGATCCTTGGAGAAGATTATCTCGCTTGTATCCCTAACAGGTAAAGACAGTTCCCCTGATGTTCCACCTGAGATGAAGCCCTTACAAATGCCCAGAGCACCCGTTTTACCTCATACCTCTTGTATAATTCCTCAAGCTGCTGGCAATCAGAAAAGTGAGCAAGGTGAGCAAAATAAGAAGGAACAACACTCTGCACCTCCTCACAAACTGCTGCTGCAAGCTACCAAAATCTGCCTAACGGTTTGCCCCTTTAGAGGCAAGGTGATAAACTGGCACTATAAGAGTGATATAAGGAGATACCTAGCGGAGCTTCTGAGGGTAACCCCTAGCTCTATTGACTTGAAGCATATTGATCATATTAGCAGCAGACCTCAGAGGCAGAGAGTGCTGCTCTCCTTTAAAACCAAAAAGCTCCCTGCACTTATTATGTCCTCAAGAAGCCTTCTAATTAACTATGGAATCCTTGCTACAAGAGTCTTTACCAATACCAAGATCTGCTCCCTCTTACCAAACTGCTTGTTCAAAAAGAAAGCAGATAAGTCTGAGGGTCCGCCAATTGCTACGACCCCAACTCCCCTGGCAGCAGATCTAATCAGCTGGTTTGACGCCCCCCTGCCTCCACTGACAAAGGCCACACATCTGGAGAACTCTACGGAGCGTGAGTTACTTCTATCCTTCTCCCAATTGCCAAAACTGGAGCGAACAGAGATAACGGACAGATTGGACGAGTTGCTACTCTGTCTCCGTAACTCAGAAGATCATGCTCATGTAAATAAGATGAATTCTTCACCAATCGTAGATCAGGCTACACAAGCCCAAGTGGTACCTGCTTTAACGACCTTTGATCTGCAACCTGACTGTGCACAGCCTCGGGATGTCAAGTCCGGGCAGGATACAGTGGAAGATTCGACAACCCTCTGGTCAAATTCGGAAGCTGTGGCAAGACTGGATGCTCTTTTGGAGGCAAACCGAAAAGGATGCCTTCCACCTGCCTTACACTGCATGTTCCCTACAGCATCTGCAGATTCAAAAGGCCCACCCCCCTCAATCTTAGAGCATACTTTAAATGTAGAGTCTATGGACCTGTCGTTAAGTGATACTCCTGTGCACCAGAATCCATCCTTGCAGCTTCCAATAATTAAGCCTCAATCCATGGTTGCTGCTGCGGTAAGTGGTGCTCGGAAATTGCCTGGTAAGCAAGCTACAATTACTTCCTTCTTCCAGCCTATTGTCCCCCCTCGCCGCATGCATTCCCAGGTGGATTCTGCCGTGCTGGTTCCGCAAGGCCCAGCATGACTCGAAGGGGTGACCAGGAGATTACTTACTTTCTTATCCTGGAATGTAGCTGGCATTAAACCTAAGCTGATGGATCCATCCTTTGTCGCCTACATAAAAGGCAGTCATATTCTTTTGCTGCAAGAGACCTGGGCTTGTGAGGGCTTCTCCCTATCAGGGTATAAGGGCTTCTACCTGAATGCACATCAGAATTTACTATCTCCTGGCAGACCACAAGGTGGGTTGGCTACCCTAGTTTCTTTGGCCTTAAACCTGCAGGTGGAACAAATCGACATCCAGTCGTCATCCATGCTGGGTGTTAAGCTACAAACAGCGGAGGAAGTGTTTGTGGTGATTAATGTTTATTTGCACCCAATCTATAAGAAAAACCTGGTGGTCCAAAGATGGAGGGAATTCAACAGACTCTTGAAACTCTCCTAGAGAAATATCCTGAAGCCACCTTCCTAGTTGCAGGAGATTTCAATGGCCGATTGTCTCACTCTGATAAATCATTATTTGCTAAATATAATAAATATCCCTCACTACCCATTTTAACCTCAGACCTTTTACCCAGGAATTTTAAAGACAGTGTTGCTACATATGCAGGTTTTAAATGTAGACAAACTTTGATGGCTCTTAATTTTCACCTTTTAAACGGAGCTCTCAGTTCTGATTACCCTGCCGAATTTACTTTCTGGTCAGGCTCCCGAGCCTCTACCATAGACTTTATTTGGACATCAGCAGACCTAATTCCCAAAATTTCCAACTTTAGGGTGGTAACGAGGCTGGAAAGTGACCATTTTCCATTAGAACTTTCTCTGACCCTGGATGGAGAATTGGCTACCTACTCCTGCGTGCCTATTACAAATAACCAGCTTCAGATGAGGCCCACTGCCTTAAAATGGACCGACAATATGGCTCAACGGATAAATGAACTCCTTTGGTCTGACCAACTGCAAGAGACAAGGGACTCCCTTATCCAGGCAGTTGAGCCACTGCCAATATATGACAATTTAGTAGAACTGCTAAAACCTTCGTTGGCTAAGACCCCGGTAATGAATAGTAACCATTTCTCTCATAAAAAGTGGTTTGATGAGGAATGTAGGCACTTCAAGAACAACCTATATAATGAATTCTTGGCATATAGGGCATCAAATGACTCCGCACCTAGCAGTCACCTTATGATCCTCAAGAGAAGGTATAAAGCACTATTAAAGGAAAAGAAGCGTGCGGCAGAAAGAAATGATTGGAAGAACCTTCTAAAAGCTGCAGAAAATAGAAATCCCTCCTCCTTTTGGCACCAAATTTCCAGATACCTGGGTAGACCGTTGTCAAGGATAGAACCCCAAATTTCAGCTGACACCTGGGAAAGCTTCTTCTCCGTTTTATATGCAGCTCACGCAGCTAGCGGAGGAAGGTTAGATTTGGCCCCCTTGCCAGAGTGGGACCTTGTTACCTGCTCTGAAGTGGAAACACTTATAGGCCAATTTGAGGCGGGCAAGGCACCCGGAGACGATCTTATTTCCATAGATGTTATTAAAGCCAATAAGGATTGGTGGTGTCCACCCCTAGCAGCTCTTTTTACTTATATAAACAAAACAGCACAATTTCCTCCAAGCTGGAACTCTGCACTGATTGTGTTAATTCACAAGAAAGGGCCGCGCACAGACCCGGCCAATTTTAGACCAATTAGCCTGCTAAATGTTATCGGGAAGATCTATTCAAGATTTCTACTTAACAAATTAACGACCTGGATGGAAAGCAACAATATCATCGCAGAGGAACAGGCGGGTTTCCGCCCGGAAGATCAACAACAGACCAAATCTTAATCCTAAATCACTTGGCCACCAAGTACGCTGGCAATGGCCTAAAAGCCCTCCACGTCGCCTTTATAGACTTTAAGCAGGCCTTTGATCTAATTCCCAGGAACCAGCTATGGACAAAATTGGCAGCGACATCTATCGACCGCCGCCTTCTCTTGCTGATTATTAATTTGCATACAAATACCCTCTTGAGGATTAGGATAGATAGTAAGGGGCTAGTCTCCAACCCGGTTGCCACCACTAGGGGGGTAAGACAGGGCTGTTTGCTTGCCCCTGCTCTGTTTAACTTCTATATAAATTCGCTAGTGGTGCATATGGCAAATGCTGATTTCCATCCACCAAAACTGGCAGGACGAGCCTTGAATGTCCTACTGTATGCGGACGATGCCGCCCTATTAGCTACCTCCCCCATCGGATTAAGGAGGATGCTTCGAGCTCTTCATGAATATGAGACCCAACACGAGCTCCAATTAAATTATGCCAAGACCAAAATAATGGTCTTTGCTGCTCGACCGAAACCTAATTTATGGTCAATTAATGGTATTCCTCTAGAGCAGGTCAGTTGCTTCAAGTACCTGGGTCAGGTTGTAAGATCAAATAGGTCCTTCCTGGCGCACAGAGAATACATAGCCTCGAACGCATCCAAAGCAGCCCTGATGATTAGAACCCTGTACTCCAAGAAACAGGCACAAACTGTCAATGTTGCCTTACGTCTCTTTAAAATGAAAGTCCTCCCTCTTCTGCTGGTGGGCATTGCCTTGGGCTCACGTAGGGATTTTGAAAAATTGGAATCTATCCAAACCCAATTCCTCAGGGCCATACTCAGGATCCCCCTCTGTGGCAGGTGCGATCATGAGGCTGGAAACCGGTTGTCAAGCCTTTAGGTATGTGGCCCTGAAAGCGAAGTTATGGCTATGGCTCAAGCTCTGTTTCAGACCGGTGGGTTTGGCCCCCTTGATTCTGAGGGATAACTTTAAATCTCCATGGGAAGGGGAGATAGTGGAGGAAGTGCAGAAGTGTGGGTTGTCCTCCCTTTATATAGAGTCCATGACGTATAGCCACGCAAAGGCGGTGATCGCGCAAAGATTAAGGGATATTGCCAGACAGGAGGACATAGCCCGTGTGAAACCTGGGTTGTTTCTGGGGGAGCAGTTGTATCGGGCTGCCCCAGCTCGCTACCTGGCGGATATCCACTACGTGGAATACCGCAGACTATTTACTGCGGCTAGGCTGAATGTTCTTGACTCGGCGGTCCTGAAGGGAAGATATGGAGGAGTCCCATATGACCAGAGATTATGCCACTGTGCATTGGGTGAGGTAGAATCCACAGAGCACATTTTATTGAGCTGTCCCTTCTACAACGATTTAAGACAGTATCTTATAACTCCATACTTACCCTAGCTCAGTTCCCGACAAAGAGGAAAGCAGACAGCATATCTGCTAAATAAGTCTTCTGGGAAAACAACCTTGTCAGTGGCTAAATTTCTTTTCCTGGCACTCAAGTGTCGGAAACGTATAATTGAATGCCTTGACGTGGGTTATCTGTGAGAGATCTAGTACTGTGGCTCTACCTTACTTATGTACCTTATGTAACTTATGATGTTATAGCTTATAATTATTGTGTAATGTTTTAATTCTGACTATCGGTCGAATAAAGAAATTGGTTGGTTGGTTACCCTAAAACTGTTTGTGAATTTCCTCCCCCAGCCAGGCCTCAAAGCCTCAAGCACTTTTCAAACTGCACTTTTCAAAGTTTTTCTCTCTCTAAGGCTAAAAGCTTTTAGCTGAGCATCTTTCTATGTAACAAAGGTAGCTGAATTAGAACAAAGCCTTTTCGCTTCTCAGGCTACAGGACGTCCAACTTCCAAGATGCTGAGATCTACTCCCAGTAATAAAAAACCTGCCAGTGATCTACCCATTGTCTTTGCCCAGAGTTGTGGAGCTTTTCTCAGGGAGCAGTGACCAGAGTTGTGGATCCACCAGTAGATGGCGATTGACCTGTTGCACATGCCTCCATTCTAGGAACAGCATCCCTGACGCAGAATTTCACAGAAAGTCCCTAAGATGATTCCCCTTTCAGACAGGATACCTGAACGTAAGCCAGCAGGGTCCTCCTCTCCGGCAGCCCCAGAACGGCCTCCGCTGTCCGGTGCTTGGACACCTCTCAGGGCAGCTTCCTGGCAGCTCTGCATCACCTGGAGCAAGAGATCTTGCTCTGGCTCCAGCAAAAGTCAGACTGTCACGTTCCTCACAACTGAGAGTCCTGGCAGCGGGGGGAAGGTCTTTGGGATCCTCTCCCTCATAGCTGTCAACTTTTCCCTTTCCTTGCGAGAATCCTATTCAGAATAAGGGAATTTCCCTTCAAAAAAGGGAAATGTTGACAGCTATGCTCTCCCTACTCTTGTTTCCTCCAATACTCACCATTGCTGGATGAAGAAAGCCTCTGGCACATCTTCAAGAAGAGAAAAACAAGTAATAAATGAAATAAGAAACTGAGAAAATAAGAATCCACTGACTGCCTCACCTTGTCCTCCGTCAACTGCCACCAACTGCTCTCTCCTCCACTCGCCTCACTGCTAACCCAAAATGGCCGCCTGCAAGTCGGTGGCTTTTACCGGTCCTTGTCACCGTGGCAACCTCCCTCCCCCTGGACCTGGGCCCACCTGGCTCCACCTATTGGGAGATGATCTATAATGAAATGAAAAAAATGTTTAAGATAACCTTTGTTAAAAGACCAGAAGCGTTTTTATTAGGTATTTATTAGGCATTTTAGGTATCTTACCAAAAGATAAGAAAAATCTATTCATGTATGCGACAACAGCGGCCAGAATTTTACTAGCTCAAAGATGGAAAGGCGATGAAAAACCAGCGAAAGAACACTTGCAAGAAAAGTTGATGGAATAGGCTGAAATGGCGAAGCTAACTGAGAGACTTAAAGATAAGGACAATAATGATTTTAAAAAGGATTGGGAACCTTTTAAGATGTATATACAGAAACAATGCATAGAAATGAACTCACTGGCAGGATTTGAGTGATACACTTACAATGGACAAATACAAACAGAAAATGCAGTTATGAGGTAAAAATGAGAAGGAAGAGACAAATGTTATAACCTTCATTTTAATATATAAGGAATACAAATTTATAAGCAAAAGAAACAGAGATGTTATAAAGCAGGAAGGGAAGCTGGAGGAATTCGCATGGCGGGGGGTGTTAATTGAAATTGTAAAATGAAATTTGAATATTTGATTATGTTAAAATTTCTTTAATTAAGTTATTTTTTTAAAAAAGGAAAGAAAGAAAAGCAATGGCTCCTCTTACTTAAGGGCCCCACAGACCTCATGGGACACCAGAGCTGATTCCCTTGTTGCTTTTTTGAGTCAACCAGCAATGGGGGTTGCATTTCCTTATTTCCAGGAGGGCTGTTGCTGAAGCACATGACATGCTCTTCACACTTAGTTATCTATTAGGAACATGGGCACAAATTATTGTATGTGTGTTTGTATCTGCAAACTACCCCAGTCTCTGAGTGGTGAGATTCCAGGGGTCCCAGGCGCTTCCCCATCTTCAGTTTCCTTGGAACGAAAGTCAGCGGAGACTGGGGCGTCTTTATGATATAGTTTTATTTACTCGCATACACAACCGGAGTGTAGGACGGAGGAGCTCACAGCATCAACACCCAAACAGATCTTGCTTCTCTATTAGTGGCAGCTTTGGCTCCAGCACAGAGCAAGCTGGTTTTGGGGTTTCCCACAGCTCTCTCTGGGTCTTGCTTTCCTACCTAGCAGTCAGGTGAGATGGGAGGGGGGAGGACAGCCCCCCCCCCATTAGCTGCAGCTCTTGCAACCCAGCTCCTTCGTTGGGGATGCTGAGGAGGACACTCTATGGCCAGGAAAGGCCCTTGTCTTGCCAAGAAACTTGTCTGTGGGAATCGTGCATCCATAATGCTATGGAAAGGGTGAATGTCTTCTAGAATTCTCTGGTGTCACCAGAAGAGGAAGCCGTTCTTTTCAGTTAGGTCTGTTCTCAACTGCAGAGGATGAGTAGCCTTGGGAGCCTCTTGGGGAGATGGAAGTATTTAGAAAGGAGAACACTGGGTTCCCCAGCCACTCTGGGCGGCTTCCAACAAAATATTAAAATACAATAGTCCATCAAATATCAAAAGCTTCCCTAAACATAAAAATAACAACAATCCATTTTCAGTCCATTGAATTAGCAATTGAGCATTTCTGGAAAGGGAAATGGCATACTTTTGTATATTAGCATAAAAAGCATGCATAAGAAAGTATTACTCATTTATGATGAGAATAGGATTTATTTATTTTGAACTTCGCTGGGTTCTTCCTTGGCAGCCAGTACGATTGTTTCAGCAGGGCTAGAACTCAGGACCCGCTGCCTTGAGGGACATCTAAGAGCAGTTGGGCAGGGGAAAGGTCTCCCTTGGGAGGTGGTGGACTCTCCTTCCTTGGAGGTTTCTAAGCACAGATCGGACAGCCATCTGCCATGGATGCTTTAGCGGAGATTCCTGCATTGCTGGGGGTTGGACTAGATGACCCTGGGATCCCCTCCTATCTCTCCACTCCTGAATTGTAGGAGGAGCTTCCTTGCCTCCTGCAAAGCCCTTTTCCCTGCAAGCTCTTCCTCTGGTTTCTGGCCAAGGGAGGGAGATGCTCAGTGTCCAGCCAAGAGCCTCACCCCCAAATGATATCTGGGCATTGGCGTAGCCGGGGGGGGGCAGCTGCCCCCCTTAATCCATAAAAAATAATAAGAATCTGAGGTTTTGCCAAGCGAGAGAGGGCTGAGCTGGAGGGACTCGGCTTGGCAAGGGTTAAAGGGAAGTGAGCTGCCTTCCTAGAGAGGCCAGGAAGCAAGAGGGGGTCAGGTCCTCCAGAGCCAAGGCCCCTCCCTCCCCAGTCCTTCCCTTGCTTTGGGGTCTCTCCTGCAAGGGCTGCCTCGCTGTCCCCTCCTGGGATCTGGTGAGTCTCCTCTCTCTCCCCCCAGAGGGTGCAGTGGGGAGACGGGGGGGGGGGTCCCAGGGCTGCAGCAGGGGAGGATGCCTGGGGGGCCTGATCAGGGAGGGGCCGGGTCTGCCACGCTCTCCTTTCTGGAGATCAGAGGATCACAACTCATTTGGACCCCCCCCCCCTTTCTGAAAAAATCTCCCTTCTTTAAAGAAAGGAGTCCCTGGGACTTTAATTCTGTGTGACATCGCTCAGCCTCATTGCACAACAGAGGAAACATGTGCAAATGGTTTTCCAAAGCTGGACGAGGTGATGGACTAGTCCCCCCCCCAAAAAAAGAACAACGGGGAGGAAGGAAGTTAAAGTGGGGAAGGAAGGCCAGGAACAAAGAGAGGGATCCCAGCCCCTAGTCTGGCTGCTGCATTGCAAACCAGTTTCCCAGTCGTCTCTCAGGGCAGCTCCCCACGGAGGCCACTGCAGCAATCCCCTCGCACCCAGAGCATGGCATCCCAGGACCACATCCTCTCTGTCCCAAAGGGATTGTTGCTGGCAAAGCAGCCGGAAATGGGCGCCGCTACTCACCGAACCTGCAGGGACCTTGGCATCAATGGCTGTGTGTGTGTTAAGTTATCTAGCGAAATAATAATAATAAATTACCTGCCTAAATTTCAAGGGAGATGTCTTTGGACCTTAGGGGATTGATCAGATACATACCTGGCCCTCAGAGCAAAGAAAAAGGGACCCCACCCCAGGAGTCTGTCTGGAGAGCGGCAGACAGTCCAAGTGCAAGAAAAGGAGACAGAAGCAGGGGAGTGGGGGTGGGGGAGGAACTCCTGAGGACCCCAGGCGAGGACCCCCACTAGAGCCAAGCATCCAAACAAACGATTCCCTTGTAAGTTGGTTCTGACTTCATGCATTGACTGGAAGGCAGCAGAAACCAGGTTGATTAATCTCCCAGAAATCCCTTCAGTTGCCTCCACATTTTGCATTGCTAGAAGGCTAGAGACTTAGTTCTCCTCCTCTTCCTGCTCTTTCTTTTCAAAAAGATAGCTCACGGTCTGGGATGCGGTGCAGTCCAGCCCCGGTTCCCAGCAAGACTCATCCATGCTTGCTCAGGGAAACATTTCCCCCCCTTCAGTTGCCTCCACATTTTGCAATCTTCTTTCTAGGAGAGCTTCTTCTTCTTCTTCTTCTTCTTCTTCTTCTTCTTCAGAAAATAGCTTATGATTTGCATGCTAAGGGAAGCTTTTTCTTCCTCTGACCTACAAATTCTGTAACAAAACAATGTATTTGCTTTGTAGGATTTGCCACGGCTTCTCATTTAGAAGGGCAGAACGTGTCAGAAGACTAAAGGGTTCCTTCCGATCTCTCAGAGGCTTCCTGAGAGCACAGATGGATGAGCGAAACTCAGCTGGCCCTGGAACAGGAAGAGGCCATGCCAGCCAAACTGGGAGCAGTGGGGGATTCTGGGAAAACCCAGTGCAGAAGATCCTGGGTGAGGAGGACACCCTCTGCTCAGAGGTGCAGAGCCAGCAGTTGAGGCAGTTCTGCTGCCCGGAGGCCAAAGGACCCCGAGAGGTTTGCAGCCGACTCTGCCACCTTGACCATCAGTGGCTGAAGCCGGAAAGGCACACGAAAGCTGAGATGCTGGACCTGGTGATCTTGGAGCAGTTCCTGGCTGTCCTTCCCCCGGAGATGGAGAGCTGGGTGAGGGAATGCGGAGCGGAGACCAGTTCCCAGGCGGTGGCCCTGGCCGAAGGTTTCCTCCTGAGTCAGGCAGAGGAGAGAAAGCAGGTGAGAGAGACTTTCCTCTGGATACTCCCAAGGGGCTCCAAACAGGACAGAGAACATCCCATAATGGTCTGCTGATGGCCCATCCGTTTTCTGGTAAAGCATCCATGGAGTGAGATCTCACAGCCTTTCTCACCATTCTCTGTTTTGAATCCTTGTTTCTTTTTCAGGGAAAGGATCTCTTTGCAGAAATGGACCTGGATTCCTGTGAGGCAGAGAGGCCTCCGTTGGACACCAGAGAGAGGCCCCTGGGTAAGGAGGAAGGTGGTTTTTCTCAGTTTAGTCTCATTCTGTTCGTTTTCCAACTCATCTGAGGGTTCTTTTCATCTTGTTTTGGGGGGAGACAGTTGGGAACAAGGGTCCAGAGGAGGGAGATGTATTTCTGCACAACTAACATATGAAATGGGCACAAATGTCCAAATACTCTCAGCAGGTAAGGCTTTCTCAAAGGCCCATGTTTAGTTAGAGATGCCCTGTTTCACCTGTGAGAGAAGCCGGCACTTCTGGCGTCCTGTTTACCTTTTTTCTCTTGCAGGTGACAGAATGATGCCAGTAAGACCTCCTGATCCGTCTTTTCATGGGGGCAGAAGGGAAGCAGCGGCTGTGGAACCAGATCAGGTCAGGGGAAGCTGCCTTGTGGGGACAGAGGCTGAGAGATGGAGCAATGTCATGGACTGGTTGGGCACAGAGGAATGGTGGGAGGATACAGCTGGGGAACCAGGAAGGGAAAATGGCTGAGAGCCCAAGAAGTGGAGGTAGAAGAAGGATGGGTGGTCAGAGGGGCAAGAGGGAGAAGCTTGGGAAGAGGAGGTGTCAGAAGCTTAAGGGGTTACAGGGGTTAGTGAGCTGGGAGACTCTGTGGCAGAATGCAGTGCAGAATCAGAGGCAGAAGAGGAAGGAGGTGAGTGGGAGAGGAAGGTCGAGAGGCAGAGGTGAGTCAGGAGAAGGAGGAGCCACCAGTGGCTCCCTCTCCTTTTGCCAGAAGCCACCCTCCCTGCTTGTCTCTCAGAGCCAGGAGACCCCCTGCAATGTAGCAATCTCTGCTAGATCATCCAAGACAGATGGCCATCCAACAAAGGCTTATTTTATTTCTAGATTGATCACTGAATGCTCAGATTGGTTTCTAAGCAGTGGACAAATGAGAACAAATAGTGGCCTGGATTCACCTAACCAGCCCCATTGGCTGCAAAATGGGGCCTGCCCCCCATTCCTACCCCTCTCCATGCCCCCATGAACCCCTGGAATTTGGCTCTAGGGCATTGGGAGGGAACTCCCCAGAACAGCTCACGAGGAGAGGAGAAAGTGGACCCTTCCATCAGGCAAACTGGAATGCTTGTGTAGGCAGAATGACTTGGAAAACACAAGGTAGAGTTTGCACAAAGACGAATACCCATAATTAAAACTTAGAATAAAATAAGCATCCAGAATTAAAATGTGCAGCAAAGCAATCCTGTTGAAACAACTCCCCTGCATGAGTGTCTGAGGGCCCCGCTCCTGCCACTCACCACCTGGCCCAGGGCGGGGCCTGACAGGCCTCATAAGGACGCTTGCTGCTGGCCAGGAGGACTCGGAGCAGCGCAATGTTCTTTTTAAAATGTTTTAAAAAATTTCTTTTTTCCCTGTGGATTACTTTTTTTTTGTGGGGGGTGGGCTGGAGGTTTGGTTGGGTTCGGGAATTAGATTTTTTTTTTATAAGGGTTTTATTTTGTTCTTAAGGAGAGGGGTCAGGGCTGCCAGGTAGTGGGTCCCAGCCCACAAAATAGCTGGGGCATGTTCCAAGGGGCGGGGATGCACTGGGACAACCGATCTCAGTGATCACGGTTAGGAGGAGGAGGTACGCCAAGACCAGACCATGTCATTACAGAGGAGGCAGGTTTAGTCGTTTGAGGACTATCCCTGCGTCTGGGTCTGGTCCTGACTGGACGGATACTAGAATCAGCAAGGGATACCCACATGACCTGAAGGTGCTGCTGTTCAATGCCAAGTCAATGATTCATAAAACCACTGCCATCCATGACTTGATCATGGATGGAGGACTTGACCTGGCATGTGTAACAGAGACTTGATTGGCTGAAGCAGATGGGCCCTCTTCGATTGCATGGAGCCTGGACAGCCCTGTGGTTTTCCACGGATCTGAGGGCAATAAAACAATCGCCGAGACGGCTAGAGCGCCGGTGGCGGATAACTCATTCTGAAGCTGACCGGACATGGGTTAGAGCTCAATGTCGAGCCTACCAAGTGGCGGTAGTGGCGGCGAAGAAGACTTTCTTTGCCGCCTCTGTTGCATCTGCAGAAAACAGCAGCAGGAGACTTTTTCAGGTGGTTTGCAATTTAGCGGAACCACCTGCTACATCGGGGCCCAGTATGGGCCACATGATCTCCTGCAATGATTTTGCAAAGTTTTTTGCAGATAAAGTCGCTCAGATTCAGGAAGAGGTAGACTCCACCATGGAGCAAGGCCGGGGCGGGAGAGTGCTAGTGTCCTGTCTAGTCAAGTTGCGTGGGATCAATTCCAATCTGTTACCTCCGAGGATGTGGACAGGCTGCTTGGACGAGTGAAACCAACCACCTGTCTCCTTGATCCTTGCCCATCCTGGCTTATAAAAGCTAGCCGGGAAGGGCTGGGCGATGGGCTTTGCGAGGTCGGGAATGCTTCTCTCTGTGAGGGAACTTTCCCAGACCCGCTGAAAGAGGCGGTTATCAAACCGCTTATTAAAAAACCATCTTTAGATGCTGCCAATATGGCTAACTATCACCCAGTCTCAAATCTTCCATTCTTGGGCAAGGTGATTGAGCGAGTGGTTGCTGAACAACCATAACATCCTTCTGGACCGTCTTGAGGGGCTGGGAGCTGGGGGCACTGTCATACAGTGGTTCCGCTCCTTCCTCCTGGGCCATGTTCAGAAAGTGGTGGTGGGGGATGAGTGTTCAGACCCCTGGGCTCTCACTTCTGGGGTGCCTCAGGGTTCTGTCCTTTCCCCCATGCTTTTCAACATCTACATGCAGCTGCTGGGAGAGATCATCAGGGGGTTTGGGCTGGGTGCTCCTCAGTATGCGGATGATACCCAGCTCTACCTCTCTTTTAAATCAGAACCAGGGAAGGCGGTGAAGGTCCTGTGTGAGTGTCTGGAGGCTGTTGGAGGATGGATGGCGGCTAACAGATTGAGATTGAATCCTGACAAGAATGAAGTACTGTTTTGGGGGGACAGGAGGTGGGCGGGTGTGGGGGACTCCCTGGTCCTGAATGGGGTAACTGTGCCCCTGAAGGACCAGGTGCGCAGCCTGGGAGTCATTCTGGACTTGCAGCTGTCCATGGAGGCACAAGTCAATTGTGTGTCCAGGGCAGCTGTTTATCAGCTCCATCTGTTATGCAGGCTGAGACCCTACCTGCCCTCAGACTGTCTCACCAGAGTGGTGCATGATCTGGTTATCTCTCACTTGGACTACTGCAATGCGCTCTATGTGGGGTTACTTTTGAAGGTGACCCGGAAACTACAACTAATCCAAAATGCGGCAGCTAGACTGGTGACTGGGAGCAACCCTCGAGACCATATAAACCGGTCTTGAAAGACCTACCCTGGCTCCCAGTACGTTTCCGAGCACAATTCAAAGTGTTGGTGCTGACCTTTAAAGCCCTAAAAGGCCTCGGTCCAGTATACCTGAAGGAGCAACATTGTTCTGCCCAGACACTGAGGTCCAGCGCTGAGGGCCTTCTGGCGGTTCCCTCGCTGCAAGAAGCCAAGTTACAGGGAACCAGGCAGAGGGCCTTCTTGGTAGTGGCACCCGCCCTGTGGAACGCCCTCCCACCAGATGTCAAAGAGAAAAATAACTACCAAACTTTTAGAAGACATCTAAAGGCAGCCCTGTTTAGGGAAGCTTTTAATGTTTAATAGATTATTGTATTTTAGTGTTTTGTTGGATGCCGCCCACAAAGACAAATACCCATAATTAAAACGCAGAATAAAATAAGCACCCATAATTAAAATGTGCAGCAAAGCAATCCTATTGAAACAAAACCGCAATTAACAGGAAGGAAACAACAGAGCATTGTGTAGCAGATCATATTTCTGCTGTCTCAGAGGAGGACATTTCCCTTTTTCTTTTAGGGTCCAGTGTGCTTTGAAGATGTTGCTGTTCATTTCACGGAGGAGGAGTGGGCGTTGCTGGATCCTGACCAGAGAGCTCTGCATAAGGACGTCATGGAGGAGAATCATGGGACCGTGGCCTCTCTCGGTAAGGCTCAAAAAATACCTCAATGTGACCAACCTCATATATTTTCACAGAGCTCAACAGCACCCCTATAACACCTGGGAACCTAACACCCCCACAATAAAGAGTAAATTACAGTTTTTCTTTGAACAATCTTCCTCAAATCATTCCTTTTTCTACCAGTATTGGGCTGGTCTGAACTTCTGAGGCCATCTTAAATGTCAGCTTCAGAATTTTTAGGAAAGCTAAGTAGCTTCAGGTTTTTGTTTTTGCTCCTGTCAGTCTTGGGTTGAACAAAGAGACGACTGACATTGGAGATGGAGGGGATGCCATGACTGGGCCAAACAAAACCCATCCCAGAGAAGAGCTAGGCTTATGGAATCTCAGGTAGTAGTAGCAGTGATGAGGATGAGGATGAGGATGATGATGATAGTAATAGTAATACAGTGGTACCTCGGTTTACAAACTTAATCTTTTCCGGAACAGGACAGTTCTTAAATCAAGGTACCACTGTAGTAGTAATAATAATAATAATAATTTTTATTTCTCCCTCCCATCTGGCTGGGTTGCCCCAGCCACTCTGGGCGGCTTCCAACACATATATCATCATGAAACATAAATAATAATAATCTGATTCCATATAAAAAGAACATTAATTTTAAAATGAACAACTTATACTAGTGGCCGAAATTGTGGAAACCTTTTGTGAAAAGTGTATTTCTGAGGTTTGATGGCTCCTAACACCACTTTTGTATGGAGTAATACCATAAAATTATAAAGCAATAGAAAGATAATTTAATGAAGAATGTAATGCAATGACTTTTATGAAGGAGTATTTATTAGAACAGCAGTCATAAAGAAAAAACGTGAAATCTTTGGTAACCATTGGTAACCTTTAGCTTTCATTACGGCCTTACAATGCCTTCCCATGAAGTGAACCAAGTTTTTAGTTCTGCAACTGTAAGAATGTCAAACCAAGACTGAATTATTGCCTCTGTTGATTGGGCCTTATTGCTGGGTTGCCTCTGATTAACAAGTTTCTTTCATCAGCTGCATAGAATTCTGATTGGATTAAAGTTTGGGCTATTCCCAGACCATTCCGGGAGTGGAATGGGATCATCTTGAAAGCACCGTTTGCACACAGCAGCAACAGGTCATGGAGCTGAATCCTGTTGAAATAAATAAATAAATATGCTTCAGTATCTGGGAAAAGATCACCTGCGGAACGCTTCAGTTTGGGCTCAAGCATTTCATTTATGTATTTGGGGGGCGTTTAAAGTTAAAGGGACCCCTGACTGCTAAGTCCAGTGGCGAACGACTCTTGGGTTGTGGCACTCATCTCGCTTTATTGGCCAAGGGAGCCGGCGTACAGCTTCCAGGTCATGTGGTCAGCATGACCAATCCTCTTCTGGCGAACCAGAGCAGCGCACGGAAATGCCATTTAAAACCAACCAACTTGTTAGCAATCAACCAACCAACTTGTTAGCAATCAACCAACCAACTTGTTAGCAATCACGTAACACACTGACAAAAGTCAACCTAAGCATGTTGTGCTTCCTTTTTCTGCTTATTTGGCTATAGTGTTTGATAGAATACAGATAATTGAACAAACTTTCTTGGATTGCATTCTTGATTAAATTATCTTCCCACTGATATATAACTTTATAATATTACTCCAAAAGAAGTGGGGTTATGAGCCATCAAACCTCTGAAATACACTTTTTTCCCAAAAGGCTTCCACAGTTTTGGCCACTGTTGTTGTTGTTTAATCGCTTAGTTGTGTCCGACTCTTCGTGATCCCAGGGACCAGAGCACGCCAGGCACTTCTGTCTTCCACTGTCTCCCGCAGTTTGCTCAAACTCATGCTCATAGCTTCGAGAACACTGTCCAACCATCTCGTCCTCTGTCATCCCCTTCTCCTTGTGCCCTCCATCTTTCCCAACATCAGGGTCTTTTCCAGGGAGTCTTCTCTTCTCATGAGGTGGACAAAGTATTGGAGCCTCAGCTTCAGGGTCTGTCCTTCCAGTGAGCACTCAGGGCTGGTTTCCTTAAGATTGGATAGGTTTGATCTTCTTGCAGTCCATGGGACTCTCAAGAGTCTCCTCCAGCACCATTGTCGGGGAACCAGCCCACCAGGTGCGGAGGAAAATGACGAAGAGTCATGGGTGAAGGTTTAAGCAAGGAGTGAGCTCTCCCTCCCAGCAGCCTTGCATGTTTATTAGCCTTGCGCACATTACATCATGTTGCATATACACGTGTAGCACTCGGGTGGAAAACAGCTAGGGTTTGCATTTCTTAGAATAACTATTCTCTACCAGGACATAACTCCAGACAGCATGACAGCCGCGTAAGCTTTGCGGTTAGGCAGCTTGTCAGTGACCTCGGTGGTGGGGGAACCAGTCAGCAGATGTTTCCTCTTGCACAATCTTGCACAAGGGTGTATTTTTCTATTGCATCCCCACATGCCCTCCTTTTTTATATTATTTAATCAGAGTCATAAATTTCATTCCGAGGCAGAAGCTCGCCAGGGTCGCACACAGCGCGCTGGTAACCAGGTAGGCCGTCCATCCAGGTCCACTGCCGCGTAGCCGCGTCCCCAGGAGATGAGTGGCACAGGACCATGCCATGTTGGATCAGGTAGCTGTCTGTAAGATACAAGAGGCCGAGCCAAAGGCTCTGCTTTTCGAAAATGAATCTCAGCCGGTGTATATTCCCTATTATTGGGATACAAAAGATGGTTAAGAGTGAATAAAACAGTATGCACAATTGAAGGAATCTCGGCGGAGGGGGCATTTCGACCTCCAAGTTGTTTGGACAGCAGTGTCTTGAAGGTCAGGTGCGCCCTCTCCACAATCGCCTGTCCTGTTGAATTAAAAGGCAAACCATGGATTAATTTCACATTCCATAAATCACAAAAGGATGAAAACTGAGAGGAAATATAGGCTGGGCCATTATCCGTCTTAATGCTTTGTGGCTTACCCATCACAGCAAAACAGCGCAGGGTGTGCTGAATGACGTCACGAGCGGTCTCACCCTTCAATGGGGTGGCCCAGATAAATCCAGATGAGGTGTCCACTGTCAAGTGAACTTTTGAAAATGGGGCGAGCAGAGGGGTGTGAGTGACATCCATCTGCCAAACCGCAAGAGGGACGTACCCCTAGGGTTCACCGCATCAAAGGGAATCATGGTTGGAGCCTTAGAACAGGTAGGACATTGAGAGACAATGTCTCGTGCCTGTGCAATAGGGATTTTAAACATTTTTGCCAAAACCTTAGCAGGCTGGTGAAAGGTAGAATGAGAGAGAATAGGGTCAGAAAACAAGGAAAACACTTCAGATCGCAGTGCAGCGTCTGCCACGGCATTTCCCTGAGCCAAAACCCTGGGTGATTGGTGTGGGAACGAAGGTGTGCAACATAAAAAGGATGACGGCGTTCTTGAATAAGATACTGCAAGGTAGAAAAAAAGAACAAACAAATCAGCATCTAACGCAGGCGTGATATAAGAAACAGGCAGGGAAGACAGAAGGCGATACACATATTGTGTATCAACAAGCAAATTAAAAGGTTTGTCAGGAAAGAGTTGAAAGGCAAGGATTACAGCAGCAAGTTCAGCCCGCTGGGCGGACCTCTGTTGCTCAGTAAATTCAGTTTTCCATTTTCCACCCTCTTCCCATGCTACCACCCCCGCGTTTTGACCCATCAGTGAAAAGGGTAAGGGCAGAGGGGATGGGGGTCGGAGAGAGAGCAGTTTTTAAAGTATAGACAGTTTGAGAAAGAAAAGCCAAGCGTGGATCAGAGGGGGGATTATGCGTGATGGTTCCCAAAAAATCCACAAGTGCTACTTGAGTAGCCACGGAGGTGGAAATCAGGTGTTGTGTTTCTGTGAGTGAAAAAGGCAAGTAAATTTTTTCAACGTCCAGTCCAGAGAGGGCCTTTGCTCGAGCACGCCCTTTAATTACCAAATCCATTACAGCCGCTGGAGAGGAATAAATGTTACGCGGTGGAGTATGCGGAAGGTGGATCCATTCCACAATGTTGACACCCGAGGGGCAGCCGATTTCTGTGAGTAGAGAATGGCTGTAGGCAGCAAAGGTGTGGAAAAAATTGCCAAGGATAACTGCACATTGTGCAGAGTGTCTATGCGATCCACCATTCGGTCTCTTAATAAAGCATTAACCTGTTGTAAGGCTTGTAGCATTTCTTCTGTAACTGGGATGACTTCTCTGGGTAGTTTGTGTCCTTGTAAGGCAGAAAACAATGGTGACAAGGTGCTAGTAGGCAGATTAAGGTAATTCTTAATCCAATTCAGGTGTCCCAAAAGTTGTTGAAGGTCAACCAGCCGTAGGCGGGCAGGAAAAGACAATTGGGGAACAACCGGAATGGCAGCTTGTTGTGTCAATTTATGTCCAAGATATAACATAGGCAAAGTTTGCTGAACCTTATCTGGGGCAATACACAGTCCAAAATCTGTCAGGGCAGATGTAAGGTCTCTTAATAATTCCACTGATATGTGCTTCGCAGCCACAAGGATATCAATTGGGTGGAGGCTTTGACAGGCTGGCGCTTCTCCCCCGACATCCAAAACTTGGGCAGCTGCCTTTGTGGGCCATTCGGGAGGCCAGTCTTGTTTAGCAATCACAGTAACATCTGCCCCTGTATCCAGAACCCCCTCTACCTCACGTCCACCCAGTGTCATTTTTAATGTAGGGCGCTGAGCTGTGAGAGGCATTGCAGCAGCAATTAAGGGGATATCTGTAGGAGTTGTGGCATCCGCAGGGAGCAGTATGACTTTAGCCACTGGCGTGCCAGATGAAAAACCTAAGAGGGGGGCTGCTTGTTTAATTGCAGTCCCCAGTGGCGTCGGCGGAGGCTGATAATCTGGTGGTCGTGGCGGAGTAAAAGGTGGTGGTTGAAGCGGTGCAGCCGGATATATGAAAGGCATATTCAGGACTGTTTTTTGTTGTGGTTGCAACGAAGCCAAGAGGATGTTTTTGGGCGTAAGAGTTGCCATGCAGCCACGGACTTTAGCCCAGGCACTGAGGACGTGAAGATTTATGCGGCCATGGCCATGAAAGTGGTCGCCAATTTTGTCCCAGTCTGGTATTTCCCATGTCCCGTCCTCAGGGAACCATGGACAATGTTCATCTATGGCCAGAATCAATGCGATTAGATCACCTTCAGGTACTTGCTGTTTATTTTCCCGAAGGAGGTGCTGCATGTCTTTTAAAAATTGTTTCTGAGGGTTGGAGAGCGCAGAACCCATGATAAAAATAGAAAAATAGCTACTCACCGGGGATCCGAAGATGAGAGGGCGCCTTGAGCCACAGCCGGGCGGGTGAGTAGCAGGGAGGAGCGTCTTTGACAGCACGCGTCCTGGAAGCCGTTCAGGCAATCACACGGGGCACCATTTGTCGGGGAACCAGCCCACCAGGTGCGGAGGAAAATGACGAAGAGTCATGGGTGAAGGTTTAAGCAAGGAGTGAGCTCTCCTCCCAGCAGCCTTGCATGTTTATTAGCCTTGCGCACATTACATCATGTTGCATATACACGTGTAGCACTCGGGTGGAAAACAGCTAGGGTTTGCATTTCTTAGAATAACTATTCTCTACCAGGACATAACTCCAGACAGCATGACAGCCGCGTAAGCTTTGCGGTTAGGCAGCTTGTCAGTGACCTCGGCGGTGGGGGAACCAGTCAGCAGATGTTTCCTCTTGCACAATCTTGCACAAGGGTGTATTTTTCTATTGCATCCCCACACACCATAATTCAAAAGCATCCATTCTTCGGTGATAAGCCTCCTTTATGCTCCAGCTCTCACTTCCGTACATCACTACCGGGAAAACCAGAGCTTTAACTATATGGACCTTTGTTGGCAAGGTGATGTCTCTGCTTTTAAAGATACTATCTAAGTTGGTCATTGCTTTTCTCCCAAAAAGCAGGCATCTTTAAATTTTGTGACTGCTGTCACCATCTGCAGTGATCATGGAGCCCAAGGAAATAAAATCTCTCACTGCCTCCATTTCTTCCCCTTTTATTTGCCAGGAGGTGATGGGCCCAGTGGCCATGATCTTCCTTTTTTTGATGTTGAGCTTCAGACCATATTTTGCGCTCTCCTCTTTCACCCTCATTAAAAGGTTCTTTAATTCCTCCTCACTTTCTGCCCTCAAGGTTGTGTCATCTGCATATCTGATATTTCTTCCGGCAATCTTAATTTTGGCTTGGGATTCATCCAGCCCAGCCTTTCGCATGATGAATTCTGCATATAAGTTAAATAAACAGGAGGACAGAAAACAGCCTTGTCGTACTCCTTTCCCAATTTTGGACCAATCAGTTGTTCCATATCCAGTTCTAACTGTAGCTTCTTGTCCGACATAGAGATTTCTCAGGAGACAGATGAGGTGATCAGGCACTCCCATTTCTTTAAGAACTTGCCAGTTTGCTGTGGTCAGCACAGTCAAAGGCTTTTGCATAGTCAATGAAGCAGAAGTAGATGTCTTTCTAGAACTCTCTAGCTTTCTCTATAATCCAGCGCATGTTTGCAATTTGGTCTCTGGTTCCTCTGCTCCTTCGAAATCCAGCTTGCACTTCTGGGAGTTCTCGGTCCACATACTGCTTAAGCCTGCCTTGTAGAATTTTAAGCATAACCTTGCTAGCGTGTGAAATGAGTGCAATTGTGCGGTAGTTGGAGCATTCTTTGGCACTGCCCTTCTTTGGGATTGGGATGTAGACTGATCTTCTCCAATCCTCTGGCCACTGCTGAGTTTTCCAAACTTGCTGGCATATTGAGTGTAGCACCTTAACAAACAACACAGGTAATGAACACATACCCAATTTGACGTGCAGTGTAAATTAATAATGCTGAGTTTTTAAGTGAAAGAATAAGAGCTTTACTGAGTTAAAATAAACTTCTTCATAAAAACATGGTTCCAAACAGTTTGACTGAGATTACATACTGACTCTGCTCACAACTGAGGCGGACTGACTCCGACTGAAATCTTACAGAGAACACAGAGAGAAAATGGCTGCCAAGTCACATGTCAGAGTGACTCAACAGTTAGCAGTTAGGCCTGAATGACTTTAGTAGACCCAAATGATTGTGCAGTCCCAGCACCTCCCAGCCTGTTTCCTGCTTCTGCTCTCATGTGTCTTTGTCATATGACACAACTCCCTTCAGTTCTTCTCCATTTATTCCGGAGGCTCTAATCCCTTTTTGTCTCCATTGCAGATTCTGATGAATCGGAAATCGAGAACAAAGGTGACCACGATAAAATCCCCAGAGAGGAGAAGCCACATAAAAATTTGGAGTGTGGAGAAAGCTGCAGTGAGAGCTCCCATTACACTTACCATCAACAAAATCTTATTGGAAATAAACTCTATCAGTGCATGGAATGTGGAAAAGCTTCAGTCACAGCCAGAATCTTGATTCCCATCAAATAATTCATACAGGGGAGAAACCCTATCAGTGTGTGGAATGTGGAAAGAGCTTCACTGATAGCTCCTCTGTCACTTATCATCAAAGAATTCATACGGGAGAGAAACCATATCACTGTGTGGAATGTGGAAAGAGCTTCACTGATAGCTCCTCTCTCACCTCCCATCAAAGAATTCATACAGGGAGAAACTCTATCAGTGTGTGGAATGTGGAAAGAGCTTCAGTCAGAGCTCCCATCTCACTTCCCATCAAAGGATTCATACAGGGGAAAAACCCTACCAGTGTGTGGAATGTGGAAAGAGCGTCTGTCACAGCCACAGACTCACTTCCCATCAAAGAATTCATACAAGGGAGAAACCTTATCAGTGTGTGGAATGTGGAAAGAGCTTCACTGATAGCTCCTCTCTCACTTCCCATCAAATAATTCATACAGGGGCAAAACCCTATCAGTGTGTGGAATGTGGAAAGAGCTTCCGTCAGAGCTCCCATCTCACTTCCCATCAAATGATTCATACAGGGAGAAACCTTATCAGTGCATGAAATGTGGAAAGAGCTTCACTCACAGCCACAATCTCACTTCACATCAAAGAATTCATACAGGGGAGAAACCTTATCAGTGTGTGGAATGTGGAAAGAGCTTCACTCAGAGATCCCATCTCACTTCCCATCAAAGAATTCATGCAGGGGAGAAACCCTATCAGTGTGTGGAATGTGGAAAGAGCTTCACTGATAGCTCCTATGTCACTTATCATCAAAAAATTCATACAGGAGAGAAACCATATCACTGTGTGGAATGTGGAAAGAGCTTCACTGATAGCTCCTCTCTCACCTCCCATCAAAGAATTCATACAGGGGAGAAACCCTATCAGTGTGTGGAATGTGGAAAGAGCTTCAGTCAGAGCTCCCATCTCACTTCCCATCAAAGGATTCATACAGGGGAAAAACCCTACCAGTGTGTGGAATGTGGAAAGAGCTTCAGTAAGAAGTACAATCTCACTTCCCATCAAAGAATTCATACAGGGGAGAAACCTTATCAGTGTGTGGAATGCGGAAAGAGCTTCAGTCAGAGCTCTTCTCTCACTTCCCATAAAATAATTCATACAGGGGAGAAACCCTATCAGTGTGTGGAATGTGGAAAGAGCTTCACTGATAGCTCCTCTCTCACTTCCCATCAAAGGATTCATACAGGGGAGAAACCTTATCAGTGTGTGGAATGTGGAAAGAGCTTCTGTCACAGCCACAGTCTCACTTTCCATCAAAGAATTCATACAAGGGAGAAACCTTATCAGTGTGTGGAATGTGGAAAGAGCTTCAGTCAGAGCTCCCATCTCACTTCCCATCAAAGAATTCATACAGGGGAGAAACCCTATCAGTGTGTGGAATGTGGAAAGAGCTTCACTGATAGCTCCTCTCTCACTACCCATCAAAGAATTCATACAGGGGCAAAACCCTATCAGTGTGTGGAATGTGGAAAGAGCTTCCGTCAGAGCTCCCATCTCACTTCCCATCAAAGGATTCATACAGGGGAGAAACCTTATCAGTGCATGAAATGTGGAAAGAGCTTCAATCACAGCCACAATCTCACTTCCCATCAAAGAATTCATACAGGGGAGAAACCCTATCAGTGTGTGGAATGCGGAAAGAGCTTCAATCAGAGCGCCACTCTCACTTCCCATAAAAGAATTCATACAAGGATGCTGGAATGAAGTTATATGGCTTTAGCAGGAATGCTATAAAGAATTAAGTAAAAACAGATTGTTAATGGGCCAAAGTGGAAAATTTAAGGTTAGATTATGTTAAGATAAATTACAGTGGTGCCTCACAAGACAAAATTAATCCATTCCGCGAGTCTCTTCGTCTTGCGGTTTTTTCGTCTTTCGAAGCACGGCTATTAGCGGCTTAGCGGCTATTAACGGCTTAGCGGCTTTAAGAAAAAGGAAACAAACTCGCAAGAACTCGCAAGACATTTCGTCTTGCAAAGCAAGCCCATAGGGAAATTCGTCTTGCGGAACGACTCAAAAAACGGAAAACTCTTTCGTCTTGCGCGTTTTTCGTCTTGCGAGGCATTCGTCTTGCGAGGTACCACTGTATAGAACAAAAATTGAGAAAGATGGAAAGGATTTGCTGAAATAGCTAATTGATCTAGAATACAAAAAAGGGAGGTGTGAGGAGGTCGATGAAACAAGTAAATGAAAGGTAAAGATACGGAAATATTGGATGTGTTTTTAAATGTTTTTGTTTCTTATGTTGTTTTGCTGTATTGTTTTTTGTTTTTCTTTTTTGATGTATTGTAAGGTATTGTTTTGTTCTGTTTAACTTTTTATTGCTTCTTTTTTCTTTTTTCTGTAATTATTAAACCTTTAATAAATATTATTTTTTTAAAAAAGAATTCATACAGGGGAGAAACCCTATCAGTGTGTGGAATGTGGAAAAAGCTTCAGTCAGAGCTCCCATCTCACTACCCATCAAAGAATTCACACAGGGGAGAAACCTTATCAGTGTGTGGAATGTTGAAAGAGCTTCAGTAACAGCCGGAATCTTACTTCCCATCAAAGAATCCATACAAAGGTGGGAAAAACCATTATACAGCTTTAGAATCCAGGCTTTGGCTAATTGACGTGTATGAAGATCAAAGTATTATGGGCCTTAATTTATGATGAGTTAAAAAAAGTGTTTGGAATAACCTTTCTAAAAAGACCAGAGGGATTTCTGTTAAGTATTGTTGGCAGGGACATCCCAAATGCCTTTAGAGAGGTATTTTTATATGCAACGGCCACAGCTCGGACTTTGGTGGGAATGGGGTGGAAGGAAGAAGTAGTCCCGACAGTAACGGACTGGCATAACAAGCTACAAGAATTTGCTGAAATGGTCCAGTTGACAAATAGCCTGAGAGGCACTTCAAAACAAAAAAATTATTTAAAAGTGGGATAGATATATGTTCAAAAATACAGTAAAGGTTCGCTATCTATGCTAGCTGTCAGTTGATGTTGGAAAGAGACTGAGTTGAGAAATAAGACCAAGGGTACATATTGATATAGGAATGTAATAGAAAAAATGTAAAGAAATATACAATAATAAGAATACTTTCATTTGTGATAAAGGAATATACAACGGGATAGACAGAAAGTCCAAAGTGTTGGTACATATATGATTTTGAAATAGTTTTTCCTCCTTTTTTTCTTTTAGTATATAAACTTTGTATACAAATTGAAAATTATAGTATAATAAGCCTTGTGATGTAATATGATGTTTACTGATGTAACATAAGAACTTTAATAAATAATTTTAAAAATACATCTAATGCCCTTTTAACATGTGATGTTTTGTGTTTTTATGTGGTGTTTTTATGTTGTAACCATCCTGAGACCTGTGGGTGTGGGGAATAGGCTACAACCCTTAAAGGCCTAGGGGTCTTTGACCCATCCCCCAATAAAATATTTGAGGATGCCACCCCCCAGTTTTTGGTGGTTTTTTTTTACCCAAACACAACCTTTTATCCTTCTCTTTAAAAATAAAAAAATAAACTCACAAAGGTCATGAGGAAAACAAAATACAAGAAAATACAAACGTGGACAGGTCCCATCTTTGTGGGCAAAACGCAAAAGTTGCTTTAAAAGAGGCTTTCCCAAACTTGGGTCCCCAGCAGCTCCCGGACTACAGTTCCCATCATCCCTCCCTATTGGTCCTGCTAGCTAGGGATGATGGGAGCCCTAGTCCAAAACCAGCTGGAGACCCAAGTTTGATCGGCACTTCAACCTCTAGGGAGCTTCTAGGTGCTTTCTGTGCCACCTAGAGTACCCACAGAATTGTGGCTTCTACTGGCAACACACATAGGGGAACAAATGAAAGACAAACATAAGGGGCAGGCAAAAACCTGGAAAGGGCCATACCAAATGGACATCCGTTGTGAAGAGGTCACTTTTCCCACTGCTGAACAATGCCACAGGTAGAGGATGTGAAATGCTAGAAGTGTCTCTGGGGCAAGGGGAGCTGCTGGGAAATTGAACTATGGGCTCAAAGTATTCCTTTTTTTGAAAAAGTTGTTGCCATTATAGGCATTGCCATTCAAATGGTGTGCATGCATCATGTGATTGATTGTGCAAGGTGGGCCTTACCTGGCCCCCCATCAATATTTTATTCAAGTCGGCAGCACTGGGTCGGGTGGTTTCCAAATTAGATAAAGACATGAATCTCCTTCCTTTGCACATGTTCCAGCTCGTCAATATCCTCATTTATTCTTTTTAAAATTTATTTCCGTTCATCTGAAGATTTTACAATATAAATATACAGGATGAAAGTGCTCTGTGATATTTATGTGAGGAAGCTAGTAAAATGAGGCTGAATGAGGCAACTGTTAGGTGGATTTGACTGACTGAACCCAAAGAGGACTCCTTCATGGTTCCTCCTCATCCTGGGGAAAAGTGACAAGAGGGGTGCTGCAGGGTTCTGTCCTGGGTCCGTTGTTCAACGTCTTGATAAATGACATGGATGAAGGAACTGAGGGGATGCTCATCACATTTGCAGACAACACCAAAGGGATTATAATGGCGTCCTCTCTCTTTTTCAGCAACAGACAGGAGACACAGAACAGTGCAAAAGCACAGCAGAGCAGAAGAGATAAGACTGACTTCCGTTCTTGCACTTTCCAAGCCTAGGAAACTAAACAGGTTCATGTTCAAAATGAACTTTCTTAAACACCCTTTTTGTTAGGTATCCCAAACCAAGCATTGCCAAAAAAAAAATGGATATTATTTATGTATGCTACAACAGCGGCCAGAATCTTGATTGCACAATATTGGAAGACAGAAGACATACCATGAAAGGAATAATGGCAAGAAAAACTGATAAACTATGCAGAGTTGGCTAAGCTAACAGATAAACTATGAGAGAAGGACAAAAAGGACTTCAAAAGAGTCTGGGAACCATTTACAGTCTATTTGCAGAAACAACAAAATGGACTGGATTCACTGGCAGGGTTTGAATAAACGTTCACAACTTTATTTCAGTAACAGATACTTTAGAGAAATGATTTGGGAAATTGCTTTTATATAAGAAAAGCAGGATACAATAAATAAAGCTAAATAACTCAGCAGAGGGAAAGTTGAGGGAAGTCCAGAGGAGGGGAGGGAAAACAATGGTAAATAACATGATGATTGAGATCTGTATTTTTATTTGTTATAAAATTCAATAAATATTCATTTTATTTTAAAAAAAGAAAGTAAACAGAGACATGTGACATACTAGCCACATATCCAGCAACGGGAGGAGTGAATTGCTAACACAACACACATGATTGCAGGTGTTACAGAAATGACATGGGGTGGCACATCTTTAAAGTCGTCACAATGTGTTCAATTCTGGGCATCACCGAAGGAGAAAGGATGTGTCTGCAAGCATTGGAAAGTGAATTTTAAGTTATGGTGGGGTGGGGTGGGGTGGGGTGGGGTGATGGGCTGAAATTTAGCCAAGCTTTGCTCTTTGGTAGAAAAAGATGGAAGGATTGGTTTTCAGAGTTTGGAATAGAGTGTTAAGAAGTGGGAGGTGAAAGCGGTGATGTTTTGGAGCAGAGCTGGCGATATCAAGCATTTGAGTGATTATCTGGGGATTTTCATCACTTTGTCTGTTATTCAAATCAGACTTCAAATAGGCTAAAGTCCAGCCAAAGTTTAAAGCACATACAAATTCATAATTAGGTGGAATGTGCCTTGACCAAACTTTTATTACTGGCTTTTGGTGGGAAAGTTGAGTTGTTGGGTTGTCTGAATGTTGAAGTTCTGATCTATTTAAAGTTTCAGATCTATAAGCCTGCTTGCTAAGCAAAAAGAAACAGGAAAGCATACATATCAGAAATGTCTTAGGACATCAAACTGGGAAAGTGGATTTTAAACTAACTGAAAAGGTTTTATGCCCTTGGGAATTTGGTCTCTTAAATCTTAAATCTACCCCTTCGCCTTCCTTGAGTCCCTGGTAGGACAAGCCAATCATGGCTTTATTCAAATGGTAATTTAGTCAGGTGATGCAACACTTCAAATGGTATAATAGATTGCTGAATCATGTACCCTGTACATGTACAGTGGCTACGTTAGTTTAAAAAAAGAAGAAAGGAAAAGAAAAAGTAGGTTTAAACCAAGAGGTGACAAAGCTATGCTCTGCACATGAAACTTGATTCAAATTTCTTTTTGTAAAATTGGGAGCGATTAGGGGAACTGCAGTAAGAAGTACCCCTTTGTGTGTTTGTGTAAAATGGTTGGTTGCCCCAAATCTTTGCCCCAGGGGGTCCCAAAGGGGAAATAATGGTGAAGTACTGAACCATCAACAATGGAAGAAAGGTTGCCAAGGTCCAAATATAACATGCAAGATTCTTTCCACAGGTAAATTTCAGAGTTCTCCCACTCTGAATTGTCTCTTGAAGGGACAGGATACCCAAATCCTATCTGTGAAATCACCCCAGGCCTCAAAACTGTCCAGAATTCCTTTTGTCTTCTAAAAATCCAAAACAGCTTTTCTCTGCTCTCCTCTGCTCTATCACAAGATGCTGTGGCAAAAGGCAAAATGTTACTTTGAAAGGCTAATGAATAGACTCTGTCATTGCCAAGAATACTCAGGCCTGAGAAACGAATCTTATCTCATTCAGTTGCAACACCTTTGGACATGTTGAACCGTTCTCATTCCCCTTTCCTGGCAAGGGTGCCAAGAGTCCACAATAGTCCCAAGACAGCTTTCTGTTCATGCTCAGAGGAACCTCAACATGAGGCAGGACTCCTGAGGGAGGAGAAAGGGGGAGAGAACTAGAAAGGGGTATATATGTTTGTGCACATCACTGTGAACTCGTGCATGCTTTTTGTGACATCACACTTGCTCCTTCTACCAGTTCATGGATGGTAGAAATAAAAGCCTTTTCTCCGAAACTATTCCTTGAGTGTCTGTTGACTCCCACTTCCCTTTCCCAGGCGCAATATTTTTCCCACCCGAGGGCAAAGCCTCATAAGGCTACACTCTGAGTAGTTGTTTTATTTAATGGATTTTTATTGATTTTATCAGGTTTTGTTTTGTGTGTATATACCTATGCATTATAGCAGGGACTGAAGGGGGACAGTTAGGGGGAACAGTTAGGTTACCCTAAAACTGTTTGTGAATTTCCTCCCCCAGCCAGGCCTCAAAGCCTCAAGCACTTTTCAAACTGCACTTTTCAAAGTTTCTCTCTCTCTAAGGCTAAAAGCTTTTAGCTGAGCATCTTTCTATGTAACAAAGGTAGCTGAATTAGAACAAAGCCTTTTCGCTTCTCAGGCCTAGCTGACCTTGTCAAACAGTACATCTAGATTGTTGCAAACTTTTCCGGGAACAGAGCCAGGGAACAAGAGAAACATTTCGATGCAATCCTGTGAAGGGGGAGAGGGAAAAAGGGGGTTTGGGAAAAAGGATAAAAACCTGCTGTAAAATGTTTTTTTCTGCGGCCTGTTTTGTGAATCCATCTCACAGGTGCCTCTGCCCCCCCCCCCCCCACGGCAGAATAAAGCTCTTTCTCTGGATTTAACCCCTTGGTGTCGATTGACCCTTTTTGTCTCTGCCCGGGTGCAACGTTTTCCTACCCATGGTTAAAAGGCCTAGAAAGGCTACAGGACGTCCAACTTCCAAGATGCTGAGATCTACTCCCAGTAATAAAAAACCTGCCAGTGATCTACCCATTGTCTTTGCCCAGAGTTGTGGAGCTTTTCTCAGGGAGCAGTGACCAGAGTCGTGGATCCACCAGTAGATGGCGACTGACCTGTTGCACATGCCTCCATTCTAGGAACAGCATCGCTGACGCAGAATTTCACAGAAAGTCCCTAAGATGATTCCCCTTTCAGACAGGATACCTGGACGTAAGCCAGCAGGGTCCTCCTCTTTGGCAGACGGACAACCCCTTCCCCAAAGCCCCTCCCTCCCCCACCTCCCCATGGGGGTCCCTCCCCAGAATGGCCTCCGCTGTCCGGTGCTTGGACACCTGAAGGGCATGGACGCCTCTCAGGGCAGCTGCCTGGCAGCTCTGCATCACCCGGAGCAAGAGATCTTGCTCTGGCTCTAGCAAAAGTCAGGCTGCCAGTTCCTCACAACTGAGAGTCCTGGCAGCGGGGAGCAGGTCTTTGGGATCCTCTCCCTCATAGCTGTCAACTTTTCCCTTTTCATGCGAGGAATCCTGTTCGGAATAAGGGAATTTCCCTTCAAAAAAGGGAAACGTTGACAGCTATGCTCTCCCTGTTCTTGTTTCCTCCAATACTCACCATTGCTGCATGAAGAAAGCCTGTGGCACATCTTCAAGAAGATAAAAACAAGTAATAAATGAAATAAGAAACTGAGAAAATAAGAATCCACTGATTGCCTCACCTTGTCCTCCGTCAACTGCCACCAACTGCTCTCTCCTCCACTCGCCTCACTGCTATCCCAAAATGGCCGCCTGCAAGTCTATGGCTTTTACCGGTCCTTGTCACCGTGGCAACCCCCCTCCCCCTGGACCTGGGCCCACCTGGCTCCACCTATTGGGAGATGATCTATAATGAAATGAAAAAAAAGTTTTAAGATAACCTTTGTTAAAAGATCAGAAGCGTTTTTATTAGGAATTTTAGGGGAGGATTTACCAAAAATTAAGAATAATCCATTCATGTATGTGACAACAGCAGCCAGAATTTTACTATCTCAAAGATGGAAAGGCGATGAAAAACCAGCAAAAGAACACTGGCAAGAAAAGCTAACTCAGGGACTTAAAGATAAGGACAATAATGACGTTTAAAAAGATTGGGAACCTTTTAAGATGTATATACAGAAACAATGCATAGAAATGAACTCACTGGCAGGATCTGAGTGATACACTTACAATGGACAAATACAAACAGAAAATGCAGTTATTAGGTAAAAATGAGAAGGAAGAGACAAATGTTATAACCTTCATTTTAATATATAAGGAATACAAATTTATAAGCAAAAGAAACAGAGATGTTACAAACCAGGAAGGGAAGTTGGGGGAATTCGCATGGCGGCGGGGGGGTGTTAATTGAAATTGTAAAATGAAATTTGAATATTTGATTATGTTAAAATTTCTTTAAGTTATTTTTTTTAAAAAGGAAAGAAAGAAAAGCAATGGCTCCTCTTACTTAAGGGCCCCACAGACCTCATGGGACACCAGAGCAGATTCCTTTGTTGCTTTTTTGAGTCAACCAGCAATGGGGGTTGCATTTCCTTATTTCCAGGAGGGCTGTTGCAAAAGCACATGACATGCTCTTCACACTTAGTTATCTATTAGGAACACGGGCACAAATTATTGTATGTGTGTTTGTATCTGCAAACTACCCCAGTCTCTGAGGGGTGAGATTCCAGGGGTCCCAGGCGCTTCCCCATCTTCAGTTTCCTTGGAACAAAAGTCAGCGGAGACTGTGGCGTCTTTATGATATCTAGCTTTATTTACTCACATACACAACCGGAGTGTAGGACGGAGGGGCTCACAGCATCAACACCCGAACAGATCTTGCTTCTCTATTAGTCGCAGCTTTGGCTCCGGCACAGAGCAAGCTGGTTTCGGGGTTTCCCACAACTCTCTCTGGGTCTTGCTTTCCTACCTAGCAGCCAGGTGAGATGGGAAGGGGGAGGACAGCCCCCCCCATTAGCTGCAGCTCTTGCAACCCAGCTCCTTCGTTGGGAATGCTGAGGAGGACACTCTATGGCCAGCGAAGGCCCTTGTCTTGCCAAGAAACTTGCCTGTGGGAATCGTGCATCCATAATGCTATGGAAAGGGTGAATTCTAGAATTTTCTGGTGTCACCAGAAGAGAAAGCCGTTCTTTTCAGTTAGGTCTGTTATCAACTGCAGAGGATGAGTAGCCTTGGGAGCCTCTTGGGGAGATGGAAGTGTTGAAAGGACTGAATCCATGAGGGAGAGCTACTTGCTCTGAGATGGGGGAACCTTCAGGCAAAGGCCAGCAGAGAAGGGATGCTGTTGGCTGCTGGTTTCTGTTCCTCCCCACTTTCCCAAAGGGCGTAACATCGGCGGTCCTGCGGGAGGAAAGATGCCTCAGGGTCATGTTTCTTTGTTATTATACGCAGTAAATAAAGCTTGATTTCACATTCCAACACAGTTTGCAGCACATCTGCAAAGAGAAGGACATGTGGACAGGTGCTAGTGTAACATGATAACCATGTTTACACCTTCTGTACTGTCTGTGTAAGAATGGAAGTCAGTCTGTAAATCACTTCCATCCTTTGTTCTCTTCTACTCTGACCGAGGAGGAGACGGCTGTGGAAGACAGCTGTCAAGCGTCCCTTATTTGGAGGTATAGTCCCTTATCCCAGCGCCAAGTCCCGCTGCTGTCCCTTATTGATGGATGTCCCTTAAATTTTCCGGGTTTCAAAGGAAGCAGCTCCTCTCCCTCCCTCCCTGCCGGCCAGGGAGGAGGGAGGCTCCAACTGTGTTGCTTGTCTGCCCAGCCTGCCCCCGTTCGGCCTCCTCTCACCAGCCTCAGCCCCTGGGAGCCCCTCCCCACTGGGACTGGCGGGAGCCTCGGGCCCTTCTGCTGCCATCCTCCTTGCAGCCACCGAACTGAGCGTCTCTGCCTGGGGCCTCCCCTCTGCCCGTCGCCCCCCGCTCCCGCTAGGCCGTACTACGTCTGTGCCGCTGAAGGACCCGGATGAGATGGGCAGCCTGGCACAGCCTATGAATTGCTGAGGAGCCTTGAGATGAGAGCGAGGGCAACCATAGAGAAAGCAGTTCAGAGAGAGGAGGAAGAGGAGGAAGAGGAAGAGGAGGCGTGGGCGTGGGCAGGTGTTCCAAGGGCTACAAGGGAAGGACCGCAAGCGTTTCTCCCATAGATTTGTAGTGGTAGACTAGCATAGATGGTCTGATCTGCAGGTTTACTTCGGGCGCTATTCCCCCCCCCCTCCTCCCGCCCCATCTGATGGAATTGAGAGCTGCAGATGTAGCACGAGAGAAAAGATACAGAACGGCAGCAGCATCTTCGTAGCTTGGACTTCGTTTTGCGCGAAAAGTGGTTGCTGCTTGTAGTTATTTAATTGCAGTGTTTCGTCAGCTGGTGTCTTGAGCAGCGACCTCTGGAAACGAAGGGCTAAAAACTGGCGCTGCTCTCCCAAATTATCTGGTCCCTTTTAACTTCGTATTTCAGCTGGTTGACTAAAATTCCTTATTTTGGCTGCTGGTCCCTTATTTTCAAGGCTGCTGGTCCCTTATTTTCAAATCTGTAAGTTGACAGCTATGGCTTCATGTCACATTTTAACAAAGTTTGCAGCACAACTGCAAAGGGAAGGACATGGGGACCTGAGCACCTGGCAAGGCTATTCCAAGAGTTTTCTCCTGGATTCCAAGTCCTACTACAGGGGAGGGACACCCCAGGCCTTGGGGCTAATCCTGGCCTCCTTCAACCGAATGTGGCTCCCCATGCTAATGAAACGCTATTAGCAACGTTATGCTATTAGCAACCCTGGAGATTCCACCTGCCTCTTTCGAAAGGAGAACACTCACCTGATCAATTTAATTAGCAATTAAGCATTTCTGGAAAAGGAAATGGCATACTTTTGTACATTAGCATAAAAAGCATGCATAAGAAATTATTACCCATTTATGATGAGAATAGGATGTATTTTTTTAGAACTTTGCTTGGTTCCTCCTTGGCAGCCAGTGCGATTGTTTCAGGAGGGCTAGAACTCAGGACCCGCTGCCTTGAGGGACATCTAAGAGCAGTTGGGCAGGGGAAAGGTCTCCCTTGGGAGGTGGTGGACTCTCCTTCCTTGGAGGTTTCTAAGCACAGATTGGACGGCCATCTGCCATGGATGCTTTAGCGGAGATTCCTGCATTGCTGGGGGTTGGACTAGATGACCCTGGGATCCCCTCCTATCTCTCCACTCCTGAATTCCAGGAGGAGCTTCCTTGCCTCCTGCAAAGCCCTTTTCCCTGCAAGCTCTTCCTCTGGTTTCTGGCCAAGGGAGGGAGATGCTCAGAGTCCAGCCAAGAGCCTCACCCCCAAAGGATATCTGGGCATTGGCGTAGCCAGGGTGGCAGGTGCCCCCTAAATCCATAAATAATAATAGAAATCTGAGGTTCTGCCAAGCGAGAGAGGGCTAAGCTGGAGGGACTCGGCTTGGCAAGGGTTAAAGGGAAGTGAGCTGCCTTCCTAGAGAGGCCAGGAAGCAAGAGGGGGCCAGGTCCTCCAGAGCCAAGGCCCCTCCCTCCCCAGTCCTTTCCTTGCTTTGGGGTCTCTCCTGCAAGGGCTGCCTCGCTGTCCCCTCCTGGGATCTGGTGAGTCTCCTCTCTCTCCCCCCAGAGGGTGCAGTGGGGAGACGGGGGTCCCAGGGCTGCAGCAGGGGAGGATGCCTGGGGGGCCTGATCCGGGAGGGGCCAGGTCTGCCACGCTCTCCTTCGTGGAGATCAGAGGATCCCAAACTCATTCGGCCCTCCGCCCCCCCCCCTTTCAGAAAAAAATGTGTGACATTGCAGAGCCTCATTGCACAACAGAGGAAACATGTGCAAATGGTTTTCCAAAGCTGGACTAGCCCCCCCCCCCCAAAGAAAACCCACGTGGAGGAAGGAAGGAAGTTAAGATGGGAGAGAAAGGCCTGGAATAAAGAGAGGGATCCCAGCCCATAGTCTGGCTGCTGAATTGCGGACCAGTTTCCCAGTCGTCTCCCAGGGCAGCTCCCCACGGAGGCCAATGCAGCAATCCCCTCGCACCCAGAGCATGGCATCCCAGGACCACATCCTCTCTCTGTCCCAAAGGGATTGTTGATGGCAAAGCAGCTGGAAATGGGCGCTTCACCTCGCCGAGCCTCCAGGGACCTTGGCATGAATGGCTCTGTGTGTGTTAAGCCATCTAACAGAATAATAATAATAAATTACCTGCCTAAATTTCAAGGGATGTCTTTGGCCCTGCCCACTTGGCCCTCAGGGGGTTGATCAGATACATACCTGGCCCTCAGAGCAAAGAAAAAGGGATCCCACCCCAGGAGTCTGTCTGGAGAGCGGCAGACAGTCCAAGTGCAAGAAAAGGAGACAGAAGCAGGGGTGGGAGTGGGGGGGAGCAACTCCTGAGGACCCCCGGGTGAGGACCCCCACTACAAACGATTCTCTTGTCTGTTGGTTCTGACTTCATGCATTGACTGGAAGGCTGCAGAAACCAGGTTGATTAATCTCTCAGAAATCCCTTCAGGTGCCTCCACATTTTGCATTGCTAGAAGGCTAGAGGCTTAGTTCTTCTCCACTTCCGGCTCTTTCTTTTCAAAAAGATAGCTCTCGGTCTGGGGTGCGGTGCAATCCTGTCCTGGTTCCCAGCAAGACTCATCCATGCTTGCTGAGGGAACCATTTCCCCCTCGTCCTACAAATTCTGTAACAGAACAATGTATTTGCTTCGTAGAGCTTTTCATTACGACAGACAGAACTTGTCAGAAGACCAAAGGGTTCCTTCCGATCTCTCAGAGGCTTCCTGAGAGCACAGATGGATGAGCGAAACTCAGCTGGCCCTGGAACAGGAAGAGGCCATGCCAGCCAAACTGGGAGCAGTGGGGGATTTTGGGAAAACCCAGTGCAGAAGATCCTGGGTGAGGAGGACACTCTATGCTCAGAGGTGCAGAGCCAGCAGTTGAGGCAGTTCTGCTGCCCGGAGGCCAAAGGACCCCGAGAGGTTTGCAGCCGACTCTGCCACCTTGACCATCAGTGGCTGAAGCCAGAAAGGCACACGAAAGCTGAGATGCTGGACCTGGTGATCTTGGAGCAGTTCTTGGCTGTCCTTCCCCTGGAGATGGAGAGCTGGGTGAGGGAATGCGGAGCAGAGAGCAGTTCCCAGGCGGTGGCCCTGGCCGAAGGTTTCCTCCTGAGTCAGGCAGAGGAGAGAAAGCAGGTGAGAGAGACTTTCCTCTGGATACTCCCAAGGGGCTCCAAACAGGACAGAGAACATCCCATTATGGTCTGCTGATGGCCCATCCGTTTTCTGGGAAAGCATCCATGGAATGAGATCTCACAGCCTTTCTCACCATTCTCTGTTTTGAATCCTTGTTTCTTTTTCAGGGAAAGGATCTCTTTGCAGAAATGGACTTGGATTCTTGTAAGGCAGAGAAGCCTCCATTGGACACCAGAGAGAGGCCCCTGGGTAAGGAGGAAGGTGGTTTTTCACAGTTTAGTCTCATTCTGTTCGTTTTCCAACTCATCTGGGGGTTCTTTTCATCTTGTTTTGGGGGGAGACAGTTGGGAAGAAGGGTCCAGAGGAGGGGAGATGTATTTCTGCACAACTAACATATGAAATGGGCACAAATGTCCAAATACTCTCAGCAGGTAAGGCTTTCTCAAAGGCCCATGTGTAGTTAGAGATGCCCTGTTTCACCTGTGAGAGAAGCCGGCACGTCTGGCATCCTGTTTACCTTTTTTCTCTTGCAGGTGACAGAATGATGCCGGCAAGACCTCCTGATCCATCTTTTCATGGGGACAGAAGGGAAGCAGCGGCTGTGGAACCAGATCAGGTCAGGGGAAGCTGCCTTGTGGGGACAGAGGCTGAGAGATGGAGCAGTGTCATGGACTGGTTGGGCACAGAGGAATGGTGGGAGGATACAGCTGGGGAACCAGGAAGGGAAGATGGCTGAGAGCCCAAGAAGTGGAGGTAGAAGAAGGATGGGTGGTCAGAGCGGCAAGAGGGAGAAGCTTGGGAAGAGGAGGTGTCAGAAGCTGAAGGGGTTACAGGGGTTAGTGAGCTGGGAGACTCTGTGGCAGAATGCAGTGCAGAATCAGAGGCAGAAGAGGAAGGAGGCGAGTGGGAGAGGAAGGTCGAGAGGCAGAGGTGAGTCAGGAGAAGGAAGAGCCACAGGTGGCTCCCTCTCCTTTGCCAGAAGCCACCCTCCCTGCTTGTCTCTCAGAGCCAGGAGACCCCATGCAATGTAGGAATCTCTGCTAGATCATCCAAGACAGATGGCCATCCAACAAAGGCTTATTTTATTTCTAGATTGATCACTGAATGCTCAGATTGGTTTCTAAGTAGTGGACAAATGAGAACAAATAGTGGCCTGGATTCACCTAACCAGCCCCATCTACTGCAAAATGGGGCCTGCCTCCCATTCCTACCCCTCTCCATGCCCCCATGAACCCCTGGAATTTGGCTCTAGGGCATAGGGAGGGAACTCCCCAGAACAGCTCAGGAGGAGAGGAGAAAGTGGACCCTTCCATCAGGCAAACTGGAATGCTTGTGTAGGCAGAATGACTTGGAAAACACAAGGTGGAGTACCACCTATTTGCACAAAGACGAATACCCATAATTAAAACTTAGAATAAAATAAGCATCCATAAATAAAATGTGCAGCAAAGCAATCCTGTTGAAACAACTCCCCTGCATGAGTGTCTGAGGGCCCCGCTCCTGCTACTCACCACCTGGCCCAGGGTGGGACCTGACAGGCCTCATAAGGATGGTTGCTGCTGCTGCTGCTGGCCAGGAGGACTCGGAGTGGCAATGTTCTTTTAAAAATGTTTTTAAAAATTTTCTTTTTCCCCTTTTGATTACTTTTTTTTGTGGGGGGTGGGATGGATGTTTGGTTGGGCTCGGGAATTTTTTTGATTTTGATGTGTTTGTAATTGTTACAGTTTTCTGTTTGTATTGTTTGATTGTGGGTTTTGTTTTTTTTAAAGGGTTTTATTTTGTTCTTAAGGGGAGCGGTCAGGGCTGCCGGGGAGTGGGCCCCAGCCCACAAAATAGCTAGGGCATGTTCCCCAAGGGGGATGCCCTGGGACAACTGATCTTAGTGATCACGGGTAGGAGGAGGTGTTACGCTAAGACCAGACCATGCCATTACAGAGGAGGCAGGTTTAGTCGTTGTTTGAGGACTATCCCTGCGTCTGGGTCTGGTCCTGACTGGACGGATACTAGAATCAGCAAGGGATACCCACATGACCTGAAGGTGCTGCTGTTCAATGCCAGGTTAATGATTCATAAAACCACTGCCATCCATGACTTGATCATAGATGGAGGACTTGACCAGGCATGTGTAACAGAGACTTGGTTGGATGAAGCTGATGGGCCTGTCCTTGCCGCTGCTTGCCCACCAGGTTTCACTTACACACAGCAACCCAGGCCTTGTGGGCGGGGGGGGGGGTTGCAGTGCCATGGTCAGATCACTTCCTGGTGCAACTGGACTTCTCCGCGACCCTTCCCCTCTGCAGGGAGGGGGGACCGATTCGGATGGTCTGCCCCCGCCACTTAATGGATCCAAATGGTTTCCAGAGAGTGGTAGGGGATGCTTTATCCCATGTTGATGGCCTTTCAGCTGATTCCCTGGTGGCCCGCTGGAATGTGAAGTTAACCAGGGCTATTGACTGTTTGGCTCTGAAGTGCCCTCTTCGATTGATGGAGCCCAGACAGCCCCGTGGTTTTCCACGGATCTGAGGGCAATGAAACAATCGCTGAGATGGCTCGAGCACTGGTGGCAGATAACTCGTTCTGAAGCTGACCGGACACGGGTTAGAGCTCAATGTCGAGCCTACCAAGTGGCGGTAGCAACGGCGAAGAAGACTTTCTTGGCCGCCTCTATTGCATCTGCAGAAAACAGCAGCAGGAGACCTTTTCAGGTGGTTCACAATATAACGGAACCACCTGCTACACCTGCCCATACCAGTATGGGCCACATGATCTCCTGCAATGATTTTGCAAAGTTTTTTGCAGATAAAGTCGCTCAGATTCAGGACAAGGTAGACTCCACCGTGGGAGCAGGGCTGGGGCAGGAGAATGCTAGTGTCCTGTCTAGTCAAGTTGCGTGGGATCAATTCCAGTCTGTTACCTCTGAGGATGTGGACAGGCTGCTTGGACGAGTTAAACCAACCACCTGTCTCCTTGATCCTTGCCCATCCTGGCTTATAAAAGCTAGCCGGGAAGGGCTGGGCAATGGGTTTCGCTGGGTCGTGAATGCTTGTCTCTGTGAGGGAGCTTTCCCAGACCCGCTGAAAGAGGCGGTTATCAAACCTCTTATTAAAAAACCATCTTTAGATGCTGCCAACATGGCTAACTATCGCCCAGTCTCAAATCTTCCATTCTTGGGCAAGGTGATTGAGCGAGTGGTTGCTGAACAACTCTAGGCACGCCTGGAAGAAGCAGACCATTTGGATCCCTTCCAGTCAGGATTCAGGCCTCATCATGGGGACTGAAACTGCCTTGGTCGCACTGGTCGATGATCTCCAGTGGGCTAGGGACAAAGGTGAGAGCTGTTTCCTAGTTCTGCTGGGTCTCTCAGCAGCGTTTGATACCGTCGACCATAGCATCCTTCTGGACTGTCTTGAGGGGCTGGGAGCTGGGGCACTGTCATACAGTGGTTCCGCTCCTTCCTCCTGGGCCGTGTTCAGAAAGCGGTGGTGGGGGATGAGTGTTCAGACCCCTGGCTCTCACTTGTGGGGTGCCTCAGGGTTCCGTCCTCTCCCCCATGCTTTTCAAAATCTACATGCAGCCGCTGGGAGAGATCATCAGGGGCTTTGGGCTGGGTGCTCATCAGTATGCGGATGATACCCAGCTATACCTCTCTTTCAAATTGGACCCAGTGAAGGCGGTGAAAGTCCTGTTTGAAAGTCCTGTTGGAGGATGGATGGCGGCTAACAGATTGAGGTTGAATCCTGACAAGACAGAAGTACTGTTTTTGGGGGACAGGAGGCGGGCAGGTGTGGGGGACTCCCTGGTCCTGAATGGGGTAACTGTGCGCCTGAAGGACCAGGTGCGCAGCCTGGGAGTCATTCTGGACTCGCAGCTGTCCATGGAGGCACAAGTCAATTGTGTGTCCAGGGCAGCTGTTTATCAGCTCCATCTGGTACGCAGGCTGAGACCCTACCTGCCCGCAGACTGTCTCACCAGAGTGGTGCATGCCTTAGTTATCTCTCGCTTGGACTACTGCAGTGCACTCTATGTGGGGCTACAACTAATCTAAAATGTGGCAGCTAGACTGGTGACTGGGAGCTGCCACCGAGACCATTTAACACCGGTCGTATAAGACCTACACTGGCTCCCAGTACGTTTCCGAGCACAATTCAAAGTGTTGGTGCTGACCTTTAAAGCCCTAAACGGCCTCGGTCCTCTATACCTGAAGGAGTGTCTTCACCTCCATCGTTCTGCCCAGACACTGAGGTCCAGCGCCGAGGGCCTTCTGGCGGTTCCCTCGCTGCGAGAAGCCAAGTTACAGGGAACCAGGCAGAGGGCCTTCTCGGTAGTGGCACTCGCCCTGTGGAACGCCCTCCCACCAGATGTCAAAGAGAAAAATAACTACCAACCTTTTAGAAGACATCTAAAGGCAGCCCTGTTTAGGGAAGCTTTTAATGTTTAATAGATTATAGTATTTTAGTGTTTTGTTGGAAGCCGCCCAGGGTGGCTAGGGAAACCCAGCCAGATGGGCGGGGTATAAATAATAAATTATTATTATTATTATTATTATTATTAACAGGAAGGAAATAACAGAGCATTGTGTTTGTTGTTGTTTAGTCGTTTAGTCGTGTCCGACTCTTCGTGACCCCATGGACCAGAGCACGCCAGGCACCCCTGTCTTCCACTGCCTCCTGCAGCTTGGTCAGACTCACGTTTGTCGCTTCAAGAACACTGTCCAACCATCTCGTCCTCTGTCGTCCCCTTCTCCTTGTGCCCTCCATCTTTCCCAACATCAGGGTCTTTTCCAGGGAGTCTTCTCTTCTCATGAGGTGGCCAAAGTATTGGAGCCTCAGCTTCACGATCTGTCTTTCCAGTGAGCACCCAGGGCTAATTTCCTTAAGAATGGATGCGTTTGATCTTCTTGCAGTCCATGGGACTCTCAAGAGTCTCCTCCAACACCATAATTCAAAAGCACCAATTCTTCGGCGATCAGCCTTCTTTATGGTCCAGCTCTCACTTCCATACATTACTACTGGGAAAACCATGGCTTTAACTATACGGACCTTTGTTGGCAAGGTGATGTCTCTGCTTTTTATTTTTTAAAAAAAATAATATTTATTAACAGTTTAAGGATTACAAAAAAAAAAGAAAAAGTTAAACAAAACAAAACAAAACCATACAATACAATACAGAAACAAAAACACTACATAAACACTAAGCTTAACAAAACAAAACAAAGACAATTAAAAACACATCGAATAATTTCAATATCTTATCTTTCATTCACTTATTTCAGCGACCTCCTTGCACCTCCCTTTTTTGTATTCCACTTCAGTTAACTGTTTCAGCAAATCCTTTCCATCTTCCTCAATTTTCTGTCCTGTAATTTATCTTAACACATTCTAACCTTATTTTTCCCTTTAATCCATTAACAATCTATTTGTACTTAGTTCTTTGTAACATTTCTGCTAAAGCCATATAACTTCATTCCAGCATTTTTCTAACATTCATTGATTTTACAGTATTTCTGTAAATAATCTTTAAATTTTTTCCAATCTTCTTCCACCGACTCTTCTCCCTGGTCTCGGATTCTGCCAGTCATTTCCGCCAGTTCAGTGTAGTCCATCAACTTCATCTGCCATTCTTCCCAGGTGGGTAAATCTTGTGTCTTCCAATACTTCGCGATGAGTATTCTTGCTGCTGTTGTTGCATACATAAAAAAAGTTCTATCCTTCTTTGGCACCAATTGGCCGACCATGCCCAGGAGAAAGGCCTCTGGTTTCTTCAGGAAGGTATATATATATATTTTTAAGTTTTTTATTTATACAACAAGAAAAACAAACAAAAAAAACACAAATACCGAATTACACACAAATTACAAATTACAAAAATAACCATAGACACTTAATATTCTTAGCAAACAATAAAACATCTATTGGTCTTAACACTAAAGACCCAACCTCCCGTCTATTCCATACTTCAAATTCATATTACTTATTGCCAATACACTTTTTTTTTTATAATTAAACTTATTCTCATTAAATCTAATTTCTTATATCTACCTTGCAACTATTACTGAAGTTCCTCGAATGCTGCAACAGAATTTAAACTACTATATTTATTTTTCAGATATTCTTTAAAAACCTCCCATTTAGAAACAAATTCCTGTTTTGATTTATTTTTTATTTTTTCTGATAAACCATCTAATTCAGCATATTCTGTCAGCTTTTGGATCCAATCTTGAATAGAGGGGATTTCATTACTCTTCCATTTTGCTGCGATCAAAACTCTTGCTGCCGCCGTCGCATATAAAAAGATACCCTTCCTCTTTTGTGGAATATCCAAATCTGTTATTCCCAGGAGGTAGGCCTCTGGTTTTTTATTGAAAGAGATCTTTAGCATTATAGCAGATCTGCATGTATACTCTCCCAGAATACCTGTATTTTCCTACATATCCACCACATATGGTAGAATGTTCCTGAGTCTCCGCATCTCCAACAATTACTTGATACATTTTTATACATTTTTGAAAGCTTCCATGGTGTTAGATACCATCTATGTTGCATTTTTGAAAGTTCTCTCTAATCGTGTAACAATTTGTGAATTTCCAATTGATCTTCCATAAATTTTCCCATTGGGCCATGGTTATTGAGTGGCCAAAATCCTGGGACCACCTCACCATTGCCACTGTTACGTCCTCCTCCTTGACTGTCCAGTCAAGGAGGAGTCGGTAAGTTTTGGAAAGAGTTTTTCTTTTAGAATTTAGAAGATCAGATTCGAATCGGGAAATTTCTGTTGAGAACCCCTTTTGTTTGTCAGATTTAAATTTTTCAAATAACTGATGGTATTGGAACCATTGAAATGTGGTCTCTTATTTCCTCAAAGTTTTGTAATTTTATTTGGTTATCTTCATTTTTTAGAAGTATTTTATATGTTGGCCAGCTTTCCTGAGTATTTTTCCGTTTTACTGCTATGGCTTCTACTGGAGAAGTCCACCACGGGACTTTAGGCTCCATCAGGTCTTTATATTTTTCCCATACAGCAAAGAGTGACTTTCTTATTATATGGTTGGTAAAGTTTTTATGAATTTTCGCTTTTCCATATATTAGGTAGGCGTGCCATCCCCAACGGTTGTCAAAACCTTCCAGGTCGAGGAGGTCCGAATCCTGCAACGTGCACCAATCTTTTAGCCAGGTGAAACAGGCTGCCTCGTAGTAAAGTTTTAGGTCGGGTAGGGAAAAGCCTCCTCTCTCTTTTATGTCTATTAAGATCAGGTGTTTAATTCTAGGTTTCTTCCCTTCCCACAGGAATTTGGAAATTTCTCTTTGCCATGTCTTGAGACAACCTGCTTCGCCCAGTATTGGAATCATTTGAAATAAAAAGATTAATTTTGGAAGTACATTCATCTTTATAATGGAAATCCTACCCAGAAATGTTAATTTTAGTTTACTCCAGGTTATAAAGTTTTTCTAATCTCTAACCAAGTTTTGGTGTAATTATCCTGAAATAAGTTTATGTTCTTGGGGGTGATCCAAATACCCAGGTATTTCGCTTTTGAGGAGATTTTCAGGCCCAATATTTTTTCTAAATCATCCTTTTCTTCTGTGGTTACATTTTTAACAAGCGTTTTTGTTTTTGTTATATTCAGGTTGAAGCCTGCCACTTCTCCAAATTCTTTAATCAATTCCAGCACTCTTTTCAGACTTTCTTTAGGGTTTTCAGTCATAACAAGTAGATTGTCCGCGAAAGCTTTAATTGTATATGTTTTGTTTCCCAGAGTGATGCCTTTAACAAGCTGATCCCTTCTTATCTGATTGTTCAAGACTTCCATCACCAAGATAAATATCAGTGGTGACAGTGGGCAGCCCTGTCTGGTTCCCTTGTTTATTTTGCACTCCTCAGTAATTCTTCCATTGATGATCAATTTTGCATATTGTTCCGAATAGATGGCATTTATTCCTTTACAAATATTTTCTCCCAGTCCGATTTCTTCCATTAATTTTTTCATAAACTTCCAGGACACATTATCAAAAGCTTTTTCAGCATCCACCAACATAATAGCTGCTGGTTTATCAATTTTAATATCCAAATATTCTAATACATTAATCACACATCTAATATTGGATTGCATAAATCGTCCGGGAAGAAATCCAGTTTGATCTTTATGAATTATCTCTTTCAGCACCATTTTTAATCTATTTGCAAGAATGTCTGCGAATATCTTGTAATCGTTGTTTAGCAGTGCAATGGGTTTATAATTGGCCATGCTTGAGGCATCTGTTCCCTGTTTGTGGATAAGAGTACTAAAGCTGTCCTTCCAGGTTTTCGGTAGCTTTCCATTTGCCAAAATGTTATTCATTAAGTCTTTCATGGGAAGAAATAATGCTTGTTCTAACTTTTTATAGTAATTAGCTGGGAGACCATCTGGGCCTGGTGTCTTTCCTACTTTTGATCTCTGTATAGCTTGTTGCACCTCCATAGCTGTTATTGGTGAGTTCAAGATTTCAGTTTTTTCCTTAGGTATTATTGGTAGTTTATTTTTGCCCAAATAATTATTTTTTCTAGAGTCTCTGGACCTTCTTTATATAGTTTTCCGAAAAAACTAGCAAAGTTTTTACTAATTTCCTTCGGTTCTTCAATCCACTTGTCTTCAATTTTAATTTTATTGATAATTCTATCTTCCTTTTTCTTCTTTAATTGCCAGGCCAAAAGTTTGCCAGGTTTATTTGCAAACTCAAAATTTCTATGTCTCAACCATTTTATCTTCCATTCTATCTCTTCATTTATTATCATGGAGAATTGCGTCTGTAAAATTTTTATACTTTGCTTAATTAGTTCATCATCTGGTTTTTGGAAAAGGATCCTTTCCTTTTTTCTAATTTCCTCCCATATCTCCATTTTCTTCTTCTCCCTTATTTTCCTTTGGAATGCGTTTTGTTGGATAAAGAAGCCTCTTATGACGGCTTTACCCGCATTACAAACCGTCTCTAGATGTACTCCTTGATTTAAATTGAACTTAAAATATTCTTCTAAGATTTGCTTGGCCTTCTGTACAGTTTTTTCATCGTTTAGCATACTCTCATTAAGTTGCCACCTTTTAACCTTTTCTTCTTTTCCTTTAAAGTTAACCCAGACCGCGCTGTGATCTGAAATTGTCCTTGGATGAATTTCTGCTTTTGTAATATTATTTAATAAATCCTTTGTTGTCCAGATCGCGTTGATTCGTCCCGCCGATTTGTGTGGCTCTGAATAATGTGTAAGGTATATTTTAATATGCTGTCTAGGTTTGCCATCGCCTTTCTCCCAAGGAGCAGGCGTCTTTTAATTTCATGACTGCTGTCACCATCTGCAGTGATCATGGAGCCCAAGAAAGTAAAATCTCTCACTGCCTCCAATTCTTCCCCTTCTATTTGCCAGGAGGTGATGGGACCAGTGGCCATGATCTTCGTTTTTTTGATGTTGAGCTTCTGATCATATTTTGCGCTCTCCTCTTTCACCCTCATTAAAAGGTTCTTTAATTCCTCCTCACTTTCCGCCATCAAGGTTGTGTCATCTGCATATCTGAGGTTGTTGATATTTCTTCCGGCGATCTTAATTCCTCCTTGGGATTCATCCAGCCCAGCCCTTCGCATGATAAATTCTGCATATAGGTTAAATAAGCAGGGAGACAATATACAGCCTTGTCGTACTCCTTTCCCAATCTTGAACCAATCAGTTGTTCCATATCCAGTTCTAACTGTAGCTTCTTGTCCCACATAGAGATTTCTCAGGAGACAGATGAGATGATCAGGCACTCCCATTTCTTTAAGAACTTGCCATAGTTTGCTGTGGTCGACACAGTCAAAGGCTTTTGCATAGTCAATGAAGCAGAAGTAGATGTCTTTCTGGAACTCTCTAGCTTTCTCCATAATCCAGTGCATGTTTGCAATTTGGTCTCTGGTTCCTCTGCCCCTTCAAAATCCAGCTTGCACTTCTGGGAGTTCTCGGTCCACATACTGCTTAAGCCTGCCTTGTAGGATTTTAAGCATAACCTTGCTAGCGTGTGAAATGAGTGCAATTGTGCGGTAGTTGGAGCATTCTTTGGCACTGCCCTTCTTTGGGATTGGGATGTAGACTGATCTTCTCCAATCCTCTGGCCACTGCTGAGTTTTCCAAATTTGCTGGCATATTGAGTGTAGCACTTTAACAGCATCATTGTTTAAAATTTTAAATAGCTCAGCTGGAATATCATCACTTCGACTGGCCTTGTTATTAGCAATGCTTTCTAAGGCCCATTTGACTTCACTCTCCAGTATGTCTGGCTCAAGGTCAGCAACCACACTATCTGGGGCGTACGAGACATCCATATCTTTCTGGTATAATTCCTCTGTGTATTCTTGCCACCTCTTCTTGATGTCTTCTGCTTCTGTTAGGTCCTTACCACTTTTGTCCTTTATTATGGTGATCTTTGTACGAAAAGTCCCTTTCATATCTCCAATTTTCTTCAACAGATCTCTGGTTTTTCCCATTTTATTGTTTTCCTCTATTTCTTTGCATTGCTCGTTTAAGAAGGCCTTCTTGTTTCTCCTTGCTATTTTTTGGAAATCTGCATTCAATTTCCTGTATCTTTCACTATCTCTCTCGCATTTTGCTTGCCTTCTCTCCCCCGCTATTTGTAAGGCCTCGTTGGATAGCCACTTTGCTTTCTTGTATTTCCTTTTCATTGGGATGGTTTTAGTTGCTGCCTCCTGTATAATGTTACGAGCCTCCATCCATAGTTCTTCAGGCACTCTGTCCACCAAATCTAAATCCTTAAACCTGTTCCCCACTTCCACTGTATATTCATAAGGGATTTGACTTAGATTGTATCTTACCGGCCCAGTGGTTTTTCCTACTTTCTTCAGTTTAAGCTTGAATTTTGCTATAAGAAGCTGATGATCTGAGCCACAGTCAGCTCCAGGTCTTGTTTTTGCTGACTGTATAGAGCTTCTCCATCTTTGGCTGCAGAGAATATAATCAATCTGATTTCGATGCTGCCCATCTGGTGATGTCCATGTGTAGAGTCATCTCTTGTGTTGTTGGAAAAGAGTGTTTGTGATGACCAGCTTTGTTCTCTTGGCAGAACTCTATTAGCCTTTGCCCTGCTTCATTTTGAACTCCAAGGCCAAACTTGCCAGTTGCTCCTTTTATCTCTTGACTTCCTACTTTAGCATTCCAATCCCCTATAATGAGAAGAACATCCTTCTTTGGTGTCACTTCTATAAGGTGTTGTAAGTCTTCATAGAATTGGTCAATTTCAGTTTCTTCAGCACCAGTGGTTGGTGCATAAACTTGGATTACTGTGATGTTAAAAGGTCTGCCTTGGATTCGTATCGAGATCATTCTATCATTTTTGAGATTGCATCCCAGTACAGCTTTTGCCACTCTTTTTGTTAGGTAAGATTTATTGCTTTACTCTTGTCGTCCAGCACACTTCCCTGCACTCCTCTGCAGGTTGTAAAGCAATTAGCAGAATTGCACAGCGTCCGTGTCTGAAAGGGCAGTCAGTAAATAGGTCCCACACGTTTCTTCTTTCCTAATAGCACTTTATTTGCTCAAAAATAGCATATTTACAGTTCATATACACCATCTGATTCCAGTTGCATTTTGCGACTCTCTCTCAGCTTGCAGCTGCGTAACAAAGCTGCTTTCACTTTTCACTCAGCTCACAGCATTCCAAGCTGCTTTCGTCACGTCCTGGCTTACTTCCCTTGTAAGCGCCTCCTCTCAGCCTCGAGACACAGAAGGTTAACCCTTCACTACACCCAACACCCCCTCTTGTCTCGCGCCTGAGGGGAGAATCGACCCTTGGTCGTCCCAAACCCAGACCTTCACAAAGCTCCCCATGTCTTTGGAAGGTGAGTGGTTTCGTGAACCCATCAGCTAGGTTCTTGGCAGAGGGACAATACTTCAGCGCAACTAATCCCTCCTGAACACTCTGGCACACATTCCGAAAGCGAATGTCTAGGTGTTTCGTTCTGGCCTTGAACTGACCTGACTCTGCCAAACGTAGGCATGGTTGATTGTCCTCGAAAACACGTATCGGCAGACAATCCACTTCGCAGAGTTCCTGCACCAAACAAGCATAGAACTCTACTTCTCTGCACACCTCTGAAAGAGCACTAAACTCAGCTTCAGTGGATGAGAGCGCTATCAGACTTTGCTTCTTGGACCTCCATCCAACTACTGAGTTCCCAAACTTCACCACTAGGCCAGACACAGACTTGCGATCCTCAAGATTAGCCCAATCCGAGTCCACAAAGCAAGTCAGTTTGACTTCTCCTTGTGCTGGCAACCTAAGACAAAAGTCTTTGGTCTCCTGCAAATACCTCAGAACTCTCTTGATGCCATTCCAGGCTTGCACACTAGGGTTTGATGCCTCCCTGCTGAGCAGATTGACAGCGAACGCTATATCAGGTCTGCTCCACTGGGACAAGTACAACAAACTCCCTAGAGCTGACTGAAACACTTCAGTATTTTCGAACGTAGCGCGTTCTACTTGCTGGCTGTCCTTCACAAAACTAGTCTCCATAGGACTTCTCACTCCTGCACAATCACTCATCCTGAACTTCTGAAGCAACTGCTCAATTTTACCTCTCTGGCTGAGCAAAAAACTTCCATCCTGTGCACGCTCAACATTGACACCTAGATAGGTTTTGACAGCACCAAGCTGTTTAAGCTTGAATCGTTTACCTAGCTCTTTGGCAAACTTCTCCGCCTGTTCATCTGTTTCTGAGACGAAAAGCACGTCATCAACAAAAAACAACACTAGCTCCTGTGAGTCTCCTGATCCTCTAAGGAACAGGCAACTGTCAGCAAGACTCTTCCTGAAACCTAGCTTCTCCAAAGCTTCATTCAGGCACAAGTTCCAATTCCTGGCCGACTGCTTCAGGCCGTAAATTGACTTGTGAAGTTTCCACACAGTACCTCGCTCATTGCCCTCAAACCCTGGAGGAGGAATCATGTACAGCTCCTCCTGGAGATCTGAGTTAAGGTAGGCAACATCCACATCAAAGTGGTTTACCTTCCAGCCTCTCTGTGCTGCACAAGCTAAAAGTGTTCTCAGAGTCTCCGCTCGTGACGTTGGCGAATACACCTCCGTGAAGTGTATTCCCTTCCTCTGAGTAAATCCTCGAGCAACTAATCTGGCTTTATATTGCGGCTCTCCTGCGCCAGTGGGTTTCAAGCGGTAAACCCATCTGGAACTCACAGCCTGCTTCCCCGGTGGCAACTCTGTGAGTGAGAACACACCTAGATCTTTCATGGACTTCATCTCTTTGTCCATTGCCCTGTGCCATTTGCCTGCTTCTTCCTCAGGTAAACTCTGAATATCCTCAAAGGATTCAGGTTCACATCTTGCAGAACCTACCCAGACGCCTGAAGCGCCGTACCGATCAGGAGGCCTCCTTGTCCTCGCTGATCTCCTCAGTGTGACTCTTGGTGACCCTGCCGCTTCACTGGGTCCAGCTAAATCATCCTCAGTGTCTTCCCCCTCTGACCTGCTGCGCCTCTTGGGCCTTACAGCTGGTCCAGCAGGTGAAGAAGGCTCACTCTTTGGCTCAAACTTGACACTTGCCTGAGGAGGTGTTCTAGGTTTCCCCCTCTGAGGGATCCTGAGCTGTCCCTGCCTTGGACTCTGTCCCTCTGGACCGTGGTCCCCAGCTCCAAGTTCCTCCTCCTCCTCGTCTGAGTCATAGAACTGCTGTGGAAGCACGTCTGGATTAGCGTGCAGACGCTTCCAACCAGCTTGCTCACAGAACTCAGCGCTATTGCTGATAACCAACCTAGACTGGTCTCCACTTGGGTACGCAAACCTCCAGGCCTTTGAGCCAGGCTCATACCCTACAAAGATCATCCTTTTAGATCTTGGCTCACCTTTTTTGCGTAGAGCCTTTGGAATAAGCACCCAAGCCTCACAACCAAACACACGAAGGTAGTGTACCTTGGGCTTATCTCCATGAAGTAAGAAATACGGTGTATTTCCTACACTAGGGTTGTACACTCTGTTCTCGGTATGGACCACATAGTGCCAGGCCTGAGACCAAAATTTCTGGGGTAGCCCTGCGTCCCACAGGATCGCAGACACAGCTTCCTGTACCGTCCTGTTCTTTCTCTCTGCGACCCCATTCTGTTGCGGAGAGTAAGGAGCGGTCAGTCTGTGGCTAATCCCCTTCTCCCGAAAGAAATCCTGTAAAGCAGAACCAGTGAATTCAGCACCTCTGTCACTTTGAAAACCACGAACTTTGGTGGAAAAGGTTACCTCAACTGCGGTGATCCAATCCCTGATCATTTTAGCCGCCTCCCCTTTCGTTTTCAGAGAGAAGGTCCAAGCAGACCTTGAAAAATCATCAATCAAAAGCAAAGAATACTTCGAACCTCCCAGTGACTCAACAGACATGGGTCCACACAAATCTGCATGAATTAATTCAAAGGGTTGCGTGGTCTGCCTCTCTGACCTTGGATATGAGCATGTCACAACTTTCGCCTGTTTACATGCATTGCAATCTAGAAATTTGTCACAAACATTAAATTTGCACCCTTGTGTCAGCTCTGGTGCTTTCTGCAGAGATCTCCAATTCAAATGAGCGAAGCGTCGGTGCCAAATATGTAAACAACCATAGTGGGGTGCTACGTTCACACATTGGCCCTTCGCATCTTCGGTGTCATCCTCTCCTGTGGAAAAAGGCACATTTACAGCAAACAAATTATCTTTAGACTGCACTGTGTACACGTGTTTCCCATCCTTGGAAAATTCACATTTGTCACCTGCAAAAGAAATTTGAAAATTATCAATCAATAGATCATGCACACTTAACAAACAGTTAGTTAAACCGGGCACTGCATAAGCTTTGACTTCATGCTTAAGGAAAGGACAGAAGAACAATCCTGTTTCTGTCAGCCTTTTTCTGCTTCCATCTGCAAACTTAACAAACTTCTCAGTTTTTACTGTCCTGCAATTCCTCAAAAGATCAGCAGATGGCACTAGCGAATTTGAGGCACCACTGTCGATGATTATAGTGAGAAAGTCTTGTTGTTTACATTCCTGGGTCGCCAGGGCAACAATCTCCTCACTACCCCCCTCCTTGGGGCTTCTGCAGATGTCCTCTCTGGTTGTCACGGCAACAGACTCCCCCCGGCAGGAAGACTTGCCCACGACCTTCACAGCTTCCGTAGATGCAACTCTCTCAGTTGCCATGGAGACTGGACTTGTCTCGGCGTTCCCACACAACTCTGAAGCTCTTATCTCTACTTGCTGCAGGTGGCTGACCTTGAAGCCTCTAGCACTTTTCAGCTTCCCAGGCTCCGACTTACGACGTAAACAACTCTTGGCAGCTTTTGGAGAAAGAGGTGTCTCTGAGCTTTCACTGCTCACTGCCCCCCCACTGCTCATGGGGTCTCCAGGACATTTTTCTGCACCCCCTCTGAAGGGTGGAGGGCTCTCAACACTTGGCCTCTCTTCACACAGACACGTTGCAGCATCCACACAGCTCCCAGGCTCCACAAAAGCACAAGCAGCATTGCTAGCAACAACAACAGCAACAGCAACAGTCCCTTCGCCCCCCTGTGGGGGCTCACAGCACCTCCCAGCTGTGCATCGGCACTCAAGGATGTGGCCGGCGCCATCTTGCCTCTCCCTTTCGGATGCAGCCACTTCTCGGCCCTTGCTTCCCACTCCAGCTCCACAAGCTTCTTGGAGTGCTAGCCAAGCAGCCTCTGGCTTTCTTGCACCCAGGACAACAGGCACCAGATGAGCATCCACACTTTCTGCCAAAAAAGCAAGCACATGCTTCTCTACTTCACTTTGCTCTGCAGCCCTTTTAGCCTCTGCTTTCCCAGCTGCATTCTGTGTGGGGTGAATTACATTCCACAGCTGCTCCCCCACCAGCAAAAGCTCCACTTGAAAGCTCCACTGCAGCCAATTTTGGCTAGTCAGTCTCTGACATGGCAGCTTAAGCTCAAAGCCATGCTCACAGGGCTGAGCCATTCCTCCCTTCTGTTGGCTTTTCCCAAAGGTACTCACTCAGCCAAACTGGGACCTCCGGACGTCATGGCTCTTGGCTCCCACTCTCTGTCAGCCTCCTCCGATCTGCCTCTTTGAAGTCTCCGGCAGTCGATCAAACTGACGATCAGCAGATAAAACTTCAAAGCCCTTTCTGACACTTCACGTTGACCCATAACCATGTTAGGTAAGATTTATTGCTTTACTCTTGTCGTCCAGCACACTTCCCTGCACTCCTCTGCAGGTTGTAAAGCAATTAGCAGAATTGCACAGCGTCCGTGTCTGAAAGGGCAGTCAGTAAATAGGTCCCACACGTTTCTTCTTTCCTAATAGCACTTTATTTGCTCAAAAATAGCATATTTACAGTTCATATACACCATCTGATTCCAGTTGCATTTTGCGACTCTCTCTCAGCTTGCAGCTGCGTAACAAAGCTGCTTTCACTTTTCACTCAGCTCACAGCATTCCAAGCTGCTTTCGTCACGTCCTGGCTTACTTCCCTTGTAAGCGCCTCCTCTCAGCCTCGAGACACAGAAGGTTAACCCTTCACTACACCCAACACTTTTGTTGACTATGAAGGCCACGCCATTTCTTTTACGGGATTCTTGCCCACAGTAGTAGATATGATAGTCATCCGAACTGAAGTCGCCCATTCCCGTCCATTTTAGTTCACTGATGCCCAAGATGTCAATATTTATTCTTGCCATCTCATTTTTGACCACATCCAATTTACCAAGGTTCATAGTTCTTACATTCCAGGTTCCTATGCAGTATTTTTCTTTACAGCATTGGACTTTCCTTTCGCTTCCAGGCATATCCGCAACTGAGCGTCCTTTTGGCTTTGGCCCAGCCGCTTCATCAGCTCTGAATCTACTTGTACTTGTCCTCCGCTCTTCCTCAGTAGCATGTTCCGACCTGAGGGGCTCATCTTCCAGCGTCATAACTTTTATATGCCTGTTGCCTTTGTCCATGGAGTTTTCTTGGCAGGGATACTGGAGTGGCTTGCCGGTTCCTGCTCCAGGTGGATCACGTTTGGTCAAAACTCTCCACTATGACCTGTCCATCTTGGGTGGCCCTGCACGGCATAGCTCATAGTTTCTCTGAGTTATTCAAGAGCATTGTGTAGCAGATCATATTTCTGCTGTTTCAGAGAAGGACATTTCCCTTTTTCTTTTAGGGTCCAGTGTGCTTTGAAGATGTTGCTGTTCGTTTCACGGACGAGGAGTGGGCGATGCTGGATCCTGACCAGAGAGCTCTGCATAAGGACGTCATGGAGGAGAATTGTGGGATATTGGCCTCTCTTGGTAAGGCTCCCTGTGGGATCGTCATATCAGCCCGGAAATTCAAAAAATACCTCTATGTGACCAACCTCATATATTTTCACAGAGCTCAACAGCACCCCCTATAACACCTGGGAACCTAACACCCTCACAATAGAGTTAATTACAGTTTTTTCTTTGAACAACCTTCCTCAAATTATTCCTTTTTCTACCACAATTGGGCTGGTCTGAACTTCCCAGGCCATCTTCAATGTCAGCTTCAGAATTGTTAGGAAAAATAAGTAGCTTCAGGTTTTTGTTTTTGTTTTTGCTCCTGTCAGTCTTGGGTTGACCAAAGAGACGACTGGCAGCGAAGCTCAGGTGCTGCCAGCCAGAGAAGAAGCAGGCCTAGGGAGAGGAGAGTTAGCAGCGGAAGGCAGAGAGGAGGGGAAGAGGAACTGTCATCTGAGCTCTGAACAAGGGGGAGAAGAAAAAGAGAGACAGAGTGGCAGACAGCTGTGTGAGAGCTACAGGAGTGAGTCAGACGTTGGAATGCAGGAAGCATTCTCTGCCAAATTTAAAGATACTGGAAGAGAAGGTGGGGGCTTCCATGCTGGGGAAGGGGGAGGAGCTCAGTCCGGGCAACTCCATCTTGTGGGGAGGATGATGAGTAGAGGACCTCCGTCCAAGTTTGTTGTTTTAGCAATAAATCTGAAATTATTAACAGCCAGAGTCGTCTCATGACCAAGCCATAGCAAGGACTGACCAAGCCATAGCAAGGACTGGAGATGGAGGAGATGCCATGACTGGGCCAAACAAAATCCATCCCAGAGAAGAGCTAGGCTTATGGACTCTCAGGTAGTAGTAGCAGTGATGAGGATGAGGATGAGGATGATACAGTGGTACCTCGGTTTACAAATTAAGCTTTTCCAGAACAGGTACCACTGTAGTAATAATAATAATTTTATTTCTACCCTGCCCATAATAATAATAATAATAATAATCTGATTCCATATAAAAAGAACATTAACTTTAAAATGAACAACTTATACTAGTGGCCAAAATTGTGGAAACTTTTTGTGAAAAGTGTATTTCTGAGGTTTGATGGCTCATAACTCCACCTTTGTGTGGAATAATGCCATAAAATTATATAGCGATGGAAAGATATTTTAATGAAGAATGTAATGCAATGACTTTTATGAAGGAGTATTTATTAGAACAGCAGTCGTAAAGAAAAAATGTGAAATCTTTGGTAATCATTGGTAACCATTAGCTTTTACTACTGCCTTACAATGCCTTCCCATGAAGTGAACCAAGTTTTTAGTTCTGCAACTGTAAGAATGTGAAACCAAGATTGAATTATTGCCTCTGTTCACTGGGCTTTATTGCTGGGTTATTTCTGACTAACAAGTTTCTTTCAAGTATTTCATTTATGTATTTGGGGGAATTTACATTCCCATTAATGATGCAAATTCTGCCCACACCTTTTGCTGCCATACAACCCCAGATCATCACACTATCTGGGTGTTTCATGGTCAGTGTAATGCAAGTCGGATGTAAATCTTCTCTGATTCTTCTTGTGTATTTCATGCTGTCACTACCAAGCAAGGAGATTTGGGTCTCATCCCTCCAAATAACACTGTCCCATTGTTCCACTGTCCAGTGGAACAATGGGATTTTACTTTCTTGGGCTCCATGATCACTGCAGATGGTGATAGCAGTCACGAAATTAAAAGACGCCTGCTCCTTGGGAGAAAGGCGATGGCAAACCTAGACAGCATATTAAAAAGCAGAGACATCACCTTGCCAACAAAGGTCCGTATAGTTAAAGCCATGGTTTTCCCAGTAGTAATGTATGGAAGTGAAAGCTGGACCATAAAGAAGGCTGATCGCCGAAGAATTGACGCTTTTGAATTATGGTGCTGGAGGAGACTCTTGACAGTCCCATGGACTGCAAGAAGATCAAACCTCTCCATTCTTAAGGAAATCAGCCCTGAGTGCTCACTGGAAGGACAGATCGTGAAGCTGAGACTCCAATACTTTGGCCACCTTATGAGAAGAGAAGACTCCCTGGGAAAGATCCTGATGTTGGGAAAGATGGAGGGCACAAGGAGAAGGGGACGACAAAGGACGAGATGGTTGGACAGTGTTCTTGAAGTGACAAACATGAGTCTGACCAAGCTGCGGGAGGCAGTGGAAGACAGGGGTGCCTGGCGTGCACTGGTCCATGGGGTCACGAAGAGTTGGACACGACTAAACGACTAAACAACAACAATCTTTTCAACCTTTGCTTGAGAGATAACAATGGCTTTTTCCTTAGAATTCTAACATTTTGACCAGTCCTTGTACTCAACTTCACATTGCATCTCGCCATGTCATCTTGTATACACCAAGATGATTTTCTTCTGTCAGGTAGGGACAGTCTCTCCATTCTTCGATCGTCACTTGCCTTTGTGCACCTTTTCCTGCCTTTACCAGTCTGATTTTGTAGTGACTGAGTCTCCTTATACCTCTTCAAAAATATAGAAAGGCCAGCTTTGGTTATGTTTTCCCCAATCTCTCTTCAAATTTCTTCATAATTGTAGCCTTGTTCACTTAATAGTACTATTTTACATCGCTTTCTGCGTGACCCATCAACTCTTCTTGCCATTTCTATAATTTTATTGTGTTTTACAACCTCACTAAATGAAAGAACACAAGAAAACCCAACCAACTTGATAGCAATCACATAACACATTGACAAAAGTCAACCTAAGCAAGTTGTGCTTCCTTTTTCTGGTTATTTGACTATAACATTTGATAAAATACGGGTAATTGAATGAACTTGCATTCTTGATGGATTGCATTCTTGATTAAATTATCTTTCCATTGATATACAATTTTATGTTATTCCTATAAAAGAAGTGGTGTTATGAGCCATCAAACCTCTGAAATACACTTTTTTCCAAAAGTCTTCCACAATTTTGACCACTACTATATATTAAACAAACCAACATTCAACAACTCATCAGAATTGTTGAATGATAAATAATAAATATGAATAATAAATATGTTGGTTAATGACAAAAAGCACAGGTAATGAAAACCCCCCTAACTTCCTTCATTTCTTCTCCATTTGTTCCTGAGGCTCTAATCCCTTGTTGTCTCCATTGCAGATTGTGATGAATCGGAAATCGAGAACAAAGGTGACCACGATAAAATCCCCAGAGAGGAGAAGCCATGTAAAAATTTGGAATGTGGAGAAAGCTGCAGCCAGAGCTCCCATTCCACTTCCCATCAACAAAATCTCATTGGAAAGAAACTCTATCAGTGCATGGAATGTGGAAAAAGCTTCAGTCAGAGCTCCCATCTCACTACCCATCGAAGAATTCATACAGGGGAGAAACCCTATCAGTGTGTGGAATGTGGAAAGAGCTTCAGGAAGAACTCCCATCTCACTTCCCATCGAAGAATTCATACAGGGGAGAAACCCTATCAGTGTGTGGAATGTGGAAAGAGCTTCAGGAAGAAGGACAAACTCACTTCCCATCGAAGAATTCATACAGGGGAGAAACCCTATCAGTGTGTGGAATGTGGAAAGAGCTTCAGTCAGAGCACCTATCTCACTTCCCATCAAAGAATTCATACAGGGGAGAAACCCTATCAGTGTGTGGAATGTGGAAAGAGCTTCAGTCACAGTCAGAGTCTCACTTCCCATCAAAGAGTTCATACAGGGCAGAAACCCCATCAGTGTGTGGAATGTGGAAAGAGCTTCAGTCAGAGCTCCGAACTCACTCACCATAAGCGAATTCATACAGGGGAGAAACCCTATCAGTGTGTGGAATGTGGAAAGAGCTTCAGTCGGAGCTCCTCTCTCACTTCCCATCAAAGAATTCATACAGGGGAGAAACCCTATCAGTGTGTGGAATGTGGAAAGAGCTTCACTGTTAGCTCCGCTTTCACTTCCCATCAAAGAATTCATACAGGGGAGAAACCCTATCAGTGTGTGGAATGTGGAAAGAGCTTCACTGTTAGCTCCGCTTTCACTTCCCATCAAAGAATTCATACAGGAGAAAAACCCTATCAGTGTGTGGAATGTGGAAAGAGCTTCAGTCAGAACTCCCATCTCACTTCCCATCAAAGAATTCATACAGGGGAGAAACCCTATCAGTGTGTGGAATGTGGAAAGAGCTTCAGTCAGAACTCCCATCTCACTTCCCATCAAAGAATTCATACAGGGGTGAAACCCTATCAGTGTGTGGAATGTGGAAAGAGGTTCAGGACACGCTATGAACTCACTTCCCATCAAAGAATTCATACAGGGGAGAGGATCAAGCGGGTTTCCTACCTGGCTGACAGATGAAAGATAATGTAAGGAATATAATTAATATTTTGGAATATCTGACTGCCAGAAATGAGAAACAAGCTATGTTAATATTTGTGGATGCAGAAAAGGCCTTTGATAATATATCTTGGGATTTTATGTTAAAAAATTTAGAATATATGGAGGTGGGGAAGGAATTTCTCAATGGAATAAAGGCAATATATACCGAACAGAAAGCTAAATTAATTGTAAACAATATGATTACGGATGAAATAGGGATAACTAAGGGTACACGACAGGGGTGCCCACTTTCGCCACAGTTATTCATTATGGTGCTGGAGGTCTTTCTAAAATCCATATGGGAAAATGAGGCAATAAAAGGGGTTGCAGTAGGCCGGAATGAATATAAGGTTAAAGCCTTTGCCGATGGCCTGGTCATAACGGTGGAAGAGCCTTCGGAAAGTGTTAAAAATATACTTGTTGAGGTGGAGAGATTTGGCCAAGTGGCAGGATTTATATTGAATAAGAAAAAGACCAAAATAATTGCTAAGAATATGGATCCAGGCAAGACAGAAATAATACAACAACAAGTTGGTCTAGAGGTGGTGAAAAAAGTGAAATATTTGGGTATTTGGATAACCCCCAAGAATATAGATTTATATCAGAATAATTATATACCAGTGTGGAATGGGATAAAGAAAGATCTGGAAGTGTGGGGATGAATGAAATTGTCATTTTGGGGGAGGATTTCAACGATAAAGATGAGCGTGCTGCCAAAGTTATTATTTCTATTTCAAACGATTCCAATAATCAAGGGGACTGGGACTTTTAAAGAATGGCAAAGAGTGATTTCAAGGTATATCTGGCAGGGTAAGAAGCCAAGAATTCAGTTTAAGTTATTAACTGACGCTAAAGAAAGAGGAGGCTTCGCCTTGCCAGACTTGAAACTGTACTATGAAGCCTCATGTCTCTGTTGGTTAAAGGAATGGATAAAATTAGAAAACACAGAGTTGCTAGACATAGAAGGATTTGATAACAGATTTGGATGGCACGCGTATCTATGGGCTGAAAAGTAGAAAATCCATAAAGGTTTTGAGAACCACATTTTCCGAAGATCGTTGATAGAAATATGGGATAGGCATAAAAACCTACTTGAACCAAAAGCTCCACACTGGTTGTCTCCATTAGAGGTTATGAGTGTTAAAAAAATTAATATGAGAAAGAATTGGATTACATATGGAAATTTGATTGTTAAAGAAGGGGGAAATGGAAAATGAAACCCTATGAAGAAGTAAAAGAGTTGGTATATGACTGGTTGCATTATTTGCAAATAAATGAAATGTTTTAAAAAGATCTTAAAGAACATGGATATGTAGAGAAAGATTCTAAATTTCAATTAGAAATAATAAATAATGAATATAAAATTCTATCCAAAATGTATAAGATATTGTTGGAATGGCATACAAAGGATGAAGAAGTCAAATCAGCTATGATACAATGGGCCAGAGACACTGGTCATAATATAGAATCATAGAATCATAGAGTTGGAAGAGACCACAAGGGCCATCGAGTCCAACCCCCTGCCAAGCAGGAAACACCATCAGAGCACTCCTGACATATGGTTGTCAAGCCTCTGCTTAAAGACCTCCAAAGAAGGAGACTCCACCACACTCCTTGGCAGCAAATTCCACTGTCAAACAGCTCTTACTGTCAGGAAGTTCTTCCTAATGTTTAGGTGGAATCTTCTTTCTTGTAGTTTGGATCCATTGCTCCGTGTCCGCTTCTCTGGAGCAGCAGAAAACAACCTTTCTCCCTCCTCTATGTGACATCCTTTTATATATTTGAACATGGCTATCATATCACCCCTTAACCTCCTCTTCTCCAGGCTAAACATGCCCAGCTCCCTTAGCCGTTCCTCATAAGGCATCGTTTCCAGGCCTTTGACCATTTGGGTTGCCCTCCTCTGGACACGTTCCAGTTTGTCAGTGTCCTTCTTGAACTGTGGTGCCCAGAACTGGACACAGTACTCCAGGTGAGGTCTGACCAGAGCAGAATACAGTGGCACTATTACTTCCCTTGATCTAGATGCTATACTCCTATACAATTTAATGATTGGATAAAACTATGGAATGAAAGTATTAAATTTACTGCATGTACTGCATTAAAGGAAAATGTTATGAAAATGATATATAGATGGTATATTACACCAGTAAAACTAGCAAAAATGTATAAAACATGTAAGAAGTGTTGGAAATGTAAAGAAAAGGATGGTACATTTTACCATATGTGGTGGGAATGTAAGAAAGTGAAAAGCTTCTGGGAGTTGATATATAATGAACTGAAAGAAATGTTGAAATATACATTTGTTAAGAAACCAGAGGCCTTTCTCTTAGGAATTGTCGGAAATGAGATAAATAGAAAGGATCATAAACTTTTCCAATATGCGGTAACTGTGGCAAGAATATTACTGGCCCAGAAATGGAAACAAGAACAAATACCAGCACTGGAGGAGTGGAGAATGAAGCTGATGGACTATGCAGAACTTGATAAACTGACTGGCAAGATCAGATATCTACGAGATCAAAAGTTCATCGAGAACTGGGGAAAGTTAGTTGAGTATTGGGAGTGTATAAGTGATAATGGAATAACGTTAGTGGCATTTAAAGAAGCTTTGTAATAACATAAGAAATATCGTAAAAAGGGAAAATAGAAGTGGGGGGTGGGTATAAAGGCAATAGCAAAATTTGGAAATGTGTAATTAAAGAAGATATAATTCGGATGATTGGCAGAGAGGCTGAAGGAAGTCAAAAATGGAAAAATTTATAGAAGTTGTAATGTGGTGTGATTTGTATTTTCTTTTGATGGAAAATTAATAAAATATAGTTAAACCAATAAAAAAAAGAATACATACAGGGGAGAAACCCTATCAGTGTGTGGAATGTGGAAAGACCTTCACTGTTAGCTCCGCGTTCATTTACCATCAAAGAATTCATACAGGAGAAAAACCCTATCAGTGTGTGGAATGTGGAAAGAGCTTTAGTCAGAGCTCCAATCTCACTTCCCATCAAAGAATTCATACAGGGGAGAAACCCTATCAGTGTGTGGAATGTGGAAAGAGCTTCAGTCACAGTCAGAATCTCACTTCCCATCAAAGAATCCATACAACGGTAAAAAAAACCATTATACAGCTTTAGGAACCAGGCAGACGCACCTTTTTAACCAGGCTTTTGGCTGATTGACATCTAATGCCCTTTTTAATATGTGGGGTTTTTTTGTTTCTTGTTTTTTTTATGTTGTAACCATCCTGAGGCCTTTGGGTGTAGGGAATAGGTGCCAACTCTTAAAGGCCTAGGGGTCTTTGCCCCACCCCCCAATAAAATATTTAAGGATGCCACCTCCCAGCTTTGGTGTGTATTTTTCCAAACACAACCTTTTATTCTTCTGCAAATTGCCAAACAATTTCTCTTTCAATTTGCCCTCTTAAAAAATAAAAAAAAATAAACGCACAAAGGTCATGAGGAAAACAAAATACAAGAAAATACAAACGTGGACAGGTCCCATCTTTGCAGGTAAAACGGAAAAGTTGCTTTGAAGCTGGGTTTCCCAAGCTTTTTTTTTTTTTTTAAATGATACTTATTGAAAATTTTTAGAATTACAAAAGATAACAAAGCAGAAAAAGAAAAAAACAAAGAAAAAACAAACCACATCAAACAATACAAATTCAAAAAACAAAAATACACCACAAACACTCAAAAACAAATCCATCATTCTCAAATCCTCAACTGTCGTTACCTTCTTTCTTTGACCTCCTCCTCCTCCCTTTTTTGTATCCTAGTTGTTAATTGTCGCAGCAAATCCTTTCCATATTTCATAATATTCTGTCATTACATTACCTTAATCTATTTTAATCTTATCTTACTATAAAGAACCTTAAAGCTTAAAACTTAAATCTTATTTTTACCAACTTCTCATAACCATAATATTCTTACATAATTCTTTAAACATTTTTGCTAAAGCCAAGTAATTTCGTTCCAACATTTTTCTAACATTCATCAATTTTATAAAACAATCCTAGTAGTAAAAAAAGAAATAAAAACAATCCAATCTTCATCCAGCGTCCCTTCCTCCTGGTCCCGGGTTTTGTCAGTCCTTATTATCCCATCGATCTAGCGCATTAACCTGGTAACCTTGTATCCGAGGCCCTTAAGTCTCTTCCATGTCCCTTCCGCAGCTCTTCTTCATATTTATAACTGTATTTTCCTTTGTCTCCTGCTCCTTTCACTCGTGGGAGCTCCAGCTTAACAATGTTTTTGACCCTTCTCGACAAATCAGCCCCTTTTCCATAGTCCACACTAAACTCCATGTGGTATTTAAGAACATGTTTCAAAATCCCTCCAAAATTAAGAGCCCCCACAACCCCAAACATCTCACGGCCCATTGCCAGACTTGAAAAGTCCAAACATCCCTGCATAGGGGGGGTCTATCCAACCCCCCATTTCCAAACCAAACCAAACTTTATCTTTCGAAATCTGGCTTTTTCCAAGTTCATTTGTCAAGTCCAAAAGCTCATGTTCCTGCTGGGCCACAGCTCCCTTCATCTCTGGTGCCCAAGATTCAGCAACATCCTCTTCCCTCATCTGTTCTGTCAGGGCACACTCCTGATTTAATTCCTGGGTGGGCTCCATATAATTTCCCACTGCCTGTTCAAAATTTCTGATCGCATCAGTCATCAAATCCGTCTTCTCATGTAGCTGTTCCAGTAGGGCATTTGTTTTACAGAAAGCACACAACAGAGCTTCTGAATACATTGTCCTGCAAGGTCAGAAGTCTATTCCCATGATTGTAATCTGTAACAGCTGCAAGCTCCCGGAGTTGGTTACAGTTTCACAGTCTCCCTCTAGGGGAAAACTTCTATTTGTTCTTTCTTTTAAAGACAAGTCTAACAACAAAGTTTCCTTTTTCAGATATTTTGTCAATATTTGTTCCTTTAAAATGCGAAGGGGAACAATGGAATCAATGTTTCTCTTCTTATAGCTATCTGTCAAAAACGTTTGTCTCTGGTCAATGAGCTTCAAAAAAAGTCAGTCCTGACACCCCGCTCCAGGATCAGGACGGTGGAAAGTTACTTTACTTTACACTCACTTCTGCAGGTTTAAACAGTCCGAAAAAATCCCCCCTCTTCTCCTGCTTCCGAAGGGGGTTCAACAATTTTAAATGATGAAAGTTAATCTTTTACAAGCAATTTTCTGAGCTCTAGTTTGCCATGTCTTTGCTTTAATCTATCTACAAAGAAACGGAAGGCTGACTTCCTGTTTAGACCTTCCCGTTTCAGTGCCAAATTGAGGTAAACTTTTAAGTCCAATTTTCCTTTCTGCTCGCAAGTCCTTATTTAAAGTCCAATTGTCCGAAATTTAAGTACTCACGGGTGATTATTTTAGAAGCCAAATTGTCCCAGGAAAAAGGCAGCGCTCTCTGGCAACGGCTGTGCGGCTTCGCTCCACGGAAGAAGCAGTTGACTCTCAGCACCACGCCACTTCCCCTCTTCGCTCTGGAGCCCGTTAGTGGGTTCCTTTGCAGGTTGGGGGGGCGCTAAAGGTGCCCGCCGAGTCCCATGGTCACAGGCTTCATCCGCCTGTGATTTTTGAAAGGGTCCCCGCTTCGCCGTAGCGGAAAAGACCCGTTTCGCGTGGAGCTAGTCCCTCCAGATCAGAGGGAGTCCGCCATTGCCGATGGCGCCACCCCGTAAGTCTTGGGTTTCCCAAGCTTAGGCCCCCAGCAGCTCCAGGACTACAGTTCCTATCATCCAATCCCATTGGTTTTCCCAGCCAGGGATGATAGGAGTTGTAGTCCAAAAACAGCTGAAGACCCACGTTTGCTTTAAAGGGAACTACGGGCTCAAAATATTAGAATCATAGAATCATAGAGTTTGAAGAGACCACAAGGGCCATCGAGTCCAACCCCCTGCCAAGCAGGAAACACCATCAGAGCACTCCTGACATATGGTTGTCAAGCCTCTGCTTAAAGACCTCCAAAGAAGGAGACTCCACCACACTCCTTGGCAGCAAATTCCACTGTCGAACAGCTCTTACTGTCAGGAAGTTCTTCCTAATGTTTAGGTGGAATCTTCTTTCTTGTAGTTTGGATCCATTGCTCCGTGTCCGCTTCTCTGGAGCAGCAGAAAACAACCTTTCTCCCTCCTCTATGTGACATCCTTTTATATATTTGAACATGGCTATCATATCACCCCTTAACCTCCTCTTCTCCAGGATAAACATGCCCAGCTCCCTTAGCCGTTCCTCATAAGGCATCGTTTCCAGGCCTTTGACCATTTTGGTTGCCCTCCTCTGGACACGTTCCAGTTTGTCAGTGTCCCTCTTGAACTGTGGTGCCCAGAACTGGACACAGTACTCCAGGTGAGGTCTGACCAGAGCAGAATACAGTGGCACTATTACTTCCCTTGATCTAGATGCTATACTCCTATTGATGCAGCCCAGAATTGCATTGGCTTTTTTAGCTGCCGCGTCACACTGTTGGCTCATGTCAAGTTTGTGGTCAACCAAGACTCCTAGATCCTTTTCACATGTACTGCTCTCAAGCCAGGTGTCACCCATCTTGTATTGGTGCCTCTCATTTTTTTTGCCCAAGTGCAATACTTTACATTTCTCCCCGTTAAAGTTCATCTTGTTTGTTTTGGCCCAGTTCTCTAATCTGTCAAGGTAGTTTTGAAGTGTGATCCTGTCCTCTGGGGTGTTAGTCACCCCTCCCAGTTTGGTGTCATCTGCAAATTTGATCAGGATGCCCTTGAGTCCATCATCCAAGTCGTTGATAAAGATGTTGAATAAGATCGGGCCCAAGACAGAACCCTGTGGCACCCCACTAGTCACTCTTCTCCAGGATGAAGAGGAACCATTGATGAGCACCCTTTGGGTTCGGTCAGTCAGCCAGTTACAAATCCACTGAGTGGTAGCATAGTCAAGACCGCATTTTACCAGCTTCTTTACAAGAATATCATGGGGCACCTTGTCGAATGCCTTGCTGAAATCAAGGTAGGCTACATCCACTGCGTTCCCTTCATATACCAGGCTTGTAATTCTGTCAAAAAACGAGATCAGGTTAGTCTGACATGACTTCTTTTTCAGAAATCCATGCTGACTATTGGTGATCACAGCATTCCTTTCTAGGTGCTCACAGACTGTTTGCTTAATGATCTGCTCCAGAATCTTCCCTGGTATTGATGTCAGACTGACTGGGCGGTAATTATTTGGGTCCTCTCTTTTCCCCTTTTTGAAAATAGGGACAACATTTGCCCTCCTCCAGTCTGCCGGGACTTCGCCTGTTCTCCAGGAATTCTCAAAGATGACTGCCAGTGGTTCTGAGATCACATCTGCCAATTCTTTTAATACTCTTGGATGCAGTTCATCTGGCCCTGGAGACTTGAATACATCTAAACTAGCCAAGTATTCTTGTACTATCTCCTTAGTTACTCTGGGCTGTGTTTCCTCTGCTGAATCATTTGCTCCAAATTCTTCAGGTCAGGCATTGTTTTCTTTATCGGAGAAGACTGAGGCAAAAAAGGCATTGAGGAGTTCAGCCCTTTCTGTGTCCCCTGTTTGCATTTCACCATCTTCTCCTCTGAGTGACCCCACTGTTTCTTTGTTCTTCCTTTTGCTATGAACATACCCATAAAAGCCTTTTTTGTTGCTTTTAACCTGTCTAGCAAGCCTGAGTTCATTCTGTGCTTTAGCTTTTCTGACTTTGTGTCTACACGTGCTGGCTATTTGTTTGAATTCCTCTTTGGTGGTTTCTCCCCTTTTCCATTTTTTGTACACATCCTTTTTTAATCTTAACTCAGTTAAAAGTTCTTTAGATAGCCACCCTGGCTTCTTTAGGCACCTTCCATGTTTCCGTCTCATTGGTATTGCCTGATGTTGTGCTTTTACTATCTCCCTCTTAACAAACTCCCAGCCATCATGAACTCCCTTTCCTTTTAGTATTACTGTCCATGGGATCTCACCCAGCACTTCCCTAAGTTTTATGAAGTCAGCTTTCTTAAAGTCAAGAAATTGAGTCCTAGTATGCTTGGCTGCTCCTTTCCGCTGTATAGTAAACTTCAGAAGAGCATGATCACTCGCGCCTAATGATTCTTCCACTTCTACCCCACTAACCAGGTCATCAACATTGGTTAGGACCAGATCTAAAATGGCTGTTCCTCTTGTTGCTTCTCCCACTTTCTGGACAATGAAGTTGTCTGCAAGGCCAGTGAGGAATCTGTTTGACCTTATGCTCTTGGCTGAGTTTGACATCCAACAAATATCCGGGTAATGGAAGTCCCCCATTACTACTATCTCCCTTCCTTTTGCATGCTTGGCCATCTGTTCCAGGAAGGCATCATCTATGTCCTCCGTTTGGCTTGGGGATCTATAGTAAACTCCCACAATGAGGTCACTGTTATTCTTCTCTCCCTTAATTTTGACCCAAATGCTCTCACTTTGGCTTTGAGGTTCTAAATCTTGGATCTCTTCACAGGTATACACATCCCTGACATATAACGCCACTCCTCCTCCTTTCTTGTCTGGTCTGTTTCTTTGAAATAGATTGTATCCCTCCATTATTACATTCCAATCGTGGGACTTATCCCACCAGGTTTCAGTGATGCCTATTATGTCATATTTAGTTTGCTGTACCAAGAGCTCAAGCTCATCTTGTTTATTTCCCATGCTTTGCGCATTAGTGTACAGACATTGAAGTCCATTAATCATTCCCCCGTGTCTCTTATTTAAGGATTTTTTTCCTCCCACCACTAGGTCTGCGTGCTGTTTGCTCCATTTGGTCTATGACATTTGGATGATCATCTTCATCAATTGATAGACTCCTACCTTCAGGAGCACTGTCTCCCTCCCCCACATTAGTCAGTTTAAAGCCCTCCTGACGAGGTTTCTGAGATTTTTGGCAAAAACATTCCTCCCAACCGTTGTGAGGTGCAGCCCATCGCTTGCCAGAAGTCCATCTTCAAGAAACTGCAGTCCGTGATCTAAGAATCCAAACCGTTCCTGTTTACACCATTTGCGAAGCCAGCTGTTCACTTCCACTATTTTTTCCTCTCTCCCTGGGCTACATCGTTGGGAGGACAGATGAGATGACAATTTGTGCATTTCATTGCTTCAATTTCCTGCCCAGAGCCTCGTAGTCTCTTTTGATCTTCTGGAGGCTATTGCTTGCAGTGTCATTGGTTCCCACATGAACCAAGAGGAAGGGGTATTTGTCAGTGGGTTTTATGATTCCTTGCAGTCGTTCAGTTACATCTTGGATCTGAGCCCCGGGGAGACAGCACACCTCCCGAGACATCTTGTCAGGCCCACAGATCACTGCTTCTGTTCCCCTCAGTAGGGAATCCCCTATCACCACTACACGCCTCCTCTTAGGTTTGGTCGGGGTTCTTCCATGAGCTGTCCGTTCCAAGGTCGCCTGCACATTCCCTGAGGACTGACTTTGCTGCTCGTCTTCATATACCTGATCGACTGTAATGAGGGAGAGATCCTCAAATGGAGTCTGTTCTTCGTCTTCCATGCTAGGGGAGAGGACTTCAAACTTTTTAAAAAAGTTGTTGCCATTATAGGCATTGCCATTCAAATGACGTGCATGCGTCATGTGATTGATTGTGCAAGGCGGGCCTTAACTGGCCCCCCATCAATATTTTATTCAAGTCGGCAGCACTGGGTCAGGTGGTTTCCAAATTAAATAAATACATAAATCGCCTTCCTTTGCACATGTCAATATCCTCATTTATTATTTTTAAAATTTATTTGCCCTTCATCTGAAGATTTTACATTATAAACATACAGGATGAAAGCTTGGCTTTCTCAAAAGCAAGTGAAGCCAAAGAAATCTCTCCTTTTCTTCTTTTCTTTTTGTGGATGGAGTTACAAAGTTTGTTGATCAGGGGACTGCTGTGGAAGTAGTGCATCTCGATTTCAGTAAGGCTTTTGACAAAGTCCTCTGTGATGTTTATGAGAGGAAGGTGGTAAAATGTGGACTGAATGAGGTAACTGTTAGGTGGATTTGACTGACCAAACCCAAAGAGGACTCCTTCATGGTTCCTCCTCATCCTGGGGAAAAGTGACAAGAGGGGTGCTGCAGGGTTCTGTTCTGGGCCCGTTGTTGTTCAAGGTCTTGATAAGTGACTTGGATGAAGGAACTGAGGGGATGCTCATCACATTTGCAGACAACACCAAACGGATCATAATGGCATCCTCTCTTCTTCAGCAACAGACAGGGAGACAAAGAACAGTGCAAAAGCACAGCAGAGCGGAAGAGATAAGACTGCCGTTCTTACACTTCCCAATCCTAGGAAAGTAAACAGGGGCATGTGACATACTAGCCACATATCCAGCAAGGGGAGGAGTGAATTGCTAACTCACCACACATGATTGCAGGTGATATAAGTAAAAAAAACCTGCTCCTTTTTGCTTATGAGGTACCTAAGAGCCTATATAGATTCCTTTTGTAGGTTCTCTGTCGGTAAGAGAAAATAGCAGAGACCAACCAGAGAATATTGAGAAGCAAAGCAGCCAGTAAGCCTGTTCTTTACTAACTGTTGCAACAGGGTTCTCCCCCACACGCAGGAGAGAGGAGGACCCCGAGCCATGCGTGCAAGCCCTTATATAGACATTTTTAATTGTCCGCCCTGGAGTCCAAGACCACCCCCAGATACATCATAGATACATCACAGAAGGGGTGTAGCCCAAGACCATTCCCCAGATACATCATATCTACATCACAGAAAAGGCTGTCTACAACAGAAGTCTGAGTGCGTTGTTTTTACCTTGTCTGCCAGTTTACCTGTTAATGGTCACTTGACTGGATTACCTGGGGAGCCTGGTCATTCTTTTGTAATGATAGTACTTAATTCCTGAGCCAGGTCACAGGCTCACCCTATTCACACCTTAAATGTGCCCTTAAGGCAGGATTTGTGAGGACAGAGATATTGGGGAGGTTTCTGCATTTCCTTTGACCTTGTAGAGAAATATTTGAGGTGAGTGAAAGAGTCAAAATGGCTTTAGGACTTTTCCTGTGCATTTTGGACATGTGGTTATATATTTATATATATGTTTGCTTGGTACATTTAGGAACATTTATATAATATATCCTTAAAATATTTTAACATGTCCCCCCTTTGGGGCTATATTTTTTTTCTAAAAAATTGTTGCCCCACAAATAACAACCTGGCATGTTGTAAATGGATGCCTTCGTGTAAATCTTAAGAGACTTGAATGTCAGGCCTCTTAAGGCTATTTGCAAGTGCAGCAGTGCACATAGCTGGACATAGGATATCACATAAAAAAAAAATGCATGTTGCATTTTGTTTCTAAATTACTTGTGACATTCTAGCATTTTGGGATAAACATTCTCATTAATGCTCTATGCTTTACACTTAGGGGGCAGGTCAAATAATGAGTGGAAAATGCAGTTTGTTTTGTTTCTGCCTTTTTTGTGTGTTCCCAGTGTCAAAGCTAGCTCTCCTCTGGTCTCACACCTCCATCATACCACAGCAGCAACAATCCCTGGTGAATCCCTGGTGTAGGGCTTTCATATTGACCATGTCACCTTGTAGTGGCACAGGTATGGACATTTCTTGAGAGATATATCTTTGCCTTGGCCTTTCTATGGGATTTTTATTATTATAGGCTCTGGTCTTGGACTCTAGGGAAGTTGCTCAGTTGCAGCCTGGATACACTTGCCCAGTTCAAACTGAGTCCAGTTAGAACTTATATAGCCCCATGGTTCTCAGCTTTTCAAAGCAATCTGTGAAAAACCATTCTAAAAAGGTCAGTTGTCCAAATTAGTCAATTTAATTCTATAAGGGACCATTCCTGCTAAATCAAAGCATATGCACCTTCATGTATCTGCTGTTTAATGGATCCTGAAGCTTATTCTTGGTGAAGTGAATTTAAAACCATTTAAAAATGGATAGAGAAGTTTGGCACACTGCAGAGTGCCAGGTGGAGCAAGGAAATGTGGTCCTAAATTGAGCTAATCTAAACACTGGACTACGCAATAGCCTGATCTATTTGAAAGCTTAAAAAGCATGAGAATCCTCCATTGGGGTGTAGGCAATAAGACATTATACATTGAACATAAAGACCATTATACACAAAAATTGGGTCCCCCCTTTGTGGAAATAACATACTGTCAGACACAGCATTCCTACATAATAACACACAACATACTAATTAAATAATCAGTTGCATATCTTGAGGCAATCGTGATCTTTTACATATCTTTTCAATCCTGGGGCACAGAGTCTTATGTGCTTGCAATTCAACTTTCCCCCCTTTGTCAGCCCCTTCCCTGTCCGTCTGTATCCTTTGGAAAGAGATAGCTGTGGCCACTCTGGTGTCTTTTGTTGTTGTTGCTGCAGCCCAAATAGTCTTGTGGTCACGAGGAATTGGGCTGAGGGTTTTCCATCGTTGGGTCTGCGTTGACATCTGTAGAAGGGATATCCTGTAAGCGGGAGGGTGGGGCAGGACTTTTGGGACTTAAAGAGACAGTTATAAAGGTAAGAGGTAAAAGCCAAAAGGGGGAGAATCTACTTCAGTTCTCTTGGGAAGCTTCAAACAATAAAAATCTTGGCGAGTTAAGCATTTTATTCATTTCAATATTATTATCACATTTCCATATAATTACTACTGTTTTTATGTGCTTAAAGTACAAAAAAGTAAAAATATAAAAGGAAAACAAAAGTAAAAAAGATAGATTACCAGCTAAACAATTTTTTCCAGACAAAGAATAAATGGACTTGACAGAACAACAGCGGATTTTTTTTAAAAAAAAATATTATTAAATAATACAAAGATATTATCAAAACCACACAGATTGTTACTGGACTGGAACCTTAAGGACTAGGAGGTGAAGGAGGTGGTGGTGAAATGGGCACACGATTGTGGCTATCCAATGAAGATGAAAAATGGGGGAAATTATGAAAAAAGACTTAAAATTCACCACATGAATTTTTAGATGGTACCTGACCCTATCCAAATTAGTCAAAATAAATAATTATCCGCAATAAGTATTGGAGATGCAGACAAAATGAGGGAACCTTATTCCACATTTGGTGGACATGTCCCCAAAGGGAAAATAAAAAAAATAAAAAATAAATAAAATAAAATAAATGCTAACATCTTGTGTGTTTGTCAATTCCGGGAACAGCATTCCTGACCCAGATTTCCACAGGAAGTCCCTAAGATGATTCCCCTTTCAAACAGGATACGTGAACCTAGGCCAGTAGGGTCCTCCTCTCTGGCAGACGGAGAACCCCTTCCTCAAATCCCCTCCCTCCCCCACTTCCCCATGGGGGTCCCCCACACCACCCATCACTCACCAGGATGGCTTTGGCCATCTCCTGCTTGGAGCACTTCAGGGTTCGGAGCCCCCTGAGCTGAGCTGCCTGGCAGTTCTGAATCACCTCCGGCAGGTACAGCTGATCTTCCTCCAGCAGCTGAAAGGCAAAAGTCAGTCCCTTCTCCACCTCCAAGAGAGCATAGTGGGGGGCAAGGAGGGCAGGTCTGAGTCCCTGCTCTGGTTCTCTCCAATACTCACCTCTGGGGGAGAGATGTGCAACCGCAGCACATCTGCAAAGAGAAGGACATGGGGACAGGTGAGTCCGTCCCTGAGCACCTGGCAAGGCTATTCCAAGAGTTTTCTCCTGATTCCATGTCCTACTGCAGGGGAGGAGGCACACCCCAGGCCTTGGGGGCCAATCCTGGCCTCCTTCAACCAGAATGTGGCTCCCCAGGCCAGGGGTAGGCAAACTAAGGCCTGGGGGCCGGATGCGGCCCAATCGTCTTCTCAATCCGGCCCGCGGACAATTCGGACAATTCGGGAATCAGTGTGTTTTTACATGAGTAGAATGTGTCCTTTTATTTAAAATTCCTCTCTGGGTTATTTGTGGGGCATAGGAATGCATTCATTCCCCCCCCCCCATATAGTTTGGCCCCCTACATCATAATAATAATAATAATAATAATAATAATAATAATAATAATAATTTATTATTTATACCCTGCCCTTCTGGCTGAGTTTCCCCAGCCACTCTGGGCGGCTCCCAGTCGAGTGTTAAAAACAGGACAGTGTTAAATATTAAAAACTTGAACAGGGCTGCCTTCAGATGTCTTTTAAAGATAGGATAGCTGCTTATTTCTTTGACATCTGATGGGCGCCACTACCGAGAAGGCCCTCTGTCTGGTTCCCTGTAACCTCGCTTCTCGCAATGAGGGAACCTCCAGAAGGCCCTCGGAGCTGGACCTCAGTGTCCAGGCTGGACGATGGGGGTGGAGACGCTCCTTGGTCTGAGGGACGGTGGACCGGCCCACGGCTGAAAAAGGATGCTGACCCCTTCCCCAGGCTAACAAGATGGTCAATATTCGGCTCCACTCCACCCTTTTAAAATTTAAATATCAAAACAGATACCAGCTTTCAGAGCGAGTAAATCACAAGAGTGGAAAGACCGCTGCGCCACTGACAGACATAGGACTATACTTCCTTCTCCCACCTTTAAAGGATACGTTAGGAACCTCAACTTTGCTCTTCAAGCCAAAAGACAACACTTCCCCGTCCCCGGGCAAAACCCCTGGCCTTTCATTGGTAGAGCCGCCACCACGCCAGTGGCGTTTACCTCACGGGGACTGACTGAGCGGGCAGCAAGATGCTTTCAGCCTCAGACACTTGGCGGGTTGTGAAATGGCCGTCCAAGCAAGATTCACGACCCTGATGGGCTGGATTTGGCCCATGGGACATAGTTTGAGGACCCCTGGCCTACACTGACTGGCAGCAGCTCCCCAGAGTTTCAGGCAGGGATTTCGTCCAGCCCTTGAAGGAGATGTCAGGGGTTGACCCTGGGACATTCTGCATCCCAAGCAGATGCTCTAGGGCTCCCGTATTTCCCTAGCCTTTCAATGTTATGCTATTAGCAATCGTGGAGATTCCACCTGCCTCTTTCGAAAGGAGAACACTCACCTGATCAATTTTAATAATAAATAAATAAATAAATAAATAAATCCCTGCCCATCTGGTTTCCCCAGCCACTTGGGGCGGCTTCCAACAAAATTTTAAAATACAATAGTCCATCAAATATTAAAAACTTCCCTAAACATAATAACAACAACAATCCATTTTCAGTCCATTGAATTAGAAATTAAGCATTTCTGGAAAGGGAAATGGCATACTTTGTATATTAGCAGAAGAAGCATGCCTAAGAAAGTATTACTCATTTACTCATTTAATTTATTACTCATTAATACTCATTTTGCCAGGGGAAAGGTCCCCCTTGGGAGGTGGTGGACTCTCCTTCCTTGGAGGTTTCTAAGCAGAGCTCGGACGGCCATCTGCCATGGATGCTTTAGCTGAGATTCCTGCATTGCTGGGGGTTGGACTAGATGACCCTGGGATCCCCTCCTATCTCTCCACTCCTGAATTCCAGAAGGAGCTTCCTTGCCTCCTGCAAAGCCCTTTTCCCTGCAAGCTCTTCCTCTGGTTTCTGGACAAGGGAGGGAGATGCTCAGAGTCCAGCCAAGAGCCTCACCCCCAAAAGGATATCTGGGCATTGGCTTAGCCAGGGGGGCAGCTGCCCCCCTAAATTCATAAAAAATAATAGAAATCTGAGGTTCTGCCAAGCGAGAGAGGGCTGAGCTGGAGGGACTCGGCTTGGCAAGGGTTAAAGGGAAGTGAGCTGCCTTCCTAGAGAGGCCAGGAAGCAAGGGGGGCCAGGTCCTCCAGAGCCAAGGCCCCTCCCTCCCCAGTCCTTCCCTTGCTTTGGGGTCTCTCCTGCAAGGGCTGCCTCGCTGTCCCCTCCTGGGATCTGGTGAGTCTCCTCTCTCTCCCCCCAGAGGGTGCAGTGGGGAGACGGGGGGGGGGGTCCCAGGGCTGCAGCAGGGGAGGATGCCTGGGGGGCCTGATCCGGGAGGGGCCAGGTCTGCCACGCTCTCCTTCCTGGAGATCAGAGGATCCCAAACTCATCTGGCCCTCCCCCCCCCCTTTCTGAAAAAATCTCCCTTCTTTAAACAAAGGAGTCCCAGGGACTTTAACTCTGTGTGACATCGCTCACCCTCATTGCACGACAGAGGAAACATGTGCAAATGGTTTTCCAAAGCTGGACGAGGAGGTGGACAAGCCCCTCCCCCCTCTAAAAAAACCACGTGGTGGAAGGAAGGAAAGGTGGGAGAGAAAGGCCAGGAACAAAGAGAGGGACCCCAGCCCATAGTCTGGCTGCTGCATTGCGGACCAGTTTCCCAGTCGTCTCCCAGGGCAGCTCCCCACGGAGGCCACTGCAGCAATCCCCTCGCACCCAGAGCATGGCATCCCAGGACCACATCCTCTCTGTCCCAAAGGGATTGTTGCTGGCAAAGCAGCCGGAAATGGGCGCTGCTACTCACCGAGCCTCCAGGGACCTTGGCATCAATGGCTGTGTGTGTGTGTGTTAAGCTATCTAACAGAATAATAATAATAAATTACCAGCCTAAATATCAAGGGAGATGTCTTTGGCCCTGCCCACTTGGCCCTCAGGGGGTTGATCAGATACATACCTGGCCCTCAGAGCAAAGAAAAAGGGACCCCACCCCAGGAGTCTGTCTGGAGAGCGGCAGAGAGTCCAAGTGCAAGAAAAGGAGACAGAAGCAGGGGAGTGGGGGTGGGGGAGCAACTCCTGAGGACCCCCGGGTGAGGACCCCCACTAGAGCCAAGCATCCATTTTTCACAAGATACAAATGACTCCCTTGTCAGTCGGTTCTGACTTCATGCATTGACTGGAAGGCAGCAGAAACCAGGTTGATTAATCTCGCAGAAATCCCTTCAGTTGCCTCCACATTTTGCATTGCTAGAAGGCTAGAGACTTACTTGTTCTTCTCTTCCTCTTTCTTTTCAAAAAGATAGCTCATGGTTTCGGATGCTGTGCAGTCCAGCCCTGGTTCCCAGCAAGACTCATCCATGCTTGCTCAGGGAACCATTTTCCCCGCTGTCCTACAAATTTTGTAACAGAACAATGTATTTGCTTTGTAGGATTTCCTAGAGCTTTTCATTACGACAGACAGAACTTGTCAGAAGACCAAAGGGTTCCTTCCGATCTCTCAGAGGCTTCCTGAGAGCACAGATGGATGAGCAAGACTCGGCTGGCCCTGAAGCAGGAAGAGGCCATGCCAGCCAAACTGGGAGCAGTGGGGGATTCTGGGAAAACCCAGTGCAGAAGATCCTGGGTGAGGAGGACACCCTCGGCTCAGAGGTGCAGAGTCAGCAGTTGAGGCAGTTCTGCTGCCAGGAGGCCAAAGGACCCCGAGAGGCTTGCAGCAGACTCTTCCACCTTGACCATCAGTGGCTGAAGCCAGAAAGGCACACGAAAGCTGAGATGCTGGACCTGGTGATCTTGGAGCAGTTCCTGGCTGTCCTTCCCCCGGAGATGGAGAGCTGGGTGAGGGAATGCGGAGCGGAGACCAGTTCCCAGGCGGTGGCCCTGGCCGAAGGTTTCCTCCTGAGTCAGGCAGAGGAGAGAAAGCAGGTGAGAGAGACTTTCCTCTGGATACTCCCAAGGGGCTCCAAACAGGACAGAGAACATCCCATAATGCTCTGCTGATGGCCCATCCTTTTTCTGGGAAAGCATCCATGGAATGAGATCTTGCACCCTTCAAGTCTTTGTCATTCTCTTTCTAATATTTCTCACCATTCTCTGTTTTGAATCCTTGTTTCTTTTTCAGGGAAAGGATCTCTTTGCAGAAATGGACCTGGATTCCTGTGAGGCAGAGAGGCCTCCGTTGGACACCAGAGAGAGGCCACTGGGTAGGGAGGAAGGTGGTTTTCCCCCATTTGGTCTCATTCTGTTGGTTTTCCAACTCATCTGTGGGTTCTTTTCATCTTCTTTTGGGGGGAGACAGTTGGGAAGAAGGGTCCAGAGGAGGGGAGATGTATTTCTGCACAACTAACATATGAAATGGGCACAAACGTCCAAATGCTCTCAGCAGGTAAGGCTTTCTCAAAGGCCCATCTGTAGTTAGAGATGCCCTGTTTCACCTGTGAGAGAAGCAGGCACTCCTGGCGTCCTGCTTACCTTTTTTCTCTTGCAGGTGACAGAAGGATGCCAGCAAGACCTCCTGATCTGTCTTTTCATGGGGGCAGAAGGGAAGCAGCGGCTGTGGAACCAGATCAGGTCAGGGGAAGCTGCCTTCTTGGACAGAGGCTGAGGGATGGAGCAATGTCATGGACTAGTTGGGCACAGAGGAATGGTGGGAGGAAGCAGCCGGGGAACCAGGAAGGGAAGATGGCTGAGAGCCCAAGAAGTGGAGGTAGAAGAAGGATGGGTGGTCAGAGGGGCAAGAGGGAGAAGCCTGGGAAGAGGAGGTGTCAGAAGCTGAAGGGATTACAGGGCTTAGTGAGCTGGGAGACTCTGTGGCAGAATGCAGTGCAGAATCAGAGGCAGAAGAGGAAGGAGGCGAGTGGGAGAGGAAGGTCGAGAGGCAGAGGTGAGTCAGGATAAGTTAGAGCCACCGGTGGCTCCCTCTCCTTTTGCCAGAAGCCACCCTCCCTGCTTGTCTCTCAGAGCCAGGAGACCCGTGCATTGCAGAAATCTCTGCTAGATAATCCAAGACAGATGGCCGTTCAAAATAGGCTTATTTTATTTCTAGATTGATCACTGAATGCTAAAATTGGTTTCTAAGGGGTGGACAAATGAGAACAAATAGTGGCCTGGATTCACCTAACCAGCCCCATCTACTGCAAAATGGGGCTTGCCCCCCATTCCTCCGCCCTCCATGCCCCCATGACCCCTTGGTTTTTAACTGTAGGGCATTGGGAGGAACTCCCAGAACAGCTCAGGAGGAGAGGAGAAAGTGGATCCTTCCATCAGGCAAACTGGAATGCTTGCGTAGGCAGAATGACCTGAAAAACACAGTGTGGAGTACCACCTATTTGCACAAAGATGAACACCCATAATTAAAACGCAGAATAAAATAAGCATCCATATTTATAATGTGCAGCAAAGCAATCCTATTGAAACAACACCACAATTAACAGGAAGAACACAACAGGGCATTGTGTAGCAGATCATATTTCTGTCTCAGAGGAGAACATTTCCTGTTTCTTTTAGGGTCCAGTGTGCTTTGAAGATGTCGTTGTTCGTTTCACGGAGGAGGAGTGGGCGTTGCTGGATCCTGAGCAGAGAGCTCTGCATAAGGATGTAATGGAGGAGAATCGTGGGATCGTGGCCTCTCTTGGTAAGGCTCCCTGTGGGATCGTCATATCTGCCTGGAAATTCAAAAAATACCTCAATGTGACCAACCTCATATATTTTCACAGAGCTCAACAGCACCCCCTGTAACACCTGGGAACCTAACACCCCCACAATAAAGAGTAAATTACAGTTTTTTCTTTGAACAATCTTCCTCAAATTATTCCTTTTTCTACCATGATTGTGTTAGGATATTGATGTTCCTTTCCACCTAAACTGATGTGTGGAGCTATCGTCTGTCACATTTCTGTTTACATTTCTGTTTACATGGGAACTTCCGTTTGTGTATAGCTTTTGCCTCATGCTTCCTGCTCTTAGACATGAAGGAGAGCAGACATGTTTTTCTTTGTCTTGATCTATGCTGAATATACTGCTTGTAAATATGCTTTACATATGCCTCTGTCCACCCTTCTTTTTTAAAAAAACACATTTTATTAGTTTTTACAATATCAACGACAAACAAAAATATAAAACAAACAAAACATAACAGACATAAATCATAACCTTATTGAAAATAACAGTTATTTACTTTGTAAAACGACTTCCTCGTTTCCCCTTGGTTTAATTTCATTGCATATCCTTATAACGGTTTTCCAAATCCCAATTTTAATACCCTTTAAATTAAACATTAACATCTTTAAATCTTCTCCTTCTTGTATTAAACATATTATTTTATCAGTTAACATAAATACAATCCTAAGCCCATTAAGTATTTGGACGCTATTTCCAGTTATTTTAGCTTAACAAATTTAGCTAAATAATCATTAAATTTCTTCCATTCTTCGTGGTGAGTTCCTCCTCCTTCTGGTCGCGGACTCTTCCGGTTAGATCGGCTAGCTCCATAAAATCCATCATCTTCATCTGCCATTCTTCTACTGTTGGTAATTCTTGAGTTTTCCACTTTTTAGCTAACAAAATACGAGCCGCAGGTGTTGCATACAAAAACAGATTAACATCTTTCTTGGGCAATTCTGAACCTGTTATTCCAAGAAGAAAGGCCTCTGGTTTCTTTATAAATGTATATTTCAACATTTTTTTCAATTCATTATAAATCTTTTCCCAGAAGTCTTTCACCTTGGAGCAGGTCCACCACATATGAAAGAATGTTCCTTCCTTTTCTTTACATTTCCAACATGTATTATCACAATTATGATACATCTTTGCTAATTTTACAGGAGTCAAATACCATCTATACATCATTTTCACAATATTTTCCTTTAACAAAGTACATGCGGTGAACTTAACCCCTTTCTTCCACAATCTTTCCCAGTCCTCAAACATTATGTTATGTCCTAAATCTCTTGCCCAATCTATCATCACCGATTTAACTTGTTCATCTTTCGTATGCCACTCCAGCAAAAGCTTGTACATTTTAGATAAGTTTTTACCTTCAGTATCTAACAACTCCATCTCCAACTTTTCCAAGGCAAAACCATTTTTCTTATCCAGTATATACAATTCGTTAATCTGGTGGTAATGTAGCCATTTTTGCTTATCTTTAATTTGCTCAAATGGTCCTAATTTATAACCTTCCTCTTCCTCTATTAATAAGTCATAATATCTCAACCATTTGGTATCCATATTTAATTTTTTCTGGGCCTTTGCCTCCATTGGTGAAAGCCATCTGGGCGTCTTTCTTTCTAAAAGGTCTTTGTATTTTATCCAAACATTATACAACGATTTCCGAATTATATGATTTTTAAATGCTTTATGGGCTTTTACTTTATCATACCACAAATATGCATGCCAACCAAACACATTATCAAATCCCTCCAAATCTAGTAAATCTGTATCTTCTAATTTCATCCATTCTTTAATCCAACAAAGTGTGGCATCTTCAAAATAGATTGTTAAGTCTGACAGAGAGAATCCCCCTCTTTCTTTGGAATCCGTAAGTAATTTGTATTTAATTCTGGGTTTCCTCCCCTGCCACCCTTCTGTCACAGAGTTCATTACTCTGCTGATTAGAGGGTGCTCCAGCTTCTGAAGAGTTCTGAAGCTGCGGGTCGCTGTTTGATGCTGTTCCGCGGACCGGAGTTTGCCCGGTTACCGGCCGGTGGGCTGGAGCCAGCTGGGAGCCTGCCAAATGCCCCCGTTTCCCTTGGACGCATCCCAAGAGATTGGGCTGGTCTGAACTTCCCAGGCCATCTTCACTGTCAGCTTCAGAATTGTTAGGAAAGCTAAGTAGCTTCAGGTTTTTGTTTTTGCTCCTGTCAGTCTTGGGTTGACCAAAGAGACGACTGGCAGCGAAGCTCAGGTGCTGCCAGCCAGAGAAGAAGCAGGCCTAGGGAGAGGAGAGTTAGCAGCGGAAGGCAGAGAGGAGGGGGAGAGGAACTGTCATCTGAGCTCTGAACAAGGGGGAGAAGAAAAAGAGAGACAGAGTGACAGGCAGCTGTGTGAGAGCTACAGAAGTGAGTCAGACGCTGGAATGCAGGAAGCATTCTCTGCCTAATTTCGTAGCATCTGAAAAGTGGTCCAGCACAAAAGATACTGGAAGAGAAGGTGGGGGCTTCCGTGCTGGGGAAGGGGGAGGAGCTCAGTCTGGGCAACTCCATCTTGTGGGGAGGACGATGAGTAGAGGAGCTGCGTCCACGTTTGTTGTTTTAGCAATAAATCTGAAATTACCGTATTTTTTGCACCATAACACTCACTTTTTTCCTCCTAGAAAGTAAGGGGAAATGTCTGTGCGTGTTATGGAGGGAATGCCTACGGGTGGCATGCCTACGGATTTTCCTCCTCTAAAAGCTATGTGCGTGTTATGTTTGGGTGCGTGTTATAGAGTGAAAGATACGGTATTAACAGCCAGAGTCATCTCATGTTTGTGGGAGAGACCAAGCCATAACAAGGACTGACATTGGGGATGGAGGGAGTGCCATGATTGGGCCAAACAAAATCCATCCCAGAGAAGAGCTAGGCTTATGGAATCTCAGGTAGTAGTAGCAGTGAAGATGATGATGATGATTATGATACAGTGGTACCTTGGTTTACAAACTTAATCTTTTCCGGAACAGAACTGTTCTTAAATCGAGGTACCACTGTAGTAATAATAATAATAATTTTTATTTCTACCCTGCCCATCTGGCTGGGTTGCCCCAGCCACTCTGGGTGGCTTCCAACACATATATAATCATGAAACATAAATAGTAATAATATGATTCCATATAAAAAGAACATTAACTTTAAAATGAACAACTTTTACTAGTGGCCAAAATTGTGGAAACCTTTTGTGAAAAGTGTATTTCTGAGGTTTGATGGCTCATAACACCACTTTTGTGTGGAGTAATACCATAAAATTATAGAGCAATGGGAAGATAATTTAATGAAGAATGTAATGCAATGACTTTAATGAAGGAGTATTTATTAGAACAGCATTCATAAAGAAAAAACTTGAAACCTTTGGTAACCATTGGTAACCTTTAGCTTTCATTACGGCCTTACAAAGCCTTCCCATGAAGTGAACCAAGTTTTTAGTTCTGCAGCTGTAAGAATGTCAAACCGAGACTGAATTATTGCCTCTGTTAATTGAGATTTATTACTGGGTTACTTCTGACTAAGAAGTTTCTTTAGTCGGCTCCATAGATTTCCGATTGGGTTAAAGTGTGGGCTATTCCCAGGACATTCTGGCAGTGGAATAGGATTATCTTGAAAGCACCATTTGCACACAGCAGCAACATGACATGGAGCTGAATCCTGTTGAAATAGAAAATAAATATATAAATAAATGCTTCAGTATCTGGGAAAAGATCACCTGCTGAATGCTTCAGTTTGGGCTAAAGTATTTCATTTATGTATTTTGGGGCATTTACATGCCTATTAATGATGCAAATTCTGCCCACACCTTTTGCTGCCATACAACCCCAGATCATCACACTATCTGGGTGTTTCACGGTCGGTGCAATGCAAGTCGGATGTAAATCTTCTCTGATTCTTCTTTCATGCCGTCACTACCAAGCAAGGAGATTTGGGTCTCATCATTCGAAATAACACTGTCCCATTGTTCCTCTGTCCAGTTAACAAGGGTTTAATCTTTTCAACCTTTGCTTCAGAGATAACAATGGCTTTTTCCTTTGAATTCTAGCCTTAGACCAGTCCTTGCGCTCAACTTCACATTACATGGCTCCATGTCATCTTGTATACACCCAGATGATATTTTTCTGTCATGTAGGGACAGTCTCTATTCTTCGATCGTCACTTGCCTTTCTGCACCTTTTCCTGACTTTACCACTCTGATTTTGTAGTGACTGAGTCTCCTTATACCTCTTCAAAAATATAGAAAGGCCAGCTTTGGTTATGTTTCACCCAATCTCACTTCTAATTTCTTCATAACTGTAGCCTTGTTCACTTAATAGTACTATTTTATATCGCTTTCTGGGTGACCCATCAACTTTTTGTGCCATTTCTATAATTTTATTATGTTTTGCAACCTCACTAAATGAAAGAACCCAAAAAAACCAACCAACTTGTTAGCAATCACATAACACACTGACAAAAGTCAACCTAAGCAAGATGTGCTTCCTTTTTCTGGTTATTTGGCTACAATGTTTGATAGAATACGGATAATTAAACAAACTTTGTTGAACTGCATTCTTGATTAAATTATATTTCCGTTGATATATAATTTTATAATATTACTCCAAAAGAAGTGGACTTTTGAGCCATCAAACCTCTGAAATACACTTTTCTCCAAAAGGCTTCCGCAATTTTGACCAGTACAGTATATCAAACAAAGCAACATTCAACAACACATCAGAATCTCATAATAAATATGTTGGTTAATGACAAACAATACAGGTAATGAACATCCCCCCAATTCCCTTCAGTTCTTATCCATTTGTTCCTGAGGCTCTAATCCCTTTTGTCTCCATTGCAGATTGTGATGAATCAGAAATCGAGAACATAGGTGACCACGATAAAATCCCCAGAGAGGAGAAGCCACGTAAAAATTTAGAGTGTGGAGAAAGCTGCAGTCAGAGCTCCCATTACACGTCCCATCAACAAAATCTCATTGGAAATAAACTCTATCAGTGCACGGAATGTGGAAAAAGTTTCAGTCAGAGCTCCCATCTCACTTCCCATCAAAAAACTCATACAGGGAAGAAACCCTATCAGTGTGTGGAATGTGGAAAGAGCTTCAAGAAAAGCTCCAGTCTCACTTCCCATCAAAGAATTCATATAGGGGAGAAATCCTATCAGTGCATGAAATGTGGAAAGAGCTTCAATCACACCCGTGATCTCACTTCCCATCAAAGAATTCATACAGGGGAGAAACCCTATCAGTGTGTGGAATGTGAAAAGTGCTTCATGAAGAGCTCCCATCTCACTTCCCATCAAAGAATTCATACAGGGGAGAAACCTTATCAGTGTGTGGAATGTGGAAAGAGCTTCAATGATAGCTCCTCTCTCACTTCCCATCAAAGAATTCATACAGGGGAGAAACCCTATCAGTGTGTGCAATGTGGAAAGAGCTTCAGGAAGAACTCCCATCTCACTTCCCATCAAAGAATTCATACAGGGGAGAAACCCTATCAGTGTGTGGAATGTGGAAAGAGCTTCAATCAGACCCGTGATCTCACTTCCCATCAAAGAATTCATACCGGGGAGAAACCCTATCAGTGTGTGGAATGTGGAAAGAGCTTCAGTCAGAGCTCCCATCTCACTTCCCATCAAAAAATTCATACAGGGGAGAAACCCTATCAGTGTTTAGAATGTGGAAACAGCTTCAGGAAGAGCTGCGGTCTCGCTTGCCATCAAAGAATTCATACAGGGGAGAAACCCTATCAGTGTGTGGAATGTGGAAAGAGCTTCAGTCAGAGCTCCGATCTCACTTACCATAAGCGAATTCATACAGGGGAGAAACCCTATCAGTGTGTGGAATGTGGAAAGTGCTTCATGAAGAGCTCCCATCTCACTTCCCATCAAAGAATTCATACAGGGGAAAAACCTTATCAGTGTGTGGAATGTGGAAAGAGCTTCAATGATAGCTCCTCTCTCATTTCCCATCAAAGAATTCATACAGGGGAGAAACCCTATCGGTGTGTGGAATGTGGAAAGAGCTTCAGGAAGAACTCCCATCTCACTTCCCATCAAAAAATTCATACAGGGGAGAAACCCTATCAGTGTTTAGAATGTGGAAACAGCTTCAGGAAGAGCTGCAGTCTCGCTTGCCATCAAAGAATTCATACAGGGGAGAAACCCTATCAGTGTGTGGAATGTGGAAAGTGCTTCATGAAGAGCTCCCATCTCACTTCTCATCAAAGAATTCATACAGGTGAGAAACCTTATCAGTGTGTAGAATGTGGAAAGAGCTTCAGTCAGAGCTCCGATCTCACTTACCATAAGCGAATTCATACAGGGGAGAAACCCTATCAGTGTGTGGAATGTGGAAATAGCTTCAGGAAGAACTCCCATCTCACTTCCCATCAAAGAATTCATACAGGGGAGAAACCCTATCAGTGTGTGGAATGTGGAAAGAGCTTCACTGATAGCTCCGCGTTGACTTACCATCAAAGAATTCATACAGGGGAGAAACCCTATCAGTGCATGGAATGTGGAAAGAGGTTTAGTCAGAGCCATAGTCTCATTTCCCATCACATAATTCATACCGGGGAGAAACCCTATCAGTGTGTGGAATGTGGAAAGAGCTTCAATCACACCCGTGATCTCACTTCCCATCAAAAAATTCATACAGGGGAGAAACCCTATCAGTGTGTGGAATGTGGAAAGAGCTTCAGGAAGAGCTCCAGTCTCACTTCCCATCAAAGAATTCATACAAAGGTCGGGAAAACCATTATACAGCTTTAGGAGCCAGGAAATCCGCACCTTTATTACCTGGCGTTTGGCTGATTGACATCTAATCCCTTTTTAACATGTGGTGTTTTGTGTTTGTATGTTGTAACCATCCTGAGACCTGTAGGTGTAGGAATAGGCATCAATGCTTAAAGACCTAGGCGCCTCCCTCCCCCCATAAAATATTTAAGGAGCCCTGTGTCATTTGCCCTCCTAGGTGTATGACATCATACTAGGTCATAAGGAAAGGGTTAACTAAGTGTAAAATGATTAACCAATAGGAACCAAAGGGCAGGAGTTAGAGTTGTTAGGAAGTGAATCTGGAGTTAGAGAAGGGAGAGGGAGGATAAGTCTGTGGGTTGGGCTAGTCTGATATGAGAGAGTGCAAGAATCTGTTAAGAGGAGTCAGTTAAACAGTTGGGATAATCAGTGAGAAGGTATTAGGAAGGTATAGGCTGGTAAAGAAACTAAGGTTAAGAAACTGACAAGAAAAATTATCTGAAACCATAAACTTGTTAATGCGTATAAAATAAACTTGTTTATTTGGTTTAATGTTAACAAGTGTCTGGACTCAGTGTGTACCCGAGAGAAATTGGTTGGTGGCAGCGGGGAAGCGATCACAGTGGTGGCACAGGGATCAATAGACCGTCAAACGTCCGGGGACCCTGTGTGGTCGCCACAAGGCCACCCCCCATGTTTTTTGTTTTTCCCCCAAACGCAACCTTTTATTCTTCCACAACTTACCATACAATTTCTCTTTCAATTTGCCCTCTTAAAATTTTTTTAAAAAACAACACACAAAGTTCACGAAGAAAGCAAAATACAAAAAAAGACAAATGTGGACAGGTCCCATCTTTATGGGCCAAACTTGGGTCCCCAGCACCTCCCGGACAAAAGTTCCCATCATCACTCCCCATTGGTCCTGCTAGCTAGGGGTGATGGGAGTTGTAATCCAAAAACAGCTGGAGACCCAAGTTTGCTTTAAAGGGAAAGTAGGCTGGCCCTGTGACACCCTCTGCTGGACAAAAGCACTGCCCCAGAATCTGAACCACCCCCAGTACTGCTAATTGGAATTTATAGAGCTCAAAACTGAAGTTTGATCGGCACTTCAACCTCTAGGGAGCTTCTAGGTGCTTTCTGTGCCACCTAGAGTACCCACAGAATTGTGGCTTCTACTGGCAACACACAGAGGAGAACAAATGAAAGACAAACACAAGGGGCAGGAAAAAACCTGGAAAGGGCCATACCAAATGGACATCCGGTGTGAAGAGGTCACTTTCCCCACTGCTGAACAATGCCACAGGTAGAGGAGATGGAATGCTAGAAGTGTTCACAGGGCAAGGGGAGCTGCTGGGAAAGTGAACTATGGCCTCAAAATATTACTTTTTAAAAAAGTCACTGCCATTATAGACATTGCCATTCTAATTGTGTGCATGCAGCATGTGATTGATTGTGCAAGGCGGGCCTTAACTGGCCCCCCACCAGTAATTTATTCAAGTCAGCACCACTGGGTTGTGTGGTTTACAAACTAAATAAATACATAAATCTCCTTCCTTTGCACATGTCAATATCCTCATTTATTATTTTTAAAATTTATTCACCCTTCATCTGAAGATTTTACAACATACAGGATGAAAGCATGGCTTTCTCAAAAACAAGTAAAGCCAGAGAAATCTCTCCTTTTCTTTTTTTGGATGGAGTTACAAACTTTGTTGATCAGGGGACTGCTGTGGAAATTGTGCATCTTGATTTCAGTGAGGCTTTTGACAAAGTCCTCTGTGAGATTTATGTGAGGAAGCTGGTAAAATGTGGGCTGAATGAGATATATGTCTTAGGACATCAAACTGGGAAAGTGGATTTTAAACTGACTGAAGAGGTTTTATGCCCTTGGGAATTTGGTCTCTTAAATCTACCCCTTCGCCTTCCGTTTCCGTGCGCTGCTCTGGTTCGCCAGAAGCGGCTTAGTCATGCTGGCCACATGACCTGGAAGCTGTACGCCGGCTCCCTCGGCCAACAAAGCAAGATGAGTGCTGCAACCCCAGAGTCGGCCATGACTGGACCTAATGGTCAGGGGTCCCTTTACCTTTACCTATGCATTATAGAAGGGACGTCCAACTTCCAAGATTCCATTCTAGGAATTTGCAAAACAACATCAAACCTTGCGTTACATGAAATGCATTCGACAAACACAAGACGTAACCGGCTGTGGATTCACGTAAACAATACTCTTCTATATATTTTTATCACAATATCAAATGTTTATCTTGCACATAAACAACACATAAAGTGCAATAAATCAGTTCATTCCTAAAGACCAAATGTCTGCTACTTTCTGTTCCACATATGTTCATAAAGTCCAAATTGGAGCCTGCTACAGTTCCACAGTGTAGTAGTGTTGCACATGCCTCCATTGTAGGAACCGCATTCCTGACCCATAATTTCACAGGAAGTCCCTAAGATGATTTCCCTTTCAAACAGGATACGTGAACCTAGGCCAGTAGGGTCCTCCTCTCCGGCAGACGGACAAACCCTTCTCCAAAGCCCCTCCCACCCCCACCTCCCCATGGGGGTGCCTCCCCAGAATGGCCTCCGCTGTCCGGTGTTTGGACACCTGAAGGGCGTGGAGGCCTCTCAGGACAGCTGCCTGGCAGCTCAGTATCACCCGGAGCAAGAGAACTTCTGGCTCCAGCAAAAGTCAGGCTGCCAGTTCCTCACAACTGAAAGTCCTGGCAGCGGGGAGCAGGTTTTTGGGATCCTCTCCCTCATATCTGTCAACTTTTCCCTTTTCTTGCGAGGAATCCTATTCGGAATAAGGGAATTTCCCTTTAAAAAAGGGAAACGTTGACAGCTATGCTCTCCCTACTCGTTTCCTCAAATACTCAACATTGCTGGATGAAGAAAGCCTGTGGCACATCTTCAAGAAGAGAAAAACAAGTAATGAATGAAATAAGAAGCGAAATAAGAAGCTGAGACAATAAGAATCCACTGATTGCCTCGCCTTGTCCTCCATCAACTGCCACCAACTGCTCTCTCCTCCACTTGCCTCACTGCTAACCCAAAATGGCCGCCTGCAAGTCTGTGGCTTTTACCGGTCCTTGTCACTGTGGGAACCCCCCCTCACCTGGACCTGGGCCCACCTGGCTCCACTTATTGGGAGATGATCTATAATGAAATGAAAAAAAAATGTTTAAGATAACCTTTGTTAAAGGACCAGAAGGGTTTTTAGTAGGTATTTTAGGGCAGGATTTACTAAAAAGTTAAGAGAAATCCATTCATGTATGTGACAACAGCAGCCAGAATTTTACTAGCTCAAAGATGGAAAAGCAATGAAATACCAACGAAAGAACACTGGCAAGAAACGTTGATGGAATAGGCTGAAATGGCGAAGCTAACTCAGAGACTTAAAGATAAGGACAATAATGATGTTTAAAAAGATTGCGAACCTTTTAAGATGTATATACAGAAACAATGCATAGAAATGAACTCACTGGCAGGATTTGAGTGATACACTTACAGTGGACAAATACAAACAGAAAATACAATTATGAGGTAAAAATGAGAAGAAGAGACAAATGTTATAACCTTCATTTTAATATATAAGGAATACAAAATTATAAGCAAAAGAAACAGAGGTGTTATAAACCAGGAAGGGAAGTAGGGGGAAGTCGCGGAGGGGGGGGGTGTTAATTGAAATTGTAAAATGTAATTTGAATGATTGATTATGTTAAAATTTCTTTAATTAAGTTATATTTTTAAAGAAAGAAAAGCAATGGCTCCTCTTACTTAAGGGCCCCACAGACCTCATGGGACACCAGAGCAGATTCCTTTGTTGCTTTTTTGAGTTGACCAGCAATGGGGGTTGCATTTCCTTATTTACAGGAGGGCTGTTGCAAAAGCACATGACATGCTCTTCACACTTAGTTATCTATTAGGAACACACGCACAAATTATTGTGTGTGTGTTTGTATTTGCAAACTACCCCAGTCTCTGAGGGGTGAGATTCCAGGGGTCCCAGGCGCTTCCCCATCTTCGGTTTCCTTGGAACGAAAGTCAGCGGAGACTGTGTTGTCTTTATGATATAGTTTTATTTACTCGCATACACAACCGGAGTGTCGGACGGAGGGGCTCACAGCATCAACACCCAAACAGATCTTGATTCTAAATTAGTGGCAGCTTTGACTCCGGCACAGAGCAAGCTGGTTTCGGGGTTTCCCACAGCTCTCTCTGGGTCTTGCTTTCCTACCTAGCAGTCAGGTGAGATGGGAGGGGGGAGGACAGCCCCCCCCCATTAGCTGCAGCTCTTGCAACCCAGCTCCTTCGTTGGGGATGCTGAGGAGGACACTCTATGGCCAGCGAAGGCCCTTGTCTTGCCAAGAAACTTGCCTGTGGGAATCGTGCATCCATAATGCTATGGAAAGGGTGAATGTCTTCTAGAATTCTCTGGTGTCACCAGAAGAGGAAGCTGTTCTTTTCAGTTAGGTCTGTTCTCAACTGCAGAGGATGAGTAGCCTTGGGAGTCTCTTGGGGAGATGGAAGTGATGAAAGGACTGAATCCATGAGGGAGAGCTACTTGCTCTGAGATGGGGGAACCTTCGGGCAAAGGCCAGCAGAGAAGGGATGCTGTTGGCTGCTGGTTTCTGTTCCTCCCCACTTTCCCAAAGGGCGTAACATCGGAGGTCCTGTGGGAGGAAAGAGCATCTTGGAGTCAGGGGCCAATCTGGGCCAAAGCGGCCCCCACTGCCCCCACCACGGAGTCCCTGGCACTCCTGAACCATGAAGGCTGCAGATTTTGGTCTTGGACAGGTGAGTCCGTCCCTGAACACCTGGCAAGGCTATTCCAAGAGTTTCCTCCTGGATTCCAAGTCCTACTGCAGGGGAGGAGGGACATCCCAGGCCTTGGGGGCAAATCCTGGCCTCCTTCTACCAGAATGTGGCTCCCCAGGCTAAGGAGATGGTCAATCTCTGGTTCCACTCCACCCTTTTAAAATTTAAATATCAAAACAGATCCCAACTTTCAGAGCATGTAAATCACAGGAGTGGAAAGACCTCTGCTCCACTCACAGAAATGGGACTATACCTCCTTCTCCCACCTTTAAAGGATACGTAAGGAACCTCAACTCCTCTCTTCAAGCCAAAATACAGCACTTCCCCGTCCCCAGGTGAAACTCCTGGCCTTTCATTGGTAGAGCAGCCACCACGCCTGTGGCGTTTACCTCAGTGCTGTGCGGGGACTGACTAAGCTGACGGCGACATGCTTTCTTTCTTTTTATATATATATATATATATAATTTTTATTAAAAATTTTCCATTATACAAATTCCAATATCAAACATTTTTCAGAAATTTTAACTTTTTGACTTCCATCAGCTTCTCTGCCCATCATCCGTATTTTCCCATTTTTACACATTTTCTAAATTTGATATTGCATTTTAATATTACCTTTACTGTCCTCTTTATGTTTAACAATACTCCTCTACCTTTCACAAAGCCTCTTTAAATCCCACTAGTGTTGTTTGTTCATCACATATACTTTCCAGATATTCTACAAATTTTCCCCAGTCCTCGATGAACTTGTGGTCCCGTTGATACCTAATCTTCCCAGTTAATTTGTCCAGTTCTGCATAGTCGATAAGTTTCATTCTCCATTCTTCAAGAGTTGGTAGTTCCTGTTTCCATTTTTGGGCCATTAATATTCTTGCTGCTGTTACTGCGTATTGAAAAAGTTTATTATCCCTTCTATTTATTTCTCTTCCTGTTATTCCTAACAGAAAGGCTTCTGGTTTCTTTACAAATGTATATTTCAACATCTTCTTCAATTCATTATATATCATTTCCCAGAAACCCTTCACTTTCTTACACTCCTACCAGATATGATTAAATGATCCTTCTTTTTCTTTACATTTCCAACACTTATTACATGTTTTATACATTTTTGCTAGCTTAACCGGTGTAATATACCATCTATACATGCTTTCAGCCTCGGACACTTGGCGGGTTCTGAAATGGCCGTGCAGGCCACATTCACGACCCTGGGGGGCTGGATTCGGCCCATGGGACATAGTTTGAGGACCCCTGGTCTATACTGACTGGCAGCAGTTCCCCAGAGTTTCAGGCAGGGATTACGTCCAGCCCTTGAAGGAGATGTCGGGTTGACCCTGGGACATTCTGCATGCCAAGCGGATATGGAAATTGAGTCCTAGTATGCTTGGCTGCTCCTTTCCGCTGTATAGTAAACTTCAGAAGAGCATGATCACTCGCACCTAATGATCCTTCCACTTCTACCCCACTAACCAGGTCATCAACATTGGTTAGGACCAGATCTAAAATGGCTGTTCCTCTTGTTGCTTCTCCCACTTTCTGGACAATGAAGTTGTCTGCAAGGCCAGTGAGGAATCTGTTTGACCTTATGCTCTTGGCTGAGTTTGACATCCAACAAATATCTGGGTAATTGAAGTCCCCCATTACTACTATCTCCCTTCCTTTTGCAAGCTTGGCCATCTGTTCCAGGAAGGCATCATCTATGTCCTCCGTTTGGCTTGGGGATCTATAGTAAACTCCCACAATGAGGTCACTGTTATTCTTCTCTCCCTTAATTTTGACCCAAATGCTCTCAATTTGGCTTTGAGGTTCTAAATCTTGGATCTCTTCACAGGTATACACATCCCTGACATATAACGCCACTCCTCCTCCTTTCTTGTCTGGTCTGTTTCTCTGAAATAGATTGTATCCCCCCATTATTACATTATGCTCTAGGGCTCTCCATATTTCCCTAGCCTTTCAACGTTATGCTATTAGCAACGCTGGAGATTCCACCGGCTTCTTTCGAAAGGAGAACACTCACCTGATCAATTTAATAAATAATAATAATATATTCATACACTGCCCACTCTGGGCGACTTCCAACAAAATATTAAAATACAATAGTCCATCAAATATTAAAAGCTTCCCTAAACATAAAAATAACAACAATCCATTTTCAGTCCATTGAATTAGCAATTAAGCATTTCTGGAAAGGGAAATGGCATACTTTTTTATTAGCATAAAAAGCATGCATGAGGAAGTATTACTCATTTATGATGAGAATAGGATTAATTTATTTTGAAATTTACTTGGTTCCTCCTTGGAAGCCAGTGTGATTGTTTCAGCAGGGCTAGAACTCAGGACCCACTGCCTTGAGGGACATCTAAGAGCAGTTGGGCAGGGGAAAGGTCTCCTTTGGGAGGTGGTGGACTCTCCTTCCTTGGAGGTTTCTAAGCAGAGCTCGGACGGCCATCTGCCATGGATGCTTTAGCTGAGATTCCTGCATTGCTGGGGGTTGGACTAGATGACCCTGGGATCCCCTCCTATCTCTCCACTCCTGAATTCTAGGAGGAGCTTCCTTGCCTCCTGCAAAGCCCTTTTCCCTGCAAGCTCTTCCTCTGGTTTCTGGCCAAGGGAGGGAGATGCTCAGAGTCCAGCCAAGAGCCTCACCCCCAAAGGATATCTGGGCATTGGCGTAGCCAGGGGGGCAGCTGCCCCCTTTAATCCATAAAAAATAATAAGAATCTGAGGTTCTGCCAAGCGAGAGAGGGCTGAGCTGGAGGGACTCGGCATGGCAAGGGTTAAAGGGAAGTGAGCTGCCTTCCTAGAGAGGCCAGGAAGCAAGGGGGGCCAGGACCTCCAGAGCCAAGGCCCCTCCCTCCCCAGTCCTGTCCCTTGCTTTGGGGTCTCTCCTGCAAGGGCTGCCTCGCTGTCCCCTCCTGGGATCTGGTGAGTCTCCTCTCTCTCCCCCCAGAGGGTGCAGTGGGGAGACAGGGGGTCCCAGGGCTGCAGCAGGGGAGGATGCCTGGGGGGCCTGATCCGGGAGGGGCCAGGTCTGCCACGCTCTCCTTCCTGGAGATCAGAGGATCCCAAACTCATCTGGCCCTCCGCCCCCCCCTTTCTGAAAAAATCTCCCTTTAAACAAAGGAGTCCCTGGGACTTTAACTCTGTGTGACATCGCTCAGCCTCATTGCACAACAGAGGAAACATGTGCAAATGGTTTGGAGGAGGAGGTGGACTAGCCCCCCCCCAATGAAAACCCCACGTGGAGGAAGGAAGGAAAGGTGGGAGAGAAAGGCCAGGAACAAAGAGAGGGATCCCAGCCCATAGTCTGGCTGCTGCATTGGGGACCAGTTTCCCAGTCATCTCCAAGGGCAGCTCCCCACGGAGGCCACTGCAGCAATCCCCTCGCACCCAGAGCAGGGCATCCCAGGACCACATCCTCTCTGCCCCAAAGGGATTGTTGCTGGCAAAGCAGCCGGAAATGGGCGCTGCTACTCACCAAGCCTCCAGGGACCTTGGCATCAATGGCTGTGTGTGTGTGAAGCTATCTAACAGAATAATAATAATTAATTACCCGCCTAAGTTTCAAGGGAGATGTCTTTGGCACTGCCCACTTGGCCCTCAGGGGGTTGACCAGATACATACCTGGCCCTCAGAGCAAAGAAAAAGGGACCCCACTCCAGGATTCTGTCTGGAGAGCGGCAGAGAGTCCAAGTGCAAGAAAAGGAGACAGAAGCAGGGGAGTGGGGGTGGGGGTGGGGAGCAACTCCTGAGGGCCCCCAGGTGAGAACGCCCACTAGAGCCAAACATCCGTTTTTCACAAGATACAAACGATTTGCTTGTCAGTCGGTTCTGACTTCATGCATTGACTGGAAGGCAGCAGAAACCAGGTTGATTAATCTCCCAGAAATCCCTTCAGTTGCCTCCACATTTTGCATTGCTAGAAGGCGAGAGACTTATTTCTTCTCCTCTTCCTCCTCTTTCTTTTCAAAAAGATAGCTCACGGTCTCGGATGCTGTGCAATCCTGCCCTGGTTCCCAGCAAGACTCATCCATGCTTGCTCAGGGAACCATTTTCCCTGCTGTCCTACAAATTCTGTAACAGAACAATGTATTTGCATTGTAGAATTTCCTAGAGCTTTTCATTACGACAAACAGAAGGTTTCCTCCTGAATCAGGCAGAGGAGAGAAAGCAGGTGAGAGAGACTTTCCTCTGGATACTCCAAAGGGCCTCCAAACAGGACAGAGAACATCCCATAATGGTCTGGTTTCTGAGAAAGCATCTATGGAATGAGATCTCACACCCTTCAACTTTTTCCCATTCTCTTTCTAATATTTCTCACCATTCTGTGTTTTGAATCCTTGTTTCTTTTTCAGGGAAAGGATCTCTTTGCAGAAATGGACCTGGATTCCTGTGAGGCAGAGAGGCCTCCGTTGGACACCAGAGAGAGTCCACTGGGTAAGGAGGAAGGTGGTTTCCCCCCATTTGGTCTCATTCTGTTGGTTTTCCAACTCATCTGGGGGTTCTTTTCATCTTCTTTTGGGGGGAGACAGTTGGGAACAAGGGTCCAGAGGAGGGGAGATGTATTTCTGCACAACTAACATATGAAATGGGCACAAACGTCCAAATGCTCTCAGTAGGTAAGGCTTTCTCAAAGGCCCATCTGTAGTTAGAGATGCCCTATTTCACCTGTGAGAGAAGCAGGCACTCCTGGCGTCCTGCTTACCATTTTTCTCTTGCAGGTGACAGAATGATGCCGGCAAGACCTCCTGATCTGTCTTTTCATGGGGGCAGAAGGGAAGCAGCAGCTGTGGAACCAGATCAGGTCAGGGGAAGCTGCCTTGTGGGGACAGAGGCCGAGGGATGGAGCAATATCATGCACTGGTTGGGGACAGAGGAATGGTGGGAGGAAGCAGCCGGGGAACCAGGAAGGGAAGACGGCTCAGAGCCGAAGGAGTGGAGGTAGAAGAAGGATGAGCGGTCAGAGGGAGAAGAGGGAGAACCCTGGGAAGAGGAGGTGTCAGAAGCTGAAGGGCGAACAGGGCTTAGTGAGCTGGGAGACTCTGTGGCAGAATGCAGTGCAGAATCGGAGGCAGAAGAGGAAGGAAGCGAGTGGGAGGAGGGAGGTCGGGAGGCAGAGGTGAGTCAGGATAAGGAAAAGCCACCGGTGGCTCCCTCTCCTTTTTCCAGAAGCCCCCCTCCCTGCTCGTCTCTCAGAGCCAGGAGACCCCCTGCAATGCAGGAATCTCTGCTAGATCATCCAAGACAGATGGCCATCCAAAACAGGCTTATTTTATTTCTAGATTGATCACTGAATGCTAAAATCGGTTTCTAAGCAGTGAACAAATCAGAACAAATAGTGGCCTGGATTCACCTAACCAGCCCCATTGGCTGCAAAATGGGGCCTGCCCCCTATTCCTCCCCCTCTCCATGCCCCCATGAATTCCTGGAATTTGGCTCTAGGGCATTGGGAGGGGACTCCCCAGAACAGCTCAGGAGGAGAGGAGAAAGTGGATCCTTCCATTGGGGAAACTGGAATGCTTGTGTAGGCAGAATGACTTGGAAAACACAAGGTGGAGTACCACCTATTTGCACAAAGATGAACACCCATAATTAAAACGGAAAATAAAATAAGCATCCAGAATTAATATGTGCAGCAAAGCAATCCTATTGAAACAACACCACAATTAACAGGAAAGACCGAACAGAGCATTGTGTAGCAGATTATATTTCTGCTGTCTCAGAGGAGGACATTTCCCTTTTTGTTTTAGGGTCCATTGTGCTTTGAAAATGTCGCTGTTGGTTTCACAGACAAGGAGTGGGCGTTCCTGGATCCTGACCGGAGAGCTCTGCAAAAGGACGTCATGGAGGAGAATCCTGGGATTGTGACCTCTCTTGGTAAGGCTCCCTGTGGGATCGTCAGATCTGCCTGGAAATTCAAAAAATACCTCTATGGGACCAACCTCATATATTTTCACAGAGCTCAACAGCACCCCCTGTAACACCTGGGAACCTAACACCCCCACAATAAAGAGTAAATTACAGTTTTTTCTTTGAACAATCTTCCTCAAATTATTCCTTTTTCTGCCATGATTGAGCTGCTGTGAACTTCCCAGGCCATTTTCAATGTCAGCTTCAGAATTGTTAGGAAAGCTAAGTAGCTTCCGGTTTTTGTTTTTGCTCCTGTCAGTCTTGGGTTGACCAAAGAGAGGACTGGCAGTGAAGCTCAGGTGCTGCCAGCCAGAGAATAAGCAGGCCGAGGGAGAGGAGAGTTAGCAGCGGAAGGCAGAGAGGAGGGGGAGAGGAACTGTCATCTGAGCTCTGAACAAAGGGGAGAAGAAAAAGAGAGACAGAGTGACAGACAGCTGTGTGAGAGCTACAGGAGTGAGTCAGACGCTGGAATGCAGGAAGCATTCTCTGCCAAATTTAAAGATACTGGAAGAGAAGGTGGGGGCTTCCGTGCTGGGGAAGGGGGAGGAGCTCAGTCTGGGCAACTCCATCTTGTGGGGAGGACGGTGAGTAGAGGAGCTCCGTCCAAGTTTGTTGTTTTAGCAATAAATCTGAAATTATTAACAGCCAGAGTCGTCTCACGTTTGTGGGAGAGACCAAGCCATAACAAGGACTGACATTGGAGATGGAGGGGATGCCATGACTGGGCCAAATAAAATCCATCCCAGAGAAGAGCTAGGCTTATGGAATCTCAGGTAGTAGTAGCAGTGATGAGGATGATGATGATACAGTGGTACCTCGGTTTACAAAATTAAGCTTTTCCAGAACGGGTACCACTGTAGTAATAATAATAATTTTTATTTCTATGTTGCCCGTAATAATAATAATAATAATAATCTGATTCCATATAAAAAGAACATTAACTTTAAAATGAACAACTTCTACTAGTGGCCAAAATTGTGGAAACTTTTTGTGAAAAGTGTATTTCTGAGGTTTGATGGCTCATAACTCCACCTTTGTGTGGAGTAATGCCATAAAATTATATAGCAATGGAAAGATAATTTAATGAAGAATGTAATGCAGTCATAAAGAAAAAATGTGAAACCTTTGGTAACCATTGGTAACCTTTAGCTTTCATTACGGCCTTACAACACCTTCCCATGAAGTGAATCAAGTTTTTAGTTCTGCAGTTGTAATAATGTGAAACAAAGACTGAATTATTGCCTCTGTTAATTGGGCTTTATTGCTGGGTTGCCTCTGTTTAAAATGTTTCTTTAGTCGACTGCATAGATTTCCAATTGGGTTAAAGTTTTGGCTATTCCCAGGCCATTCCGGCAGTGGAATAGGATTATCTTGAAAGCACTTTTTCAAAACAGCAGCAACATGACATGGAGCTGAATCTTGTTGAAATAGAAAACAAACAAACAAACAAACAAACAAACAAACATAAATGCTTCAGTATCTGGGTAAAGATCACCTGCGGAACGCTTCAGTTTGGGCTCAAGCTTTTCGTTTATGTATTTGGGGGGTATTTAAAGTCCAGTCGCGAACGACTCTTGGGTTGTGGCGCTGCAGTATTGGTGTTAAATAAGTAATGATCAGACGAAAGGCATCCTGGAAAAAGGAGATTGATCTGTGTGTGCAGCTGGTCTGGAGAGCCACCAAGGTCAACTTGCATGACCCTGAAAGGCTGATGCAATGTAAGAACCTAAGAATGCAAGAGTCTTGCTGGATCCATATAGGTCCATATGAGGTCCATATAGTTCAGCATCCTGGTCTCATCTCAGGGACCAACCAGATGCCCCAATGGGATGCCCATTTGAGATTCCCAGCAAGTGGCATTCGGAAGCATATTGCCTCATGCAGTGGAGGTCCAACACTGTAGTCCTACAACAGCCATGCAAGGTGGGCCAGAGCCCTTGGTCTGGATAGAGACAGAGGCTTAAAGCCCCCAGCCCTTCACACTAGGTTCTGTGATAATAATTTTAAGGTCTTAAAGGTAAAGGGAACCCTGACCATTAGGTCCAGTCGTGATCGACTCTGGGGTTGTGGCACTCATCTCACTTTATTGGCCAAGGGAGCCGGCGTGCAGCTTCCGGGTCATGTGGCCAGCATGACTAAGCCGCTTCTGGCGAACCAGAGCAGTGCACGGAAACGCCGTTTACCTTCCCGCTGGAGCGGTACCTATTTATCTACTTGCACTTTGACGTGCTTTTGAACTGCTAGGTTGGCAGGAGCAGGGACCGAGCAACGGGAGCTCACTCCGTAGTGGAGATTCAAACCGCTAACATTCTGATTGGCAAGCCCCAGGATCTGTAGTTTAGACCACAGCGCCACCCGCTTCCCATTTTGGTGGCATTTACATTCCCATTAATGACGCAAATTCTGCCCACACCTTTTGCTGCCATACAACCCCAGATCATCACACTATCTGGGTGTTTCACGGTCGGTGTAATGCAAGTAGCATGTAAATCTTCTCTGATTCTTCTCCTCATGTATTTCATGCCATCACTACCAAGCAAGGAGATTTGGGTCTCATCGCTCCAAATAACAGTGTCCCATTGTTCCACTGTCCAGTTAACATGGGTTTAATCTTTTCAACCTTTGATTGAGAGATAACAATGGCTTTTTCCTTAGAATTCTAACATTTTGACCAGTCCTTGTACTCAACTTCACATTGCATCTCGCCATGTCATCTTGTATACACCCAGATGATTTTCTTCTGTCAGGTAGGAACAGTCTCTCCATTCTTCGATCGTCACTTGCCTTTGTGCACCTTTTCCTGCCTTTACCAGTCTGATTTTGTAGTGCCTGAGTCTCCATATACATCTTCAAAAATATAGAAATGCCAGCTTTGGTTATGTTTCCCCCAATCTCTCTTCAAATTTATTCATAATTGTAGCCTTGTTCACGTAATAGTACTATTTTACATTGCTTTCTGGGTGACCTGTCAACTTTTTGTGCCATTTCTATAATTTTATTAGGTTTACAACCTCACTAAATGAAAGAACACAAAAAAACCCAACCAACTTGATAGCAATCACATAACACATTGACAAAAGTCAACCTAAGCAAGTTGTGCTTCCTTTTTCTGCTTATTTGACTATAACATTTGATAAAATACAGGTAATTGAACAAACTTGCATTCTTGATGGATTGCATTCTTGATTAAATTATCTTTCCATTGATATACAATTATATGTTATTCCTATAAAAGAAGTGGTGTTATGAGCCATCAAACCTCTGAAATACACTTTTTTCCAAAAGGCTTCCACAATTTTGACCACTACTGTGTATCAAACAAAGCAACATTCAACAACTCATCAGAATCTAATAATAAATATGTTGGTTATCGACAAGCAACACAGGTAATGAACACACACCCAACTTGAAGCGCAGCATAAATTAACAATGCAGAGTTTTTAAGTGAAAGAATAAGAGCTTTACTGAGCTAAAATAAACTTCTTCACAAAAACATGGTTCCAAACAGTTTGACTGAGATTACATACTGACTCTGCTCACAACTGAGGCAGACTGACTCTGACTGAAATCTTACAGAGAACACAGAGAGAAAATGGCTGCTAAGTCACATGTCAGAGTGACTCAACAGTTAGCAGTTAGGCCTGAATGACTTTAGTAGACCCAAATGATTGTGCAGTCCCAGCACTTCCCAGCCTGCTTTGCTGCTTCTGCTCTCATGTGTCTTTGTCACATGACACTCCCCCAAAGACCTAGAGAGCAGAAGCATAAACATGAAAAATTAACTTATTCATATACTTTGTCCACAAAATTCAGCTTTGCAATCAATTCAACATGTTGCACCCTAGGGAACAGCATTATTTATTTTGTAAATAAATCAGAGAAATTATCCTGTGATTGACAATAAACAAACTTAATCACATTACGTTGTATATGGTCTTTAACATTGCAAAATTTGGTGGCCACGTGTTTTGCACGTGCTGAAGTGTTCCCTATGATTATCCTCATAGATTGTCACAGGCTGTTGCACTTCACATCCCAAATCATTTAATACCTGGATGTACCATGTGACTTCGTCACACGCTTCAGATAATGCAGAAAATTCTGCCTCACACGTGGATGTGGCAACCAAACCTTGCTTTTTGGATTTCCAACCAATTAGTGAATTTCTAAACATGACCACTAGACCGCTGGTTGATTTTCTCGTGGGTGGACAATTTGCGAAGTCACTGTCCACAAACACCTGCAAACCACTTGAATTAGATGCAGATAATTTTATACACTTACTCTGTGTACACTTCAGGTATCTCAGTATTTGCTTCACAGCAGCCCAATAATTTACACTAGGCTTACTTTTCTGCTTAGAATGCCTACACAAAATGAAATATCAGGCTCAGGTACAGAAGAGATCTTATTACCGATTGGTATAAATCTGGTTAGGGACGCGGGTGGCGCTGTGGGTAAAACCACAGTGCCTAGGACTTGCCGATCGTATGGTCGGCGGTTCGAATCCCCGCGGCGGGGTGAGCTCCCATCTTTCGGTCCCAGCTCCTGCCCACCTAGCAGTTTGAAAGCACCTTTAAGTGCAAGTAGATAAATAGGTACCGCTTTATAGTGGGAAGGTAAACGGCGTTCCGTGTGCTGCTCTGGTGCAGGCTCGCCAGAGCAGCGATGTCACACTGGCCACATGACCCGGAAGTGTCTGCGGACGGCGCCGGCTCCCGGCCTCTAGAGTGAGATGAGCGCACAACCCTAGAGTCTGTCAAGACTGGCCCGTATGGGCAGGGGTACCTTTACCTTTACCTATAAATCTGGTTGATCAAACAAAACATCACTTTCAGTCTTTTGAAAATCTACAGTCATAGGGGTTTGCACAGCATTACAATCCTGCATTTCTAGCTGTTCAAGCAGACCTTTAATCTTTTGCTGTTGGCATATTAAGAAACTTCCATCTGCTTCTCTGCATATTTGGACCCCTAAATAGTGACTTATTGGTCCTAGGTCTTTCAGTTTGAAATGTTTTTCCAACTGATTTGCTATCTTTTGAATTTTACCTGTGGGACTACCTGCCACCATCAGGTTATCTACAAAGATCAAAACCAATATGTAATTGTCGACTGATCCTTTTGTATACAAGCAAGGGTCAGCAATACTTTTAAATCCAAGATTTGAGTTGTGTGTTTATACAATCGTTCCAGCATTTAGCACTTTGCTTAAGACCATAGACAGCTTTGTCTAATTTCCACACCAAATCATTCTCCTCCTCAAACCCTGGGGGTTGTCCCATGTATATCATCTAGTCCAGAGGAGCATTTAGATATGCAGAAGTAATATCATAATGACTCACTTCCAATTTCTTGTCAGCTGCAACAGACAAACCAAGCCTCACTGATTCTGCCTTGGCAGTGGGCGCAAAAAGCTCATTATAGTGTATTTCTGGTTTTTGTGCAAAACCTTTTGCTACCAGTCTAGCTTTAAAACGTGTGTCATCAGACACCTGAATCTTCCTTTTAAAGACCCACCTGCTAGAAATTCACTTTTTACCTGGTGGCAATTTGGCTACTGTGTAAACCTTATTTTCTTTAAATAATCCCAATTCTTCTTTCATGGCGTCAAACCATTGGGTTTGTTCCTTAGAAGGTAGTTTCAGACCTTGAGCAAAGTCCTGCGGCTCTGTACAATTAACATGACACCATTTGTTGCACCAAAAGTCAATTTATCTGGAGGGATACCCTTGGTAGTCTGTGTGGACCTCCTAGGAATAACCACTGGGCTTTCCTTCTCTTGTTGCTCCTCCAGTTCATCATTTTGTTGTTCCTCTGATTCACTGCTTGTGGCACTTTGCAAAGTGTCAGTGTCTGAGGGCAAATTTCCCCCACTTTCTAGCCTTTCTTCAGCAGCTGGCTGCCTGAGAGGCTCCTGTGGCTGTTCTGAGAGAGGAATTAAAATACTAGGATCAGCATGAACCTGTTCCCACCTATCCTGTTCAGCAAATTCAGCAATTTGTGAAATGACTACTCGGCCACGTCCCAAAGCAAAACGATAATGCCTGCTAGAATAGCCCTGATAGCCAATGAAACGTAGCTTTCTGGTTTTAGGCTCACCTTTTCATCTCAGAAACTTGGGGATATGAACAAAAGCCCAATTCCCCCACACGTGTCAACCTCTGTAATCCGGTTCCTTCCCCAAAAGCATTCTGTAGGGAATATCACCAGTGGCAGTAGTGAAAGTATGGTTCACAAGAAAATTTGCAATCAGGAGAGCTTCTCTCCAGAGCTTTGCATCATTTTGATGCAATCCAGCATCAGTTAACAAGCTGTCCTTTACAATTTGTTGTCAGCATCGCCCTTGAGCCAGTGTCACCAACTGGACTCATCCACTTCAGCCCCGACTGGGCTAGGCAAGCTGGGTAGCACTTCCAGAGACCACCTTCTGCACAGGAACAGGTCAAAGTGCTGTGGACTCACAGCTTAGAGTTGTGAGCACCGGATTCACTTCCACAAGAAGATAGTCGTCACACAGCAGAGTCTAGCAGAGCGTATAAATGACTCGGAGAGCAGCTCTGTAGAATATCTTCTTTATTCTATAATTACAACTATAATACACAACTATATACAGAGCTAAATAGGTCTAAGCATAAATGAATGCTGCACTGCACTGAGTGTCTGCAGCTGCTCTTAGCAGCAACCTTATCTATACACACGATCTCTAACACTCAGTCTCTCTCTCTGACACTGACTGACTGACACTTTGATGTGGTGCTGGAGCGGAATAAGTAGAGAGGAGAAAACCGTCCCTCCTCTCTGGAGAAGCAGCAGAGAATCTGCAGATTCTTGGATATGGGAGGGGTGAAATCTCCTCATCTGTATGATTCCTACACGTCTCTCTGCAACTCCATTTTTCCAGGGACTATTTGGACATGTAAGACGATGCGTTATTCCATGGCGTTTAAGCCATGCCTGGAATGATTACTTAAATATTCGCCTCCTCGGGCGGTTTGGAGTTGAATAACTGGCCTTTGAAAACGTCCTTCTGCCCATACCTTCCAGGACTTAAAAGCATCAGCACATTCTGATTTGTTTCTCAATAGATATAGCCATGAATACCTTGTTTTATCATCCACAATAATTAGGCAATATCTAGATCCTCCCTCACTCTCTGGAAAAGGACCAATTAAGTCAGAATGAACAAGTTGCAAAGCATGTATAGAAATTCTATCACTTCTACCTGGTATTGGTTGCAACTTTGTTTTTGCTTGCTTGCAAATAGCACATTCAAGGTATGTGCTGCACTGGTTGACATTTAAATCTTTACATATTTTTTGCATGTTCTCCAGATATTTGAAACTTGCATGCCCCATTTTTCTATGCAAAGCATGGATGCAGTTTTTATGCGGGCAATTAGAGTTTTGCTGACATAGTTCAGTTATTAACACATCCTTTTTTCCAGCTTTAGGTCTCTCTGTGACCCCATCACTGGGCGGAGAATACTGTAAAGAATACAAGCCATCCACCATTTTTGTAGAAGCAATTACCTTGCCCTGCTTCTTAATAAAACACTCATCACCCTCAAAAATAAATTCAAAACCAACATTTGTAAGGCATGAAATTGACAATAAAGAAAATTCTAGTTCTTCAACAAACAATACATCCCTCAATTCTGCATGGCAAATAACACATACCTATACCTGAGATTGGGCAATGCTGCCCATCAGCAAGACAAATGCTGTCCTTGCCTTTTGGCAATTTGCTGAGTGTTGTAAAGCAGTCAGGGTTGTTCATTATGATTCTGGCAGAGCCAGTCCAAAATGTAGCCGTCTGGAAAAAAAATCTTTTCTTTTCCTGCGGCGGCCGAGACGAAATGCATCCACTTTTCTGTCTCACATGGATCGCTCGCTTTTCCTTGGATTTTCACACGGCAATTTTTCTTCATGTGCCTGAGCTTGCCACACCGATAGCATTTCTTTGCCAACATGGCACAATCTGTGGAACGTTCTTCGGTCCCATCTTCTCATGAGAATCTGGGTCTCTGGTTAGCAGGGCGACTCAAACTCCACCAGTCTGCCTTCTCACTCAGCTTTTCCACGCACTTTTCAGATTCCTCCTGTAGACGGGTTGTTACATACGCCATTGATAAATCTTCTTGCCTCATGCTTTCAAGAGAGGCTATGACAATATTAAAGCTTGGTGGGAGACTGGATAGCAGGATATAGATTTGATCCAGGTCTAGAAATCTTTTACCTCTCTTTGGAACTAGAGGAATAATGTGCAAAGTCTGGAGGTGTGTGACTAAACACCCACCTTCAGGTAGCGCAGTTCTGTACAGTCTCCTGTTGTTGTTGTTGTTGTTGTTGTTGTTTAGTCATTTAGTCATGTCCAACTCTTCGTGACTCCATAGACCAGAGGACGCCAGGCACTCCTGTCTTCCACTACCTCCCGCAGTTAGTCCAATTATTGAACAAGCACTGTCAGACAGGTGTATCTGACGTAGACGATCCCAATATTGTTTGGCAGAGTACAAATCTGCAATGTGCAGGACCTGTGGTTCCTCTAGAGCCAACAAAATATGCGCTCTGGCTCTATCATCTTCTTCACCTTCCTGCTCAGAGGGTTGTGGCTTCAAACCAGTTTCCACACAGTGCCAAAGTCTATCACGTTTTAGAACCAGTTCAAGCTTGATGCTGCATCGAGTCCGCTTCTTTGGTACGCGGTCTCACCACTGGACCTTCAGTCCCTTTGAGGTCCTCAGTGACAGTACCCTGATTCTCCAGCTTTAGCAATTCGCCATCCATAAAACACAAGGCCCATAACCTGACACTCAGCGTAAATTAATAATGCAGAGTTTTTAAGTGAAAGAATAGGAGCTTTACTTAGTTAAAATAAACTTCTTCATAAACAACATGGTTCCAAACAGTTTGACTGAGATTACATACTGACTCTGTTCCTCACAACTGAGGCATACTGACTCTGACTGAAATCTTGCATAGAACACAGAGAGAAAATGGCTGCTAAGTCACATGTCAGAGTGACTCAACAGTTAGCAGTTAGGCCTGAATAACTTGAGTAGGCCGAAATGATTGTGCAGTCCCAGCACTTCACAGCCTGCTTTGCTGCTTCTGCTCTCATGTGTCTTTGTCACGTGACACAACTCCCTTCAGTTCTTCTCCATTTATTCCTGAGGCTCTAATTTTGTCTTCATTGCAGATTGTGATGAATCTGAAATCGAGAACAAAGGTGACCAAGATAAAGTCCCCAGAGAGGAGAAGCCAGATAAAAATTTGGAGTGTGGAGAAAGCTGCAAACAGAACTCCCATTCCACTTCCCTTCAACAAAATCTTATTGGAAAGAAACCCTATCAGTGTGTGGAATGTGGAAAGAGCTTCAGTCGGAGCGTCAACCTTATTTCCCATCAAAGAATTCATACAGGGATGAAACCATATCAGTGTGTTGAATGTGGAAAGAGCTTCACTGATAGCTCATCTCTCACTTCCCATCAAAGAATTCATACAAGGGATAAACATTATCAGTGTGTGGAATGTGGAAAGAGCTTCAATAAGAAGAACAGTCTTACTTCCCATCAAAGAATTCATACAGGGGAGAAACCCTATCAGTGTGTGGAATGTGGAAAGAGCTTCAGTCAGGGTTCCTCTCTCACTTCTCATCAAAGAATTCATACAGGGGAGAAACCCTATCATTGTTTTGAATGTGGAAAGAGCTTCAGTCACAGCCCGAATCTCACTTCCCATCAAAGAATTCATACAGGGGAGAAACCCTATCAGTGTGTGGAATGTGGAAAGAGCTTCACTGATAGCTCCTCTCTCATCACTCATCAAAGGATTCATACAGGGGAGAAACCCTATCAGTGTGTGGAATGTGGAAAGAGCTTCAGCCAGAGTTTCTCTCTCACTTCCCATCAAAGAATTCATTCAGGGGAGAAACCCTACCATTGCTTTGAATGTGGAAAGAGCTTCAGACAGAGACAGAATCTCACTTCCCATCAAAGAATTCATACAGGGGAGAAACCCTATCAGTGTGTGGAATGTGGAAAGAGCTTCACTGATAGCTCCTCTCTCACCTCCCATCAAAGGATTCATACAGGGGAGAAACCCTATCAGTGTGTGGAATGTGGAAAGAGCTTCAGTCAGAACTCCTCTCTCAGTTCCCATCAAAAAATTCATACAGGGGAGAAACCTTATCAGTGTGTGGAATGTGGAAAGAGCTTCAGTAATAAGGACAGTCTTACTTCCCATCAAAGAATTCATACAGGGGAGAAACCCTATCAGTGTGTGGAATGTGGAAAGAGCTTCACTACTAGCTCCTCTCTCACTTCCCATCAACGAATTCATTCAGGGGAGAAACCCTATCATTGTTTTGAATGTGGAAAGAGCTTCAGTCACAGCCCGAATCTCACTTCCCATCAAAGAATTCATACAGGGGAGAAACCCTTTCAGTGTGTGAAATGTGGAAAGAGCTTCACTAATAGCTCCTCTCTCACCTCCCATCAAAGGATTCATACAGGGGAGAAACCCTATCAGTGTGAGGAATGTGGAAAGAGCTTCAGTCACAGTCAGAATCTCACTTCACATCAAAGAATTCATACAGGGGAGAAACCCTATCAGTGTGTGAAATGTGGAAAGAGCTTCAGTCAGAGCTCCTCTCTCACTTCACATCAAAGGATTCATAAAGGGGAGAAACCCTATCCGTGTGTGGAATGTGGAAAGAGCTTCAGAAACAGCCGCAATCTCACTTCCCATCAAAGGATTCATACAGGGGAGAAACCCTATCAGTGTGTGGAATGTGGAAAGAGCTTCAGTAACAGCAATAATCGCACTTCCCATCAAAGAATTCATACAGGGGCAAAACCCTATCAGTGTGTGGAATGTGGAAAGAGCTTCAGTCAGCGCTCCTCCCTCACTTCCCATCAAAGAATTCATACAGGGGCAAAACCCTATCAGTGTGTGAAATGTGGAAAGAGCTTCAGTGACAGCCGCAGTCTCCCCTCGCATCAGAGAATTCATACAGGGGAGAAACCCTATCCATGTGTGGAATGTGGAAAGAGCTTCAGAAACAGCCACAATCTCACCTCCCATCAAAGAATTCATACAGGGGAGAAACCCTATCAGTGTGTGGAATGTGGAAAGAGCTTCAGACAGAGCTCCTCTCTCACTTCCCATCAAAGAATTCATTCAGGGGAGAAACCCTATCATTGCTTTGAATGTGGAAAGAGCTTCAGTCACAGACAGAATCTCACTTCACATCAAAGAATTCATACAGGGGAGAAACCCTATCAGTGTGTGAAATGTGGAAAGAGCTTCACTGATAGCTCCTCTCTCAGCTCCCATCAAAGGATTCATACAGGGGAGAAACCCTATCAGTGTGTGAAATGTGGAAAGAGCTTCACTGATAGCTCCTCTCTCAGCTCCCATCAAAGGATTCATACAGGGGAGAAACCCTATCTGTGTGTGGAATGTGGAAAGAGCTTCACTGATAGCTCCTCTCTCACTTCCCATCAAAGAATTCATACAGGAGAGAAACCCTATCAGTGTGTGAAATGTGGAAAGAGCTTCACTGATAGCTCCTCTCTCACTTCCCATCGAAGAATTCATACAGGGGAGAAACCCTATCAGTGTGTGGAATGTGGAAAGAGCTTCAGCGATAGCTCCAATCTCACTTCCCATTAAAGAATCCATGCAAAGTTGCGAAAAACCATTATACAGCTTTAGAAACCAGGCTTTGGCTAATTGATGTGTATGAAGATAAAAGTGTTATGGGCCTTAATTTATGATGACTTAAAACAAATGTTTGGAATAACCTTTCTAAAAAGACCAGAGGGATTTCTGTTAAGTATTGTTGGCAGAGACATCCCAAATGCCTTTAGAGAAGTATTTTTATATGCAACGGCCACAGCTCGGACTGGCATAACAAGCTACAAGAATTTGCTGAAATGGTGAAGTTGACAAATAGCCTGAGAGGCAATTCAAAACAAAAAAATATTTAAAAGTGGGATAGATATATTTTCAAAAATACAGTAAAGGTTCGCTATCTATGCTATCATTTAATTGACGTTGGAAAGAGACTGAGTTGAGAAATAAGACTAAGGGTACATATTGATATAGGAATGTATTAGATAAAATGTAAAGACATATACAATAATAAGAGTACATTCATTTGTGAAAAAGGAATATGCAACGGGATAGACAGGAAGTCCCAAGTGTTGGAACATATATGATTTTGGAATAATTTTTTGTCCTTGTTTTCTTTTTCTTTTAGCATATAAACTTTGTATACATGTTGAAAATTATAGTAAAATAAGCCTTGTGATGTAACATGATCATGTTTACCGATGTAAGAACATTAATATTTTTTTTTAAAAAAAAGACATCTAATGCTCTTTTAACATGTGATGTTTTGTGTTTTTATGTTGTAACCATCCTGAGACCTGTGGGTGTAGGGAATAGGTGCCAACTCTTCACCCCCCCAATAAAATATTTGAGGAGGCCACCCCCCAGGTTTTTTGTGTTTTTTTCCAAACACAACCTTTTATTCTTCTGCAACTTGCCATACAATTTCTCTTTCAATCTGCCCTCTTAAAAAATAAAAAATAAATAAATGCACAAAGGTCATGAAGAAAACAAAATACAAGAAAATACAAACGTAGACAGGTCCCATCTTTGCGGGTGAAGTGCAAAAGTTGCTTTAAAGCAAGGTTTCCCAAACTAGGGTCCCCAGCAGCTCCCGGACTACAGTTCCCATCATCCCTCCCCATTGGTCCTGCTAGCTAGGGGTGATGGGAGTTGTAGTCCAAAAACAGCTGGAGACCCAAGTTTGCTTTAAAGGGAAAGTAGGCTGGCCCTGTGACACCCTCTGCTGGCCAAAAGCACTGCCCCTGAATGTGAACCACCCCCAGTACTGCTAATTGGAATTAATAGAGTGCAAAACAGAAGTTTGATCGGCACTTCAACCTCTAGGGAGCTTCTAGGTGCTTTCTGAACAATGCCACAGGTAGAGGGGATGGAATGCTAGAAGTGTTCTCCAGGGCAAGGGAGCTGCTGGGAGATTGAACTACAGGCTCAAAATATTACTTTTTTAAAAAGTTACTGCCATTCTAGGCATTGCCATTCTAGGCATTGGCCACCTACCAATATTTTATTCAAGTCGGCAACACTGGGTTGGTTGGTTTACAAATTAAATAAATACATAAATCTCCTTCCTTTGCACATGTCAATATCCTCATTTATTCTTTTTAAAATTTATTCGTCCTTCATCTGAAGATTTTACAACATACAGGATGAAAGCATGGCTTTCTCAAAAACAAGTCAAGTCAGAGAAATCTCTCCTTTTTTTTGGATAGAGTTACAAACTTTCTTGATCAGGGGACTGCTGTGGAAATTGTGCATCTTGATTTCATTGAGGCTTTTGACAAAGTCCTCTGTGAGATTTATGTGAGGAAGCTGGTAAAATGTGGGCTGAATGAGATATATGTCTTAGGACATCAAACTGGGAAAGTGGATTTTAAACTGACTGAAGAGGTTTTATGCCCTTGGGAATTTGGTCTCTTAAATCTACCCCTTCGCCTTCTGTTTCTGTGCGCTGCTCTGGTTCGCCAGAAGCGGCTTAGTCATGCTGGCCACATGACCTGGAAGCTGTACGCCGGCTACCTCGGGCAATAAAGCAAGATGAGCGCCGCAACCCCAGAGTTGGCCACGACTGGACCTAATGGTCAGGGGTCCCTTTACCTTTACCTATGCATTACAGCAGGGACGTCTAACTTCCAAGATGCTGAGATCTACTCCCAGTAATAAAAAACCTGCTAGTCATCTACCCATTGTCTTTGCCCAGAGTTGTTGAGCTTTTCTCAGGGAGCAGTGACCAGAATTGTGGATCGACCAGTAGATCGCGACTGACCTGATGCACATGCCTCCATTCTAGGAATTTGCAAAACAGCATCAAACCTTGTGTTACATGAAATACATTCGACAAACACAAGATGTAACCGGCTGTGGATTCACATAAACAATACTCTTCTATATATTCTTATCACAATATCAAAGTTTATCTTGCACATAAACAACACATAAAGTGCAATAATATAGATGGAAGTCCCAATAAATCAGTTCATTCCTAAAGACCAAATGTCTGCTAGTTTCTGTTCCAAATATGTTCATAAAGTCCAAATTGGAGCCTACTACAGTTCCACAGTGTAGTAGTGTTCCACATGCCTCCATTGTAGGAACAGCATTCCTGACCCAGAATTTCACAAGAAGTCCCAACAATGATTCCCCTTTCAAACAGGATACGTGAACCTAGGCTAGCAGGGTCCTCCTCTCCGGCAGACGGACAACCCCTTCCCCAAAGCCCCTCCCTTCCCCCACCTCCCCATGGGGGTCCCTCCCCAGAACGGCCTCCACTGTCCGGTGCTTGGACACCTGAAGGGCATGGAGGCCTCTCAGGGCAGCTGCCTGGCAGCTCTGCATCACCTGGAGCAAGAGATCTTGCTCTGGCTCCAGCAAAAGTCAGGCTGTCAGTTCCTCACTGCTGAGAGTGCAGATTGGGGGGCAAAGAGCCCTGGCAGCGGGAGGAAGGTCTGAGGGATCCTCTCCCTACTCTTGTTTCCTCCAATACCATCGCTGGATGAAGAAAGCCTGTGGCACATCTTCAAGAAGAAAAAAACAATAAGAAGCAAAATAAGAAACTGAGACAATAGGAATCCACCGATTACCTCGCCTTGTCCTGCGTCAATTGCCACCAACTGCTCTCTCCTCCACTCGCCTCACTACTAACCCAAAATGGCCGCCTGCAAGTCTGTGGTCCTTGTCACCATAGCAACCCCCCCCCCACCCCGGACCTGGGCCCACCTGGCTCCACCTATTGGGAGATGATCTATAATGAAATGAAAAAAAAGGTTTAAGATAACCTTTGTTAAAAGAACCGAAGCGTTTTTTTTTGGTTTGTAGGGCAGGATTTCCCCAAACATAAGAAAAATCTATTCATGTATGCGACAACAGCAGCCAGAATTTTACTAGCTCAAAGATGGAAAGGCGATGAAATACCAGCGAAAGAACACTTAATTTTAATATATAAGGAATACAAATTTATAAGCAAAAGAAACAGAGGTGTTCTAAACCAGTAAGGGAAGTTGGGGGAAGACACGGAGGGGGGGTGTTAATTGAAATTGTAAAATGTAATTTGAATGTTTGATTATGTTAAAATTTCTTTAATTCAGTTATTAAAAGTGGCTCCTCTTACTTAAGGGCCCCACAGACCTCATGGGACACCAGAGCAGATTCCCTTGTTGCTTTTTTGAGTCAACCAGCAATGGGGGTTGCATTTCCTTATTTCCAGGAGGGCTGTTGCTAAAGAGCATGATATGCTCTTCACACTTAGTTATCTATTAGGAACACAGGCACAAAGAGCGTCTTGGAGTCAGGGGCCAGTCTGGGCCAAAGCGGCCCCCACTGCCCCCACCACGGAGTCCCTGGCACTCCTGGACCATGAGGGATGCCAGCTTTGGTCTTGGACCAAATTGGGGGCCAAACTGTCAGTATTTCATTCTCCATTGCTAGTGTAACATGATATCCAGGTTTACACCTTCTGTACTGTCGGTGTAAGAATGGAAGTCAGTCTGTAAATCACTTCCTGTCCTTTTGTTCTGGAGAGACGGCTGTGGAAGACAGCTCATGCCATGTTTCTTTGTTATTTTCCGCTGTAAATAAAGCTTGATGTCACATTTTAACACAGTTTGCAGGACATCTGCAAAGAGAAGGACATGGGGACAGGTGAGTCTGTCCCTGAACACCTGGCAAGGCTATTCCAAGAGTTTTCTCCTGGATTCCAAGTCCTACTGCAGGGGAGGAGGGACATCCCAGGCCTTGGGGGCAAATCCTGGCCTCCTTCAACCAGAACGTGGCTCCCCATGCTAAGGAGATGGTCAATATCCAGTTCCATTCCACCCTTTTAAAATTTAAATATCAAAATAGATCCCAACTTTCAGAGCATGTAAATCACAGGAGTCGAAAGACCGCTGCGCTACTCATCGAAATAGGACTATACTTCCTTCTCCCACCTTCAAAGTAAACGTAAAGAAACCGAATTGATCCAAGTCTGCCTTCCTCCACCAACCTCAAGCTTCGCTCTTCAAGCCAAAAGACAACACTTTCCCGTCCCCGGGTGAAACTCCCTGGCCTTTCATTGGTAGAGCCGTCACCACGCCTGTGGCATTTACATCAGTGGGACGCAAGGACTGACTGAGCGGACGGCGAGATGCTTTCAGCCTCGGACACTTGGCGGGTTCTGAAATGGCCGTGCAGGCCAGATTCAGGACCCTGGCAGGCTGGATTTGGCCCACGGGACATAGTTTGAGGACCCCTGGTCTACACTTACTGGGACATTCTGCATGCCAAGCAGATGCTCTAGGGCTCCCCATATTTCACTAGCCTTTCAATGTTATGCTATTAGCAACCGTGGAGATTCCACCTGCCTCTTTCGAAATGAGAAAACTCACCTGATCAAT